AATTCTTTTTTTCCTTTAATTTTCACTAAGTAAATAATCACTAAAGGGTTTAGTTAATTACTAATCAAAGTAATTAAAAAAGTGAAATACATATTATGCTACTTAAAGGGTGTAGCCTACCTTTTCATAAAAATAAGAAGAAGGAAAAAAAATTAAAAACTGAGTATAGCCGTGCGGCTATACTATTTTTAAATATAAAAATGAAGACCCCAACGTTTAGGTACAGCCAGATTCCCTACATGTTATCTCTGATTCTCTGCTGGTTCCGTATAAATTCACTAATATATTGATATGAATGGCAATATGCTGAACATTGATATTTAAGTTTTGATGTTCTTCCAATAATAGGAAAAGGAATGACGCTTACAGCGTTCCCACAACCTTTTGAGTATTTGTTATATTCTGTGTCCGTTGAATGATACGTGCCAATCCAAAATATGAAAATTTTGGGTTCATTTGCATCCAAGAGAATATTACTGACCCTTCAAATCTCTATGAATTACTTTCAAATAAGACTCATGGTGGAGATAAAGAAGCCCTCTAGCAATACCCTGAATAATATTGAAGCGTCTGCCCCAATCAAGCTCAGGTCTCCGCGCTGGATCTTTTAAATGCAAGCATTCGAAATATAACCAATAGTTTCATTCATATATCCTATCCTATGCATTGACCAATGACACTGTCACTAGATTTTTACGTTTAAATTTCTATAGAAAATACTGACGCATTTGTATGAACAATAGTGAAACAAGGGTGTAATCAGATTCAAAATTGATTTCAGGCCTAGTTTAACATTGTGTCTTCTACTTTATAAAGAACTGAAACGTACTCATGTAGTGTACAATCCAGTTTACAGTTATGTGCATTAAATCTGCAGGATGTCTTGCTTGACTGTTTGTGTTGCAAATAAATCAGTGATTCTTTGTATCAATCGAAAATAATTTTGATTCTTTGTGCCCGAACATTTAGTTCATGTGAATTCATTTGTGGCCTTAAGTTATTAGGCAAATTATGAAGATAAAGTCCAGTGAAATTAACCAAATAGAAGAGTGTCCAAGCTTCCGTTTGGCATGAACTCGTAAATCAGTATCTTCTCATCTTCTTTGACGCAGCAGCCCATGATCCTAGCAAGAGTTCTATGTTGGAGCTTGGAGATCAACAACGCATCATTTTTTTAACTCTTCTATGCCTTGCCCTGAGCTACTAGATAGTCCTTGTACTGCTATTTCCTTCCCTTCTCGTAGGGTACCTACAAATTAATCACTTCATTCATGTCCTTATCTGTTATTGTAGCTGTGTTGATATTGTTCATTGCGATCAATATGCTATCAAAATTATAGATGAATAGCTCAGATGGATCTTGGTTTATGATATATTCTTGAATATTGTCTCTTGAATTCTCCGTAGTATCAATACTCAGCATTCGCGATATACCTGAAATTTTGTGTATTGAATATTTGTGTTGCTTGACTGTTTGTGTTTGTATCAATACTCAGCATTCGCGATAAATCTGCAGGATGTCTTGCTTGACTGTTTGTGTTGCAAATAAATCAGTGATTCTTTGTATCCAGGCACCTATATCACACAACATTTACTGGAAGGAGTTATCGATGCTTGTGTATGTCTCGGTGGCTTTTCTTATTGTTCACATTGTTAAGGTAAGTTATTTTACTATGTAGTTTTGTATAACTAAATACGCTTTTCAAAAGATAAGATCATCACTAGAAATGTTGTCAAGTTCGATCTTTCTAATTCCTCTGCATTTGCAGGGGAAGCACTATTGCTATGGTCACACATCACAACAAAAGCAAGATAACTCAAATGAATGCCCTAAGAACCATGAAATGAAATTATAAAGCTGTCCGGAGGACTACAAGCTGATTATGGTTGCACTTGGATTGAAATTAAGCTTTAGAATTTGGTATTCTAATTTTTTTGAAAAAGAAATAGTATAGCCGAACGGCTATACTCGATTTTTCACATTTAATTAAAACAAATTGTATAGCCGAACGGCTATACTCCGTTTTTTCTATTGGTTTTTAAAATTTTTTAAAACGAAATAGTATAGCCGGCCGGCTATACCCGGTTTTTAATTTTATTCAGAAGAAATAGTATAGCCGGACGGCTATACTGGATTTTATAAATTTATTTAAAATAAATTGTATAGACGAACGGCTATACTCCGTTTTTTCTATTGGTTTTCTAATTTTTTTAAAAAGAAATAGTATAGCCGGCCCGCTATACTCGGTTTTTAAATTTTTTTCAGAAGAAATCGTATAACCGTACTGCTGTACTCGGTTTTTTATTTTTTTTAAAAAGAAATAGTATAGCCGTACGGCTATACTTGGTCTTTATTGTAAACGTTAAAAACAAGTATATAAAAAAATTTAAATTAAGTAGAAAAAGATAAGTTTCAAATGAACAACAATTCATCAAAACCGTTCACTCTGTTCTTAAGTAAATTATTGTCCCCAAAAAATCCATCATGTGCACTAATATTGGATTGTCCATGGAATTGATTTAACATATTTCCAGGGAAAGAATTTCTGAGTTGGGTGGCAATCAAAACAGCCAAACAGGCTAGCAACAAAAAGCAGCTACTTAAAAAATCAAAAACCATAAGCTTCATGTAATCTACCAAATTATGTGGCTCTTAAAATATTGGTGGAACCTCTACGCAGTTTACTTTTGACTTCAAAAAAAAGCACATATGGTCTAGGATTGTCAATCAGTACACAGTTGAGTTAAACAAAAATAACACGTACACTTATATTCAAACAAAACCTCGAACAGTATAGGGATGACAGTTGATCTGATTGAGCTCTCTGGAAGTTTGGGTTGACAACCCTTGACGACCCTTCATCTGGTGAGCTGTTCAGATTATGATTATCTTCCTCTTTCTCTATCCTCCAAAAAGACAAGTTTGGCACTGGAAGCAATCATGCTTTTTGTTATCTTCCTTACAGCTTTCGACTGCTGAGGTGAATGAAAAAATGTCATTTTCTTCAAATTCCGAGCATGCTCGAGCACATATTTTTCAAACCGAATTCCATTAGATCCAATGGAAAGCTCCTCTATGGTTACATCCTTAAGTTGATGAATAAAAGAAATGTTTTGCAATCTCCAATATCCCATATTAAACCCAGAACACTGCAGGAAAGGCAACAATCAACAAGCAAATCATTTGAAATTTCCGCACCCAAAAAAAAACTAATCATGAAAGAGAGGGGGAAAGAAATGGGCAACACTTTCACTTACATCAGTTTTAGGTTCAAAGAATTCTGGGTCAGACATTATTTCCAAAGTACTCAAATTACACATTCCTTGAGAAGTGGAGACTAGCAGAACACGAAATTAAAGCTTCCAACATGAATAGACAAATAACAAACATTCTCTAATAGCAGTGCCATGAAATCTCCATAGAAGACAGCCTACAAGTTATAAACACAAACATAAGGAACCGAAAGACAAGAATTACAAATATTAATTAAGAAAAGAACTACCTGCAATATATTTGAGAAAATAAGTCGATGAAATAGTCATTACTAACTAAAAGTTGAAACTATCATGGTTTTTGAAGTACTTGATCTGTCAAAGTACTATTACAAAGTTTCAGACTGACAATTCTTAAACAAACAAGAAACATCAACATGAAATTTCATTCTAGCCAGTATAACCAAAATTAATGAAAAATATAACCAAATCTTATTGCCATCAGTTTTCTGAAATTAACTTACCCCGATTGCCATGATGGGAAAGAATACAACCTAAACAAGACAAAATTGAAAAAACAAAAACCATTGAATAAAAAGAACATCTTGAAGAGCTGTGTCTAATTACCATGGCGGTCTCTCCCCTATTGCCATGCAGAGAACCTCATACAATATTTTAAAGCAACGGCGATTACATTCCAGAAAAAAACTCGGCTTTCTCAAAAGACGTAGATTTCCCCAAAATTTGGCCAATCCCCTGACAATTTCAAATACTTAAGATTTGGATAAAAAATATTGACCAAATTCTTGACACAGTTATGAAGATCCAAGTGAACAAGTATGTCTTCAAGTTTTTCAGCTGAGATGCAAAGGATAAGGTCAATATACACAGGGGAATCAAGCACAAAACTAAAAGATTTCAAAGAGGAGCTTTCAATGGTGATCTGATTTATTCCAAAAATATCTTCAAGATATAACTCCTTGATGCACTTACATGAACATGAGATCCATTTGAAAAACCCATCATCTTCTATGAAAACATCATCCAACTTCTGGTGTTTGAAAAATCGGCCTACGCGGGCGGCGAGGCGGCTAGGCGGGCCCTAGGCGGTAGCTAGGCGGCTAGGCGGTGGCTAGGCGTCTAGGCAGTAGCTAGGGCGGAGCTAGGCGGCTGGGCGGGCGCCTAGGACGGTTGGCTCTTTTTCCGGTGCCAAACCTGGAGGACGAAGCAGTGACTGAGAGTGCAAGTTCCGTTCTCTGCGAGTGCAAGCTTTTGGAATATTTAAAGAGTATAGCTGGACGGCTATACTAATTTGTAAAGAAACAAAATAACCCGGGTATCGCCGGGCGGCTTTACTATTTATTTATTTAAGAAGAGAACTCGCCGAGCAATGGTGTCGAAAATAGTATAGCCGGTCGGCTATACTATTTTTAGAATCACCGCGTATAGCCGCACGGCTATACTATTTATAAAAAAAAAGGGGACCCGTCTGTCGTTGAGGCGTCCACGTGTCCGCATAGGTATCGCCGTCCGGCTATACTATTTTATAATTAAAAGACTGAGTATAGCCGACCGGCTATACCTTTAAATATTCTATTTATAGGGTATACACGTACGTATTTTTCAATCATTTGAGTCTGGGGCGCCAAGAAGGGAGGTAAGGCTCTATTTTGATGATTTCGACTTTTGTTTTTGAAATTTCGGAACTTTCTCAGTTTTCTTTGAGATTCAATTTGATTGAATTTGGGAAATTTCACTTTGTGTAGAAGTTAGTTTGGGTTTCTACGATGATATACACGGCGATAGACACGTTCTATCTGACCGATGAGCAATTGCAGAACTCGCCGTCGAGAAAGGACGGCATGTATGAGGCGACGGAGACCACGCTATCTGTGGCTGTGATTTTATCCAAGAAAGCTGAATTTTGCTCAGATTGTACGGTTGAGTTCTGGTTTGTTTTAAGTTGTATAGTTTGTTGTTGTTCTTTTCTTTGAGGGTGAATTTTGTTAACTTTGTTTGCTTCATTTGATAACTTGCATGCAGACCTCAAGTTGATCAGGTTCTGTTTCACCGATTCTATTGTAAGAAGTTCTTTCTAAAACCATGGTCCGAAATCGAGAGGAATGAATGATTTCTTTTAAATTTTTGCCTGTTAATAATGTGATGCTTTCTTGTAGAAAAAGTTGCTGCTGGCTGTTTGTGGCTTGCATCAAAACCGGAGGAATGCCCTAAAAAATCCAGGCAGGTTATCATTGTTTCCCACAGGATGGAATGTAGGAGGGAGAACCTACCCATTGAGCCTTTGGATCCATATTCAAAGGTTAGAGCTCATATAATCCACATCGTGCTAAAGTCATTGTCTTCCATTATCATGATTTTGAGCCAAAAGCATGCTATGGTTTATCTCTGTCTTCTTTCTTTCCAGAAATCTTAGGACTTGAAGATGGAGTTGAGTAAAGCAGAAAGACATATTTTAAAGGAGGATGGGTTTCATTTGTCATGTTGAGCATCCACATAAGTTTATATCAAATTATCTTGCACACTGGAGACACCACCAGAATTAACACAAGAAGCCTGGAAACTAGCAAGTGAAAGGTACTTTCCCCAACATATGCCAATTACTTATTTACTTTCTTGGCACTTGGTTTTTCTATTTGACTTTCAAACTTTCGAACTTTACATTATTGTTTAATTATTGGGAATTTTTTGTTTTACTGGTGGATCAAAGGGCGTGTTGCGGTGTAGTTTATGCTGCCGCTTGGAGGTTTCAAGTGCCCCTTCCTGAGAATCCGCCATGGTGGAAGGCATTTGATGCTGAGAAATCAGGGATTGACGAAGTTTGTAGGGTGCTGGCTCATCTGTACAGCCTTCCTAAAGCAAAGTACGTACCAGTCTGTAAGGATGGAGATTCTTTTGCATTTTCTAACAAGTCATGTAATTCACAGCCTCGGCCAATTCCAAAGGTAGTTCCGATTCTTCTTCTTCTTTTTTCTCTCTCTAATTCCTGCCCCGATCCTAATAATAGCCCATCAGCTATTGAAAATACCTCTAATTCAAAGGCTGCAGCAGAAGTCAATCCTGAATCTGGTGGATCAAAGGGTGTGTTGGCCAAGCTAGCCATTGATAAGCTGAAGGACTCTAAAGAGAGTGATGAAAGTATGCCTATCGAGGGAGAGGCAATAGAAGATTTCAGTATCAAATCCAAGTCTGAACGCAAAATGGAATCTAGTGGCAATAAAAGCAGGGACAGGGACAGGGACAGGGACAGGGAGAGAGATAAGGAGAGGGAAAGGGAGAGAGACAGAGACAGAGACAGAGACAGGGATAGAATGAAAGTCCGGGGGGCAGGGATTCTGACCGGGAATGAGATCGAGAAGAGGCTGAGAGGGACAGAACCAAGGACCGAGGTTATCGTTCAAAGGATAGAGCAAAAGATTCAGGTTGGTTATGGGTTTTATACCTCCCCCCCCCCTCCCCCTCCCCCCAACGTTGTCAAAATTGGATTTATGAACTTGCGTCATATCAAATTTTCTCAATCTTCAATTTCTATGTTGAATGCACAATATTCTGCAGGGGGCATTTGGAGAAATCAAGACATCAGTCGTCCCGAGGTATGCTTATTCAAGAATAGTTCATGTGCTTTTTCTTTTTCTTTTTTCCTGAAATTGTGTGGATGTTCAGTTTAAATCCCGTCATCTGACACTTACCCTTGTTTTACAGATCGCGACTATAACAATTCCTCCTACTCTTCACGGGAAAAGGATCGCCATAGACATCATTCTTACGCTTGAACTGATCATCAAGTTCATGACATCTCTCTTTTTCTCCTAAACTTCAACGGAACTGAAAATACTTTGGGCTTTGTATGTTGACAGAAAATGTAAAAGTGAGCAACATTGAGACTAGTTAAGGATAAGCATGACTCTTTAACACGTGAGGTGTTTTTATATAAACTTGTCTGTGCAGGAAATGCTAACAATACAAGTTTGGCACTGGAAGCAATCATGCTTTTTGTTATCTTCCTTACAGCTTTCGATTGCTGAGGTGAACGAAAAAATGTCATTTTCTTCAAATTCCAAGCATGCTCGAGCGACATATTTGCAAACTGAATTCCATTAGATCCAATGGAAAGCTCTATGGTTACTTCCTTAAGTTGATGAATAAAAGAAATGTTTTGCAATCTCCAATATCCCATATTAAACCCAGAACACTGCAGGAAAGGCAACAATCAACAAGCAAATCAGTTGAAATTTCCGCACCCAAAAAAAAAAAACTAATCATGAAAGAGAGGGGGAAAGAAATATAGGCAACACTTTCACTTACATCATTTTTGGTTCAAAGAATTCTGGGTCAGACATTATTTCCAAAGTACTCAAATTACACATTTCTTGAAAAGTGGAGACCATTCTTGGGACTAGCATATCACGAAAGCTTCCAACATGATCGAATAGACAAATAACAAACATTCTCTAATAGCAGTGGCATGAAATCTCCATAGAAGACAGCCTACAACTTAATAACACAAACATAAGGAACCGAAAGACAAGAATTACAAATATTAATTAAGAAAAGAACTACCTGCAATATATTTGAGAAAACAAGTCGATGAAATAGTCATTACTAACTAAAAGTTGAAACTATCATGGTTTTTGAAGTACTTGATCTGTCAAAGTACTATTACAAAGTTTCAGACTGACTAAAACAAACAAGAAACATCAACATGAAATTTCATTCTAGCCAGAATAACCAAAATTAATGAAAAATATAACCAAATCTTATTGCCATCAGTTTTCTGAAATTAACTTACCCCTATTGCCATGCTGGGAAAGAATATAACCTAAACAAGACAAAATTGAAAAAACAAAAACCATTGAATAAAAAGAACATCTTGAAGAGTAGTGTCTAGTTACCATCGTGGTCTCTCTGTTTAGAACAAGAGTTTCAACCTTGTTTATACTGCAGAGAACCTCAGACGATATATTAAAGCAACGGCGATTAGATTCCAGAAAAAACTCGGCTTTCTCTAAAGACGTAGATTTCCCCAAACCTTGGCCAATCCATACATCATCCCCTGACAATTTCAAATACTTAAGATTTGGAGCAAAAATATTCACCAAATTCTTGATACAGTTATGAAGATCCAAGTGAACAAGTATGTCTTCAAGTTTTTCAGCTGAGATGCTAAGGATAAGGTCAATATACACAGGGGAATCAAGCACAAAACTAAAAGATTTCAAAGAGGAGCTTTCAATGGTGATCTGATTTATTCCAAAAATATCTTCAAGATGTAATTCCTTGATGCACTTACATGAACATGAGATCCATTTGAAAAACCCCTCATCTTCTATGAAAACATCATCCAACTTCAAGTATTTCAGTCAATCGCAGTGTTTGAAAAATGGGCCCAGGCGGTCGCTAAGCGGGTGGTAGGCGGCTAGGCGGTCGCTAGGCGGCTAGGAGGTCGCTAGGCGGCTAGGAGGTCGCTAGGCGGGCGGTAGGCGGCTAGACGGTCGCTAGGCGGGCGATAGGCCGCTAGGCGGTCGCTAGGCGGGCGCTAGGCGGTCGCTAGGCGGGCGCTAGGCGGCTAGGCGGCTAGGCGGCTAGGCAGTCTCTACGCGTCTAGGCAGTAGCTAGGCCGGAGTTAGGCGGCTAGGCGGTCGCTAGGAGGTCGCTAGGCGGCTAGGCAGTCGCTAGGAGGGCGGTAGGCATCTAGGCGGTGGCTAGGCGGCCGTAGGCGGCTAGGCGGTGGCTAGGCGGGCCTTAGGCGGCTAGGCAGTAGCTAGGCCGGAGCTAGGCGGCTGGGCGGGCGCCTAGGTGGGTTGACTCTTTTTCCGGTGCCGAACCTGGAGGACGAAGCAGTGACTGCAAGTGCAATATCCGTCCTCTGCGAGTGCAAGTTTTTGGAATATATTTAAAGCGTATAGCCGGTCGGCTATACCGTAAAAATATTCGAATGTATTTAGAGAGTATAGCCGAACGGCTATACGTTTAAAATATTCAAATATATTTGAAGAGTATAGCCGCTCGACTATACCCTTTAAATATACAATTTTGTCATGCACGTGGGCAACACTAGCATCCATGAGCGGGTCTTACTTATACATCGGGGACTGGTATGACATCTGAGAAGAAGTACGATGCCAAAAAAGCAGCTTGTTGGGGTGCTATGGATTGGCTAATCGGAAAAGATCGTTCGACTCCACTGGTGGATCTTCTTATGAGAGTAAATCAGAAAGACGTATTTTAAAGGAGATGGGTTTCATTTGTCATGTTGAGCATCCTCATAAGTTTATATCAAATTATCTTGCCACTCTGGAGACACCACCAGAATGAACACAAGAAGCCTGGAAACTAGCAAATGACAGGTACTTCCCCCAACAGATGCCAATTACTTATTTACTTTCTTGGCACTTGGTTTTTCCATTTGACTTTGAAACTTTCGAACTTTACATTGTTGTTTAATTATTTGGAATTTTTTTTTTACTGGATTATGTGTCTTTTGTTGTCCTTATTGGTGATAGTTCATTTGAAAAACTTATACTCAATGTACTATTTTGTTGTTTTAGTTCTCACTAACCTTATTGGTGATAGTACAACATTGTGTGTGCGATTCAAGAGTAGGGTGCTGGCTCATCTGTACAGCCTTCCTAAAGCAAAGTACGTACCAGTCTGTACGGATGGAGATTCTTTTACATTTTCTAACAAGTCATGTAATTCACAGTCTCAGCCAATTCCAAAGGTAGTTTCGATTCTTCTTCTTCTTTTTTCTCTCTCTAATTCCTGCCCCGTTCCTAATAATAGCCCATTAGCTATTGACAATATATACCTCTAATTCGAAGGCTGCAGCAGAAGTCAATCCTGAATCTGGTGGATCAAAGGGTGTGTTGGCCAAGCTAGCCATTGACAAGCTGAAGGACTCTAAAGAGAGTGATGAAAGTATGCCTATTGAGGGAGAGGCAATAGAAGATTTCAGTATCAAATCCAAGTCTGAACGCAAAATGGAATCTAGTGGCAATAAAAGCTGGGACAGGGACAGGGAGAGAGGTAAGGAGACAGAGACAGGGATAGAATGACAGTCCGGGGGGGAGGCAGGGATTCTGACCGGAACAAGATCGAGAAGAGGCTGAGAGGGACAGAACCAAGGACCGAGGTTAAGAATAGTTCATATGCTTCTTTTTGTTTCTTCAAATTGTGTGGACGTTCAGTTCAAGCCCCGTCATCTGACACTTACCCTTATTTTACAGATCGCGACTATCACAATTCCTCCTACTCTTCACGGGAAAAGGATCGCCATAGACATCATTCTTACACTTGAACTGATCATCAAGTCCAAGACATCTCTCTTTTTCTCCTAAACTTCAACGGAACTGAAAATACTTTGGGCTTTGTATGTTGACAGAAAATGTGAAAGTGAGCAACGTTGAGACTAGTTAAGGATAAGCATGACTCTTCTAACACGTGAGGGGTTTTTATATAAACTTGTCTGTGTAGGAAATGCTAACAATATAGGAAAGAAGTCCTAATTACAATAGGAACTATACAAAAAGGAAAGTAAATACAACTTAGAATATAAAAATGGAAACTAAAATTACCTGCTCACAGAGGGAAATATCACTATATAAAGTCCCACAACTCAATTGGTTAATCCCATAACTTGCAAAGCTTTCTTTTTGAGATTCTTGCAACGTCAAATCAATCGCTCTCTAGTTTTCATTGTTAAGTCTTGTGCATTCAATCTCTCACTCATGGAGAAAACAAAATCATCCCTTCATGCTCACGCTAACGAAGGTCTCACCACTGTTCTTTCTATTGATGGAGGCGGAATAAGAGGGATTATTCCAGGAGTTATGCTTGCATTCCTAGAGTCTACGCTTCAGGTAAAAAATCAAAACTAGAACTCTATTATGAGCAATTTATAATATCAAATTTTGTTCACCAAACAATATTCTTTCATTACAATATGAGCCCGATCTGCATTTTGTCACCAAGTGCTCCAAAATTTTATCATACCACATTACCACTGCATGCACGCCGCTATGTACATATATATTGCTTTATTTTGCAGTTAATTTATTAGTGGTCACTTTTATCGAATGTCCACGTATAGCAGTAGATAAATAAATACGTGTATTATAATATGAGTAAACTAGTCATGTCATTACGTAGTGCTATACCTAACTATCATGTTTATTTCATTAGTCACAATTTGATATTAGTGTGTTTATCGTACTTTTTTTCTTTCTTCTGTAATCTAATACGACTAATTTTTGCTTTACTCGTTTGCTATATGCAGAAGATAGATGGTGATCATGTAAGGCTTGTAGATTATCTTGATTGGGTTGTAGGGACGAGCACAGGTGGCCTTATGGCGTCCATGCTTACTACCCCAAATAAAAATAATCGTCCCTTATATGATGCTAAAGATATCGTCCCCTTTTATCGCCAACACTGCCCTAAGATTTTCCCCCAACCCAGGTACGTATAGTTAATTGTTGACAGAAAGTCTTGTACTGCGTACCTTTTATATGCATAACGAGTAACAATAATTAATTTTGATTCCTTGTGCAGCAGCTCTCGCATCGGCAAAATCATACATTATTTGAAATGTTTAGTAGGCCCCAAATATAATGGGAAGTATTTACGTAAGCTGTTGAAGGAAATACTAGGAGACAAACATTTGCATGACATGTTGACTAACATTGCAATCACAACTACTGATATAAAGCAAGGATGTGCAGTTATTTTCTCCAGCCATAAGGTTTGTTTATTAATTATCTCCTAATTCGAACACATATGTGTATATAATTTAATTCTTGGGTTTTCTCTTTTTGTAAATAATTGTTGATTTTGTGTATATATGTTGGTCATGATTTCAGTTGAAAAAGGATCCCAGCCTAGATGCTTTGATGTCGGATATATGTGTCGGAACTTCAGCAGCCCCAGCCTACCTTCCACCTCATCAATTTAATACCACAACTTCAACAGGCGAATCAAGAGAATTCAATCTCATTGATGGTGGAATTGCTGCCAATAACCCGGTAATATTGTTGTGACCCAATTTCAAAAACTTAATTTGCATCTGAATAATTCGTATATATGATCATTATTTAATTTTTTACCCTTTCTTTTTTGGGGGTAGGCTGTGGTTGGTATAACCGAATCGGAAATGGACATGCACGAGGGCAACACTGGCATCCATGAGCGGGTCTTACTTATATCACTGGGGACTGGTATGACATCTGAGAAGAAGTACGATGCCAAAAAAGCAGCTTGTTGGGGTGCTCTGGATTGGCTGATCGGAAAAGATCGTTCGGCTCCACTGGTGGATCTTCTTATGAGAGTAAATAGTGACATGAATGAGTACCTCAGTGGTTCCTTTTTTAAAGCTCTTCAGCCTAATAGCAATTACCTCCGAATTCAGGTAACACAATAAAATTGAGATAAATGTCAAGTGGTCGTTTGTTTGTTTTTATGTTATGTATATGTACACAGAATCAAAATACACGCGCCTAAATTATGTACAAGACAAACTAAGCATGGAATTGGAAATGAATGCAGGACGATACACTAAGTGGAACATTGGCTTCTGTGGATATTGCCACAGAAGAAAACTTGAATGATCTTGTAAAAGTTGGAGAGGCATTGTTGAAGAAACCCGTTTCGAGATTGAATTTTGGTACCGGTAAACTCGAGCCTGTTCATCCTGAGGTTACAAATGAAGAGGCTCTCGCGAGGTACAAATTTTCTAATTTATTCTCATTATTAAGTTGTGTAAATTCAATAAATTATCATACTGATTACTTTTGTTTTGTCCATTAATTTGCATGATCTTGTAGGATGGCGAAAATTCTCTCTGAGGAGAGGGCTCGGAGGCAGAGGGTGGTCGTTCACGAAAATGCTGCTCTGCTCTCACATAAGTCCTTGTAGTTATGTTTTTCGTTAAGAGAAATAAATAGCTCAATAATTTTTATTTTTATTTTTATTTCATGTAATTCAGTTCTGAAACTAATTTCTCCCAATTTTATGTATATATTTGTAACTGGGAAATTATTCAATTTATTCATGACGTGGCCAATGAAAGCAGCTTGAGTTGTTTTAAGTCTTCTTCTTCATTATGTTGTTGGAGTTTGTGTGCACTGATAAAGCACTATGAAATTAAAAACGAAAACAAAACAAAAAGCACTTTGAAATTAATCCTTAGCAACATGTTTGATAATGAACAGATTCTTGAGATTGAACTACTGCATCTGTAAAGAAGAACGAACCTATGATGTAGATGGTTGGCTTGCTGCATGGAAGGCGAGTGGCTTCATGTCATGGGACGCATGTAACTTAAAAACTCTCCAGGCAGCTCTTCCAAAAGACCTTGAACAACAGAAATTAATATGCCCACCTGTTACATTAATCGCACAGCTATACGCCTTCAAATAATATATTTAAATAGTATGACTGTGAGACTATAATATATGTGGAATTATTATCCCCATAATCTTGATTTATGAGGCTTAGCGTACCCAATGCATCCACTTATTCAAGCTGTTTAGGATCATGATCTGTTACTCATTTTTGTATTGTTCTCCTATCATTGGCCATCTTTAATTGTAATAATCATGTGTAAATTGAAATACTCTAATTAAGTAATAATTATATATGAATACTCGAATTGGGTTATATTAGTTATTGAATTTGAAGTTTTGTATCATGTTGAGCTTTAAGATGGTTTGGTATTCTAGAAAATGAGTTAAGTATGGAGCAAGTTGTGAATTTGTTTTTTGCACTTCAGCTAACAATGTTGAAAAAATTGCAAAAGAAAAGAGAATTGGACTTAGGCTCAAACCGGCCAAATCAAACAGTCTTTAATTGGTTTAGTTCGGTTTTCTCTGTGACTTTTGTTAAAATCGAAGAATTCTAAATTATTATATTGTAATTGATTTAGCCGCGATTTTAAAGTGAAATCAATCCAATTCAGACCATACCCACCCCTATATAGAATTTCAAACCTGAAATCTAAGGTCCTTTTTTTATTCCTACTTTTTTTTTTGACGAACTTGACTAGACTCCTTTTCTTTTTTGTTTTTCCTATTTTCGTTTTTCTTTTTTGGTAGTGAGAAATGATGGTTTATTAAGGCCACGTGGATAGCATAGAATCATGGTCCAGCTTCCAAGCTTGCACTGGTGCTGCATCCAAGCGCATTTTTCTTTGGCCCCTTTCAACCAAATTCCCCTAAATCCCAAAGGAGCCTACTTTGACATTTCTCAGGCCCAGTTTTTTACTTCCATTTCTATCACACCCTTCCCTTTCTATGCTCCAAGTCTTTAATCATCCACCTGTTTTATCATTATTTCCAGAAGGCCCCAAAATTTAGGGTTTTCATCACACCCTGCACCTCCTCTTCTGGTAAGCTCTTTCTTCTCTCTCCTCAAAGCTAAGAGTTAAATCCTTTCTCCCAATACTGTGTTTCTGGCAAGTTGGTAACAAATAACTTTCATGTACTAGTAAATTAGTAATCAATTCAACAAATGTTAGTGTGCTTGTAATCTTGGTTGTGGGTTTTTGGTTTAAAGTCATGATCTTGGACTTAGAATTCAGGGTTTCCGGGAAAAAGGGGCTTACTTAAGTTAGATTGCTCATTAAATGATCATCGGGGTTGGATTTGTTGACTTTCTTTAAACTGTTTTCCGTTGACTCAGCGTGAAATACACTGATTTTGGCGTCGTGTTGATGTAAAGTTGGGCTCAGATGATAACCCACATGCTCTTTTATGATCATTTCGATACTGTAATATTTTATGTCAATATTTTTATCCGTAATTTTTATGCGAATGCTGATGTGCTGCTTCCATTATTGTTTTGAACTGGGTTTTTGCATTGTTTTCATGCCTGCATATGTTCGCAAAGCAGGTTCTTTGGGGCGATGGTTTTTCGATGTATATGCACACAAGCTGTAGAAAGTAGCTAAGTTGTCTACATTCAAGCACACACACGATGAGCCAGTGCTATAATTTTGAAATCTTTTTATGGTTTTTTGGATATATATGCACACAAAGCTGTAGAAAGTAGCTATAAGTTGTCTAAAGTCAAGCACACACACGATGAACTAGTGCTGTAATGGTGAAATCTTTTTCTGCACCAGCTTTATGAATGCATTTTGAAATGGCTTTTGGGTACATCTTATTAGATTGTAGTAAATTTAGTAGATAGTTTTGGCAACTTAGCATAATTGTATACTGGTTTTTAATTGCTTTTATTCGAACGTTTGAAGTTCCTTGTGATGGCGAGGACAAAGCTTATCTTAATCTGCCAGTCTGGTGGTGAATTCGTCATAAAGGATCATGGATCCATGTCATATACGGGTGGAGAGGCACATGCAGTAGATATCAATCTTGAAACCATATTTGATGATCTCTCAAGTTTAAATCAGTATCTTCTCATCTTCTTTGACGCAACAGCCCATGATCCTAGCAAGAGTTCTATGTTGGAGCTTGGAGATCAACAACGTCTCATTTTTAACACCTCTATGCCTTGCCCTGAGCTACTAGATAGTCCTTGTACTGCTATTTCCTTCCCTTCTCGTAGGGTACCTACGAATTAATCACTTCATTCATGTCTTTATGTCCTTATCTGTTATTGTAACTGTGTTGATATTGTTCATTGCGATCAATATGCTATCAAAATTATAGATGAATAGCTCCGATGGATCTTGGTTTATGATATATTCTTGAAGAGTGTCTCTTGAATTCTCCGTTGTATCAATACTCAGCATTCGCGATATACCTGAAATTTTGTGTATTGAATATTTATTTGTTATTTGTTACTTATTAGTGGTTACTTTAGTGATTTCATAATGCAAAATCCATTTAATGTTGTATTTTCTGAAGCCCAGGCCCTTCTCTCTTGCCCAGGCCCTTTTATAAACCCTAAACATAACACACAACCTCTCGTATTCTTCAATCTCATCGTCGTCTCTCTCTCTCGCCTCATATCACCATCGTCATCTCGTCCCAGACCTTGGAGTTCCAAAATGGCCTTTTCTTTCTTCTAGGCGCCAGCGCCTGCCTAGCCCCCCTGCCTAGGCCATTTATTCAGATATGAGTGACAGTGTGTTCAAGGATTTAACTTTTAAAGAAGATCTCTGAGAATTGGAAAAGAAAGAGATGATGCTTACATTGTTCCTACAACCTTGTGAGTATTTGCTAGACTCTGCGTGCCTTAAACGATACGTGCCAATCCAAAATCTGAAAGTTTTGGGTTCATGTTCTCATCCAAGAGAATGTTACTGACCTTCAAATCTCTATGTATTACCTTCAAACAGGAATCATGGTGGAGATAAAGAAGTATGTTACACAGGCTTAATTATTTGAATCTGTCAATTGATATGAGTACATATGCTATGACTATTAGAAGTATATTACATTTTCTACAGAATATACACTCCCAACAATCTTATTATATATTCTTCTGAGTTCTGGGTGGTACAGCAACAAAAGCTTTAATGAAAGGCATATAAACATGGAAGAAAGAGACAATGATGAAGAATGTAAGAATTTCACACAACTATCCGGATCCCCTGGGCTATCAATGAGTCTGTTACCAACGTACTAACAAGGAATTTGAGATTTCACGTGACTTTCAGGAAGCAGAAAAGCAGTCGGAATTGGAGTCCAAACGTGGTGGTGAGTGTATATATAGACCAAGTTTAGAGATTATGCACTAATATGAACTAAAAGAAAACTCTAAAGCGCACATCCCCTCTGTTGCAGATGGTTTCATTGCAAGATGAGCAGGTCAGTTCCAAGTTCTTGGTTATCTGCAATTTTGAAGTTGTTTCAGATTCTGTCTTATTGAATTTGTGAACTCTATCCAGGCACCTATATCACACAACATTTAATGGAAGGAGTTATTGATGCTTGTGTATGTCTCAGTGGCTTTTCTTATTGTTCACATTGTTAAGGTAAGTTATTTTACTATGTAGTTTTGTATAACTAAATACGCTTTTCAAAAGATAAGATCATCACACATCACAACAAAAGCAAGATAACTCGAATGAATGCCCTAAGAACCATGAAATGAAATTATAAAGCTGTCCGGAGGACTGTAAGCTGATTATGGTTGCACTTGGATTGAAATTAAGCTTTAGAATTGGGTTTACTAGATTTTTTAAAAAGAAATAGTATAGCCGAACGGCTATACTCGATTTTCCAAATTTATTTAAAATAAATTGTATAGCCGACCGGCTATACTCCGTTTTTTCTATTCGTTTTTAAATTTTTTAAAAAATAAATAGTATACCCGGCCCACTATACCCGGTTTTTTAATTTTTTTTTCAGAAGAAATCGTATAGCCGTACGGCTGTACTCGGTTTTTTAATTTTTTTTAAAAGAAATAGTATAGCCGTACGGCTAGACTGGGTCTTTATTGTAAACGTTAAAAACAAGTATATAAAAAAATTTAAAATAAGTAGAAAAAGATAAGTTACAAATGAACAACTATTCATCAAAACCATTCACTCTGTTCTTAAGTAAATTATCGTCCCCTAAAAATCCATCATGTTCACTAATATTGGATTGTCCATGGAATTGATTTAACATATTTCCAGGGAAAGAATTTCTGAGTTGGGTGGCAATCAAAACAGCCAAACAGGCTAGCAACAAAAAGCAGCTACTTAAAAAATCAAAAACCATAAGCTTCATGTAATCTACCAAATTATGTGGCTCTTAAAATATTGGTGGAACCTCTACGCAGTTTACTTTTGACTTCAAAAAAAAGCACATACGGTCCAGGATTGTCAATCAGTACACAGTTGAGTTAAACAAAAACAACACGTACACTTATATTCAAACAAAACCTCGAACAGCATAGGGATGACAGTTGATCCGATTGAGCTCTCTGGAAGTTTGGGTTGTCATTTTCTTCAAATTCCGAGCATGCTCAAGCACATATTTTGCAAACCGAATTCCATTAGATCCAATGGAAAGCTCTATGGTTACATCCTTAAGTTGATGAATAAAAGAAATGTTTTGCAATGTCCAATATCCCATATTAAACCCAGAACACTGCAGGAAAGGCAACAATCAACAAGCAAATCAGTTGAAATTTCCGCACCCAAAAAAAAACTAATCATGAAAGAGAGGGGGAAAGAAATGGGCAACACTTTCACTTACATCAGTTTTAGGTTCAAAGAATTCTGGGTCAGACATTATTTCCAAAGTGCTCAAATTACACATTCCTTGAGAAGTGGAGACTAGCATATCACGAAATTAAAGCTTCCAACATGAATAGACAAATAACAAACATTCTCTAATAGCAGTGCCATGAAATCTCCATAGAAGACAGCCTACAAGTTATAAACACAAACATAAGGAACCGAAAGACAAGAATTACAAATATTAATTAAGAAAAGAAGTACCTGCAATATATTTGAGAAAATAAGTCGATGAAATAGTCATTACTAACTAAAAGTTGAAACTATCATGGTTTTTGAAGTACTTGATCTGTCAAAGTACTATTACAAAGTTTCAGACTGACAATTCTAAAACAAACAAGAAACAGCAACATGAAATTTCATTCTAGCCAGTATAACCAAAATTAATGAAAAATACAACCAAATCTTATTGCCATCAGTTTTCTGAAATTAACTTACCCCTATTGCCATGCTGGGAAAGAAAATAACCTAAACAAGACAAAATTGAAAAAACAAAAACCATTGAATAAAAAGAACATCTTGAAGAGTAGTGTCTAGTTACCATGGCGGTCTCTCCCCTATTGCCATGCAGAGAACCTCAGACAATATTTTAAAGCAACGGCGATTACATTCCAGAAAAAAACTCGGCTTTCTCTAAAGACGTAGATTTCCCCAAACTGTGGCCAATCCCCTGACAATTTCAAATACTTAAGATTTGGAGCAAAAATATTGACCAAATTCTTGACACAGTTATGAAGATCCAAGTGAACAAGTATGTCTTCAAGTTTTTCAGCTGAGATGCTAAGGATAAGGTCAATATACACAGGGGAATCAAGCACAAAACTAAAAGATTTCAAAGAGGAGCTTTCAATGGTGATCTGATTTATTCCAAAAATATCTTCAAGATGTAACTCCTTGATGCACTTACATGAACATGAGATCCATTTGAAAAACCCATCATCTTCTATGAAAACATCATCCAACTTCCGGTGTTTGAAAAATCGGCCTACGCGGGCGGCTAGGCGGCTAGGCGGGCGCTAGGCGGCTAGGCGGTCGCTAGGCGGTAGCTAGGCGGCTAGGCGGTGGATAGGCGTCTAGGCAGTAGCTAGGCCGGAGCTAGGCGGCTGGGCGGGCGCCTAGGACGGTTGGCTCTTTTTCCGGTGCCAAACCTAGAGGACGAAGCAGTGACTGCGAGTGCAAGTTCCGTCCTCTGCGAGTGCAAGCTTTTGGAATATTTAAAGAGTATAGCTGCACGGCTATACTAATTTGTAAACAAACAAAAAAACCCGGGTATCGCCGGGCGGCTATACTATTTATTTATTTAAGAAGAGAACTCGCCGAGCAATTGTCGACAATAGTATAGCCGCCCGGCTATACTATTTTTAGAATTAAAAGACCGAGTATAGCCGACCGGCTATACCTTTAAAGTATTCTATTTTAGAGTTTACACGTACGTATTTTTGCAATCATTTGAGGTAAGGCTCTATTTTGATGATTTCGACTTTTGTTTTTGAAATTTCGGAACTTTCTCAGTTTTCTTTGAGATTCAATTTGATTAAATTTGGGAAATTTCACTTTGTGTAGAAGTTAGTTAGGGTTTCTACGATGATATACACGGCGATAGACACGTTCTATCTGACCGATGAGCAAGTGCAGAGCTCGCCGTCGAGAAAGGACGGCATGTACGAGGCGACGGAGACCGTCTATGGCTGTGATTTTATCCAAGAAAGCTGAATTTTGCTCAGATTGTACGGTTGAGTTCTGGTTTGTTTTAAGTTGTATAGTTTGTTGTTGTTCTTTTCTTTGAGGGTGAATTTTGTTAACTTTGTTTGCTTCATTTGATCACTTGCATGCAGACCTCAAGTTGATCAGGTTCTGTTTCACCGATTCTATTGTAAGAAGTTCTTTCTAAAACCATGGTCCGAAATCGAGAGGAATGAATGATTTCTTTTAAATTTTTGCCTGTTAATAATGTGATGCTTTCTTGTAGAAAAAGTTGCTGCTGGCTGTTTGTGGCTTGCATCAAAACCGGAGGAATGCCCTAAAAAATCCAGGCAGGTTATCATTGTTTCCCACAGGATGGAATGTAGGAGGGAGAACCTACCCATTGAGCCTTTGGATCCATATTCAAAGGTTAGAGCTCATATAATCCACATCGTGCTAAAGTCATTGTCTTCCATTATCATGATTTTGAGCCAAAAGCATGCTATGGTTTATCTCTGTCTTCTTTCTTTCCAGAAATCTTAGGACTTGAAGATGGAGTTGAGTAAAGCAGAAAGACATATTTTAAAGGAGGATGGGTTTCATTTGTCATGTTGAGCATCCACATAAGTTTATATCAAATTATCTTGCACACTGGAGACACCACCAGAATTAACACAAGAAGCCTGGAAACTAGCAAGTGAAAGGTACTTTCCCCAACATATGCCAATTACTTATTTACTTTCTTGGCACTTGGTTTTTCTATTTGACTTTCAAACTTTTGAACTTTACATTATTGTTTAATTATTGGGAATTTTTTGTTTTACTGGTGGATCAAAGGGCGTGTTGCGGTGTAGTTTATGCTGCCGCTTGGAGGTTTCAAGTGCCCCTTCCTGAGAATCCGCCATGGTGGAAGGCATTTGATGCTGAGAAATCAGGGATTGACGAAGTTTGTAGGGTGCTGGCTCATCTGTACAGCCTTCCTAAAGCAAAGTACGTACCAGTCTGTAAGGATGGAGATTCTTTTGCATTTTCTAACAAGTCATGTAATTCACAGCCTCGGCCAATTCCAAAGGTAGTTCCGATTCTTCTTCTTCTTTTTTCTCTCTCTAATTCCTGCCCCGATCCTAATAATAGCCCATCAGCTATTGAAAATACCTCTAATTCAAAGGCTGCAGCAGAAGTCAATCCTGAATCTGGTGGATCAAAGGGTGTGTTGGGCCAAGCTAGCCATTGATAAGCTGAAGGACTCTAAAGAGAGTGATGAAAGTATGCCTATCGAGGGAGAGGCAATAGAAGATTTCAGTATCAAATCCAAGTCTGAACGCAAAATGGAATCTAGTGGCAATAAAAGCAGGGACAGGGACAGGGACAGGGACAGGGAGAGAGATAAGGAGAGGGAAAGGGAGAGAGACAGAGACAGAGACAGAGACAGGGATAGAATGAAAGTCCGGGGGGCAGGGATTCTGACCGGGAATGAGATCGAGAAGAGGCTGAGAGGGACAGAACCAAGGACCGAGGTTATCGTTCAAAGGATAGAGCAAAAGATTCAGGTTGGTTATGGGTTTTATACCTCCCCCCCCTCCCCCCAACGTTGTCAAAATTGGATTTATGAACTTGCGTCATATCAAATTTTCTCAATCTTCAATTTCTATGTTGAATGCACAATATTCTGCAGGGGGCATTTGGAGAAATCAAGACATCAGTCGTCCCGAGGTATGCTTATTCAAGAATAGTTCATGTGCTTTTTCTTTTTCTTTTTTCCTGAAATTGTGTGGATGTTCAGTTTAAATCCCGTCATCTGACACTTACCCTTGTTTTACAGATCGCGACTATAACAATTCCTCCTACTCTTCACGGGAAAAGGATCGCCATAGACATCATTCTTACGCTTGAACTGATCATCAAGTTCATGACATCTCTCTTTTTCTCCTAAACTTCAACGGAACTGAAAATACTTTGGGCTTTGTATGTTGACAGAAAATGTAAAAGTGAGCAACATTGAGACTAGTTAAGGATAAGCATGACTCTTTAACACGTGAGGTGTTTTTATATAAACTTGTCTGTGCAGGAAATGCTAACAATACAAGTTTGGCACTGGAAGCAATCATGCTTTTTGTTATCTTCCTTACAGCTTTCGATTGCTGAGGTGAACGAAAAAAATGTCATTTTCTTCAAATTCCAAGCATGCTCGAGCGACATATTTGCAAACTGAATTCCATTAGATCCAATGGAAAGCTCTATGGTTACTTCCTTAAGTTGATGAATAAAAGAAATGTTTTGCAATCTCCAATATCCCATATTAAACCCAGAACACTGCAGGAAAGGCAACAATCAACAAGCAAATCAGTTGAAATTTCCGCACCCAAAAAAAAACTAATCATGAAAGAGAGGGGGAAAGAAATATAGGCAACACTTTCACTTACATCATTTTTGGTTCAAAGAATTCTGGGTCAGACATTATTTCCAAAGTACTCAAATTACACATTTCTTGAAAAGTGGAGACCATTCTTGGGACTAGCATATCACGAAAGCTTCCAACATGATCGAATAGACAAATAACAAACATTCTCTAATAGCAGTGGCATGAAATCTCCATAGAAGACAGCCTACAACTTAATAACACAAACATAAGGAACCGAAAGACAAGAATTACAAATATTAATTAAGAAAAGAACTACCTGCAATATATTTGAGAAAACAAGTCGATGAAATAGTCATTACTAACTAAAAGTTGAAACTATCATGGTTTTTGAAGTACTTGATCTGTCAAAGTACTATTACAAAGTTTCAGACTGACTAAAACAAACAAGAAACATCAACATGAAATTTCATTCTAGCCAGAATAACCAAAATTAATGAAAAATATAACCAAATCTTATTGCCATCAGTTTTCTGAAATTAACTTACCCCTATTGCCATGCTGGGAAAGAATATAACCTAAACAAGACAAAATTGAAAAAACAAAAACCATTGAATAAAAAGAACATCTTGAAGAGTAGTGTCTAGTTACCATCGTGGTCTCTCTGTTTAGAACAAGAGTTTCAACCTTGTTTATACTGCAGAGAACCTCAGACGATATATTAAAGCAACGGCGATTAGATTCCAGAAAAAACTCGGCTTTCTCTAAAGACGTAGATTTCCCCAAACCTTGGCCAATCCATACATCATCCCCTGACAATTTCAAATACTTAAGATTTGGAGCAAAAATATTCACCAAATTCTTGATACAGTTATGAAGATCCAAGTGAACAAGTATGTCTTCAAGTTTTTCAGCTGAGATGCTAAGGATAAGGTCAATATACACAGGGGAATCAAGCACAAAACTAAAAGATTTCAAAGAGGAGCTTTCAATGGTGATCTGATTTATTCCAAAAATATCTTCAAGATGTAATTCCTTGATGCACTTACATGAACATGAGATCCATTTGAAAAACCCCTCATCTTCTATGAAAACATCATCCAACTTCAAGTATTTCAGTCAATCGCAGTGTTTGAAAAATGGGCCCAGGCGGTCGCTAAGCGGGTGGTAGGCGGCTAGGCGGTCGCTAGGCGGCTAGGAGGTCGCTAGGCGGCTAGGAGGTCGCTAGGCGGGCGGTAGGCGGCTAGACGGTCGCTAGGCGGGCGATAGGCCGCTAGGCGGTCGCTAGGCGGGCGCTAGGCGGTCGCTAGGCGGGCGCTAGGCGGTCGCTAGGCGGGCGCTAGGCGGCTAGGCGGCTAGGCAGTCTCTACGCGTCTAGGCAGTAGCTAGGCCGGAGTTAGGCGGCTAGGCGGTCGCTAGGAGGTCGCTAGGCGGCTAGGCAGTCGCTAGGAGGGCGGTAGGCATCTAGGCGGTGGCTAGGCGGCCGTAGGCGGCTAGGCGGTGGCTAGGCGGGCCTTAGGCGGCTAGGCAGTAGCTAGGCCGGAGCTAGGCGGCTGGGCGGGCGCCTAGGTGGGTTGACTCTTTTTCCGGTGCCGAACCTGGAGGACGAAGCAGTGACTGCAAGTGCAATATCCGTCCTCTGCGAGTGCAAGTTTTTGGAATATATTTAAAGCGTATAGCCGGTCGGCTATACCGTAAAAATATTCGAATGTATTTAGAGAGTATAGCCGAACGGCTATACGTTTAAAATATTCAAATATATTTGAAGAGTATAGCCGCTCGACTATACCCTTTAAATATACAATTTTGTCATGCACGTGGGCAACACTAGCATCCATGAGCGGGTCTTACTTATACATCGGGGACTGGTATGACATCTGAGAAGAAGTACGATGCCAAAAAAGCAGCTTGTTGGGGTGCTATGGATTGGCTAATCGGAAAAGATCGTTCGACTCCACTGGTGGATCTTCTTATGAGAGTAAATCAGAAAGACGTATTTTAAAGGAGATGGGTTTCATTTGTCATGTTGAGCATCCTCATAAGTTTATATCAAATTATCTTGCCACTCTGGAGACACCACCAGAATGAACACAAGAAGCCTGGAAACTAGCAAATGACAGGTACTTCCCCCAACAGATGCCAATTACTTATTTACTTTCTTGGCACTTGGTTTTTCCATTTGACTTTGAAACTTTCGAACTTTACATTGTTGTTTAATTATTTGGAATTTTTTTTTTACTGGATTATGTGTCTTTTGTTGTCCTTATTGGTGATAGTTCATTTGAAAAACTTATACTCAATGTACTATTTTGTTGTTTTAGTTCTCACTAACCTTATTGGTGATAGTACAACATTGTGTGTGCGATTCAAGAGTAGGGTGCTGGCTCATCTGTACAGCCTTCCTAAAGCAAAGTACGTACCAGTCTGTACGGATGGAGATTCTTTTACATTTTCTAACAAGTCATGTAATTCACAGTCTCAGCCAATTCCAAAGGTAGTTTCGATTCTTCTTCTTCTTTTTTTCTCTCTCTAATTCCTGCCCCGTTCCTAATAATAGCCCATTAGCTATTGACAATATATACCTCTAATTCGAAGGCTGCAGCAGAAGTCAATCCTGAATCTGGTGGATCAAAGGGTGTGTTGGCCAAGCTAGCCATTGACAAGCTGAAGGACTCTAAAGAGAGTGATGAAAGTATGCCTATTGAGGGAGAGGCAATAGAAGATTTCAGTATCAAATCCAAGTCTGAACGCAAAATGGAATCTAGTGGCAATAAAAGCTGGGACAGGGACAGGGAGAGAGGTAAGGAGACAGAGACAGGGATAGAATGACAGTCCGGGGGGGAGGCAGGGATTCTGACCGGAACAAGATCGAGAAGAGGCTGAGAGGGACAGAACCAAGGACCGAGGTTAAGAATAGTTCATATGCTTCTTTTTGTTTCTTCAAATTGTGTGGACGTTCAGTTCAAGCCCCGTCATCTGACACTTACCCTTATTTTACAGATCGCGACTATCACAATTCCTCCTACTCTTCACGGGAAAAGGATCGCCATAGACATCATTCTTACACTTGAACTGATCATCAAGTCCAAGACATCTCTCTTTTTCTCCTAAACTTCAACGGAACTGAAAATACTTTGGGCTTTGTATGTTGACAGAAAATGTGAAAGTGAGCAACGTTGAGACTAGTTAAGGATAAGCATGACTCTTCTAACACGTGAGGGGTTTTTATATAAACTTGTCTGTGTAGGAAATGCTAACAATATAGGAAAGAAGTCCTAATTACAATAGGAACTATACAAAAAGGAAAGTAAATACAACTTAGAATATAAAAATGGAAACTAAAATTACCTGCTCACAGAGGGAAATATCACTATATAAAGTCCCACAACTCAATTGGTTAATCCCATAACTTGCAAAGCTTTCTTTTTGAGATTCTTGCAACGTCAAATCAATCGCTCTCTAGTTTTCATTGTTAAGTCTTGTGCATTCAATCTCTCACTCATGGAGAAAACAAAATCATCCCTTCATGCTCACGCTAACGAAGGTCTCACCACTGTTCTTTCTATTGATGGAGGCGGAATAAGAGGGATTATTCCAGGAGTTATGCTTGCATTCCTAGAGTCTACGCTTCAGGTAAAAAATCAAAACTAGAACTCTATTATGAGCAATTTATAATATCAAATTTTGTTCACCAAACAATATTCTTTCATTACAATATGAGCCCGATCTGCATTTTGTCACCAAGTGCTCCAAAATTTTATCATACCACATTACCACTGCATGCACGCCGCTATGTACATATATATTGCTTTATTTTGCAGTTAATTTATTAGTGGTCACTTTTATCGAATGTCCACGTATAGCAGTAGATAAATAAATACGTGTATTATAATATGAGTAAACTAGTCATGTCATTACGTAGTGCTATACCTAACTATCATGTTTATTTCATTAGTCACAATTTGATATTAGTGTGTTTATCGTACTTTTTTTCTTTCTTCTGTAATCTAATACGACTAATTTTTGCTTTACTCGTTTGCTATATGCAGAAGATAGATGGTGATCATGTAAGGCTTGTAGATTATCTTGATTGGGTTGTAGGGACGAGCACAGGTGGCCTTATGGCGTCCATGCTTACTACCCCAAATAAAATAATCGTCCCTTATATGATGCTAAAGATATCGTCCCCTTTTATCGCCAACACTGCCCTAAGATTTTCCCCCAACCCAGGTACGTATAGTTAATTGTTGACAGAAAGTCTTGTACTGCGTACCTTTTATATGCATAACGAGTAACAATAATTAATTTTGATTCCTTGTGCAGCAGCTCTCGCATCGGCAAAATCATACATTATTTGAAATGTTTAGTAGGCCCCAAATATAATGGGAAGTATTTACGTAAGCTGTTGAAGGAAATACTAGGAGACAAACATTTGCATGACATGTTGACTAACATTGCAATCACAACTACTGATATAAAGCAAGGATGTGCAGTTATTTTCTCCAGCCATAAGGTTTGTTTATTAATTATCTCCTAATTCGAACACATATGTGTATATAATTTAATTCTTGGGTTTTCTCTTTTTGTAAATATTGTTGATTTTGTGTATATATGTTGGTCATGATTTCAGTTGAAAAAGGATCCCAGCCTAGATGCTTTGATGTCGGATATATGTGTCGGAACTTCAGCAGCCCCAGCCTACCTTCCACCTCATCAATTTAATACCACAACTTCAACAGGCGAATCAAGAGAATTCAATCTCATTGATGGTGGAATTGCTGCCAATAACCCGGTAATATTGTTGTGACCCAATTTCAAAAACTTAATTTGCATCTGAATAATTCGTATATATGATCATTATTTAATTTTTTACCCTTTCTTTTTTGGGGGTAGGCTGTGGTTGGTATAACCGAATCGGAAATGGACATGCACGAGGGCAACACTGGCATCCATGAGCGGGTCTTACTTATATCACTGGGGACTGGTATGACATCTGAGAAGAAGTACGATGCCAAAAAAGCAGCTTGTTGGGGTGCTCTGGATTGGCTGATCGGAAAAGATCGTTCGGCTCCACTGGTGGATCTTCTTATGAGAGTAAATAGTGACATGAATGAGTACCTCAGTGGTTCCTTTTTTAAAGCTCTTCAGCCTAATAGCAATTACCTCCGAATTCAGGTAACACAATAAAATTGAGATAAATGTCAAGTGGTCGTTTGTTTGTTTTTATGTTATGTATATGTACACAGAATCAAAATACACGCGCCTAAATTATGTACAAGACAAACTAAGCATGGAATTGGAAATGAATGCAGGACGATACACTAAGTGGAACATTGGCTTCTGTGGATATTGCCACAGAAGAAAACTTGAATGATCTTGTAAAAGTTGGAGAGGCATTGTTGAAGAAACCCGTTTCGAGATTGAATTTTGGTACCGGTAAACTCGAGCCTGTTCATCCTGAGGTTACAAATGAAGAGGCTCTCGCGAGGTACAAATTTTCTAATTTATTCTCATTATTAAGTTGTGTAAATTCAATAAATTATCATACTGATTACTTTTGTTTTGTCCATTAATTTGCATGATCTTGTAGGATGGCGAAAATTCTCTCTGAGGAGAGGGCTCGGAGGCAGAGGGTGGTCGTTCACGAAAATGCTGCTCTGCTCTCACATAAGTCCTTGTAGTTATGTTTTTCGTTAAGAGAAATAAATAGCTCAATAATTTTTATTTTTATTTTTATTTCATGTAATTCAGTTCTGAAACTAATTTCTCCCAATTTTATGTATATATTTGTAACTGGGAAATTATTCAATTTATTCATGACGTGGCCAATGAAAGCAGCTTGAGTTGTTTTAAGTCTTCTTCTTCATTATGTTGTTGGAGTTTGTGTGCACTGATAAAGCACTATGAAATTAAAAACGAAAACAAAACAAAAAGCACTTTGAAATTAATCCTTAGCAACATGTTTGATAATGAACAGATTCTTGAGATTGAACTACTGCATCTGTAAAGAAGAACGAACCTATGATGTAGATGGTTGGCTTGCTGCATGGAAGGCGAGTGGCTTCATGTCATGGGACGCATGTAACTTAAAAACTCTCCAGGCAGCTCTTCCAAAAGACCTTGAACAACAGAAATTAATATGCCCACCTGTTACATTAATCGCACAGCTATACGCCTTCAAATAATATATTTAAATAGTATGACTGTGAGACTATAATATATGTGGAATTATTATCCCCATAATCTTGATTTATGAGGCTTAGCGTACCCAATGCATCCACTTATTCAAGCTGTTTAGGATCATGATCTGTTACTCATTTTTGTATTGTTCTCCTATCATTGGCCATCTTTAATTGTAATAATCATGTGTAAATTGAAATACTCTAATTAAGTAATAATTATATATGAATACTCGAATTGGGTTATATTAGTTATTGAATTTGAAGTTTTGTATCATGTTGAGCTTTAAGATGGTTTGGTATTCTAGAAAATGAGTTAAGTATGGAGCAAGTTGTGAATTTGTTTTTTGCACTTCAGCTAACAATGTTGAAAAAATTGCAAAAGAAAAGAGAATTGGACTTAGGCTCAAACCGGCCAAATCAAACAGTCTTTAATTGGTTTAGTTCGGTTTTCTCTGTGACTTTTGTTAAAATCGAAGAATTCTAAATTATTATATTGTAATTGATTTAGCCGCGATTTTAAAGTGAAATCAATCCAATTCAGACCATACCCACCCCTATATAGAATTTCAAACCTGAAATCTAAGGTCCTTTTTTTATTCCTACTTTTTTTTTTTGACGAACTTGACTAGACTCCTTTTCTTTTTTTGTTTTTCCTATTTTCGTTTTTCTTTTTTGGTAGTGAGAAATGATGGTTTATTAAGGCCACGTGGATAGCATAGAATCATGGTCCAGCTTCCAAGCTTGCACTGGTGCTGCATCCAAGCGCATTTTTCTTTGGCCCCTTTCAACCAAATTCCCCTAAATCCCAAAGGAGCCTACTTTGACATTTCTCAGGCCCAGTTTTTTACTTCCATTTCTATCACACCCTTCCCTTTCTATGCTCCAAGTCTTTAATCATCCACCTGTTTTATCATTATTTCCAGAAGGCCCCAAAATTTAGGGTTTTCATCACACCCTGCACCTCCTCTTCTGGTAAGCTCTTTCTTCTCTCTCCTCAAAGCTAAGAGTTAAATCCTTTCTCCCAATACTGTGTTTCTGGCAAGTTGGTAACAAATAACTTTCATGTACTAGTAAATTAGTAATCAATTCAACAAATGTTAGTGTGCTTGTAATCTTGGTTGTGGGTTTTTGGTTTAAAGTCATGATCTTGGACTTAGAATTCAGGGTTTCCGGGAAAAAGGGGCTTACTTAAGTTAGATTGCTCATTAAATGATCATCGGGGTTGGATTTGTTGACTTTCTTTAAACTGTTTTCCGTTGACTCAGCGTGAAATACACTGATTTTGGCGTCGTGTTGATGTAAAGTTGGGCTCAGATGATAACCCACATGCTCTTTTATGATCATTTCGATACTGTAATATTTTATGTCAATATTTTTTATCCGTAATTTTTATGCGAATGCTGATGTGCTGCTTCCATTATTGTTTTGAACTGGGTTTTTGCATTGTTTTCATGCCTGCATATGTTCGCAAAGCAGGTTCTTTGGGGCGATGGTTTTTCGATGTATATGCACACAAGCTGTAGAAAGTAGCTAAGTTGTCTACATTCAAGCACACACACGATGAGCCAGTGCTATAATTTTGAAATCTTTTTATGGTTTTTTGGATATATATGCACACAAAGCTGTAGAAAGTAGCTATAAGTTGTCTAAAGTCAAGCACACACACGATGAACTAGTGCTGTAATGGTGAAATCTTTTTCTGCACCAGCTTTATGAATGCATTTTGAAATGGCTTTTGGGTACATCTTATTAGATTGTAGTAAATTTAGTAGATAGTTTTGGCAACTTAGCATAATTGTATACTGGTTTTTAATTGCTTTTATTCGAACGTTTGAAGTTCCTTGTGATGGCGAGGACAAAGCTTATCTTAATCTGCCAGTCTGGTGGTGAATTCGTCATAAAGGATCATGGATCCATGTCATATACGGGTGGAGAGGCACATGCAGTAGATATCAATCTTGAAACCATATTTGATGATCTCTCAAGTTTAAATCAGTATCTTCTCATCTTCTTTGACGCAACAGCCCATGATCCTAGCAAGAGTTCTATGTTGGAGCTTGGAGATCAACAACGTCTCATTTTTTAACACCTCTATGCCTTGCCCTGAGCTACTAGATAGTCCTTGTACTGCTATTTCCTTCCCTTCTCGTAGGGTACCTACGAATTAATCACTTCATTCATGTCTTTATGTCCTTATCTGTTATTGTAACTGTGTTGATATTGTTCATTGCGATCAATATGCTATCAAAATTATAGATGAATAGCTCCGATGGATCTTGGTTTATGATATATTCTTGAAGAGTGTCTCTTGAATTCTCCGTTGTATCAATACTCAGCATTCGCGATATACCTGAAATTTTGTGTATTGAATATTTATTTGTTATTTGTTACTTATTAGTGGTTACTTTAGTGATTTCATAATGCAAAATCCATTTAATGTTGTATTTTCTGAAGCCCAGGCCCTTCTCTCTTGCCCAGGCCCTTTTATAAACCCTAAACATAACACACAACCTCTCGTATTCTTCAATCTCATCGTCGTCTCTCTCTCTCGCCTCATATCACCATCGTCATCTCGTCCCAGACCTTGGAGTTCCAAAATGGCCTTTTCTTTCTTCTAGGCGCCAGCGCCTGCCTAGCCCCCCTGCCTAGGCCATTTATTCAGATATGAGTGACAGTGTGTTCAAGGATTTAACTTTTAAAGAAGATCTCTGAGAATTGGAAAAGAAAGAGATGATGCTTACATTGTTCCTACAACCTTGTGAGTATTTGCTAGACTCTGCGTGCCTTAAACGATACGTGCCAATCCAAAATCTGAAAGTTTTGGGTTCATGTTCTCATCCAAGAGAATGTTACTGACCTTCAAATCTCTATGTATTACCTTCAAACAGGAATCATGGTGGAGATAAAGAAGTATGTTACACAGGCTTAATTATTTGAATCTGTCAATTGATATGAGTACATATGCTATGACTATTAGAAGTATATTACATTTTCTACAGAATATACACTCCCAACAATCTTATTATATATTCTTCTGAGTTCTGGGTGGTACAGCAACAAAAGCTTTAATGAAAGGCATATAAACATGGAAGAAAGAGACAATGATGAAGAATGTAAGAATTTCACACAACTATCCGGATCCCCTGGGCTATCAATGAGTCTGTTACCAACGTACTAACAAGGAATTTGAGATTTCACGTGACTTTCAGGAAGCAGAAAAGCAGTCGGAATTGGAGTCCAAACGTGGTGGTGAGTGTATATATAGACCAAGTTTAGAGATTATGCACTAATATGAACTAAAAGAAAACTCTAAAGCGCACATCCCCTCTGTTGCAGATGGTTTCATTGCAAGATGAGCAGGTCAGTTCCAAGTTCTTGGTTATCTGCAATTTTGAAGTTGTTTCAGATTCTGTCTTATTGAATTTGTGAACTCTATCCAGGCACCTATATCACACAACATTTAATGGAAGGAGTTATTGATGCTTGTGTATGTCTCAGTGGCTTTTCTTATTGTTCACATTGTTAAGGTAAGTTATTTTACTATGTAGTTTTGTATAACTAAATACGCTTTTCAAAAGATAAGATCATCACACATCACAACAAAAGCAAGATAACTCGAATGAATGCCCTAAGAACCATGAAATGAAATTATAAAGCTGTCCGGAGGACTGTAAGCTGATTATGGTTGCACTTGGATTGAAATTAAGCTTTAGAATTGGGTTTACTAGATTTTTTAAAAAGAAATAGTATAGCCGAACGGCTATACTCGATTTTCCAAATTTATTTAAAATAAATTGTATAGCCGACCGGCTATACTCCGTTTTTTCTATTCGTTTTTAAATTTTTTAAAAAATAAATAGTATACCCGGCCCACTATACCCGGTTTTTTAATTTTTTTTTCAGAAGAAATCGTATAGCCGTACGGCTGTACTCGGTTTTTTAATTTTTTTTAAAAGAAATAGTATAGCCGTACGGCTAGACTGGGTCTTTATTGTAAACGTTAAAAACAAGTATATAAAAAAATTTAAAATAAGTAGAAAAAGATAAGTTACAAATGAACAACTATTCATCAAAACCATTCACTCTGTTCTTAAGTAAATTATCGTCCCCTAAAAATCCATCATGTTCACTAATATTGGATTGTCCATGGAATTGATTTAACATATTTCCAGGGAAAGAATTTCTGAGTTGGGTGGCAATCAAAACAGCCAAACAGGCTAGCAACAAAAAGCAGCTACTTAAAAAATCAAAAACCATAAGCTTCATGTAATCTACCAAATTATGTGGCTCTTAAAATATTGGTGGAACCTCTACGCAGTTTACTTTTGACTTCAAAAAAAAGCACATACGGTCCAGGATTGTCAATCAGTACACAGTTGAGTTAAACAAAAACAACACGTACACTTATATTCAAACAAAACCTCGAACAGCATAGGGATGACAGTTGATCCGATTGAGCTCTCTGGAAGTTTGGGTTGTCATTTTCTTCAAATTCCGAGCATGCTCAAGCACATATTTTGCAAACCGAATTCCATTAGATCCAATGGAAAGCTCTATGGTTACATCCTTAAGTTGATGAATAAAAGAAATGTTTTGCAATGTCCAATATCCCATATTAAACCCAGAACACTGCAGGAAAGGCAACAATCAACAAGCAAATCAGTTGAAATTTCCGCACCCAAAAAAAAACTAATCATGAAAGAGAGGGGGAAAGAAATGGGCAACACTTTCACTTACATCAGTTTTAGGTTCAAAGAATTCTGGGTCAGACATTATTTCCAAAGTGCTCAAATTACACATTCCTTGAGAAGTGGAGACTAGCATATCACGAAATTAAAGCTTCCAACATGAATAGACAAATAACAAACATTCTCTAATAGCAGTGCCATGAAATCTCCATAGAAGACAGCCTACAAGTTATAAACACAAACATAAGGAACCGAAAGACAAGAATTACAAATATTAATTAAGAAAAGAAGTACCTGCAATATATTTGAGAAAATAAGTCGATGAAATAGTCATTACTAACTAAAAGTTGAAACTATCATGGTTTTTGAAGTACTTGATCTGTCAAAGTACTATTACAAAGTTTCAGACTGACAATTCTAAAACAAACAAGAAACAGCAACATGAAATTTCATTCTAGCCAGTATAACCAAAATTAATGAAAAATACAACCAAATCTTATTGCCATCAGTTTTCTGAAATTAACTTACCCCTATTGCCATGCTGGGAAAGAAAATAACCTAAACAAGACAAAATTGAAAAAACAAAAACCATTGAATAAAAAGAACATCTTGAAGAGTAGTGTCTAGTTACCATGGCGGTCTCTCCCCTATTGCCATGCAGAGAACCTCAGACAATATTTTAAAGCAACGGCGATTACATTCCAGAAAAAAACTCGGCTTTCTCTAAAGACGTAGATTTCCCCAAACTGTGGCCAATCCCCTGACAATTTCAAATACTTAAGATTTGGAGCAAAAATATTGACCAAATTCTTGACACAGTTATGAAGATCCAAGTGAACAAGTATGTCTTCAAGTTTTTCAGCTGAGATGCTAAGGATAAGGTCAATATACACAGGGGAATCAAGCACAAAACTAAAAGATTTCAAAGAGGAGCTTTCAATGGTGATCTGATTTATTCCAAAAATATCTTCAAGATGTAACTCCTTGATGCACTTACATGAACATGAGATCCATTTGAAAAACCCATCATCTTCTATGAAAACATCATCCAACTTCCGGTGTTTGAAAAATCGGCCTACGCGGGCGGCTAGGCGGCTAGGCGGGCGCTAGGCGGGCGTCGCTAGGCGGTAGCTAGGCGGCTAGGCGGTGGATAGGCGTCTAGGCAGTAGCTAGGCCGGAGCTAGGCGGCTGGGCGGGCGCCTAGGACGGTTGGCTCTTTTTCCGGTGCCAAACCTAGAGGACGAAGCAGTGACTGCGAGTGCAAGTTCCGTCCTCTGCGAGTGCAAGCTTTTGGAATATTTAAAGAGTATAGCTGCACGGCTATACTAATTTGTAAACAAACAAAAAAACCCGGGTATCGCCGGGCGGCTATACTATTTATTTATTTAAGAAGAGAACTCGCCGAGCAATTGTCGACAATAGTATAGCCGCCCGGCTATACTATTTTTAGAATTAAAAGACCGAGTATAGCCGACCGGCTATACCTTTAAAGTATTCTATTTTTAGAGTTTACACGTACGTATTTTTGCAATCATTTGAGGTAAGGCTCTATTTTGATGATTTCGACTTTTGTTTTTGAAATTTCGGAACTTTCTCAGTTTTCTTTGAGATTCAATTTGATTAAATTTGGGAAATTTCACTTTGTGTAGAAGTTAGTTAGGGTTTCTACGATGATATACACGGCGATAGACACGTTCTATCTGACCGATGAGCAAGTGCAGAGCTCGCCGTCGAGAAAGGACGGCATGTACGAGGCGACGGAGACCGTCTATGGCTGTGATTTTATCCAAGAAAGCTGAATTTTGCTCAGATTGTACGGTTGAGTTCTGGTTTGTTTTAAGTTGTATAGTTTGTTGTTGTTCTTTTCTTTGAGGGTGAATTTTGTTAACTTTGTTTGCTTCATTTGATCACTTGCATGCAGACCTCAAGTTGATCAGGTTCTGTTTCACCGATTCTATTGTAAGAAGTTCTTTCTAAAACCATGGTCCGAAATCGAGAGGAATGAATGATTTCTTTTAAATTTTTGCCTGTTAATAATGTGATGCTTTCTTGTAGAAAAAGTTGCTGCTGGCTGTTTGTGGCTTGCATCAAAACCGGAGGAATGCCCTAAAAAATCCAGGCAGGTTATCATTGTTTCCCACAGGATGGAATGTAGGAGGGAGAACCTACCCATTGAGCCTTTGGATCCATATTCAAAGGTTAGAGCTCATATAATCCACATCGTGCTAAAGTCATTGTCTTCCATTATCATGATTTTGAGCCAAAAGCATGCTATGGTTTATCTCTGTCTTCTTTCTTTCCAGAAATCTTAGGACTTGAAGATGGAGTTGAGTAAAGCAGAAAGACATATTTTAAAGGAGGATGGGTTTCATTTGTCATGTTGAGCATCCACATAAGTTTATATCAAATTATCTTGCACACTGGAGACACCACCAGAATTAACACAAGAAGCCTGGAAACTAGCAAGTGAAAGGTACTTCCCCCAACATATGCCAATTACTTATTTACTTTCTTGGCACTTGGTTTTTCTATTTGACTTTCAAACTTTCGAACTTTACATTATTGTTTAATTATTGGGAATTTTTTGTTTTACTGGTGGATCAAAGGGTGTGTTGCGGTGTAGTTTATGCTGCCGCTTGGAGGTTTCAAGTGCCCCTTCCTGAGAATCCGCCATGGTGGAAGGCATTTGATGCTGAGAAATCAGGGATTGACGAAGTTTGTAGGGTGCTGGCTCATCTGTACAGCCTTCCTAAAGCAAAGTACGTACCAGTCTGTAAGGATGGAGATTCTTTTACATTTTCTAACAAGTCAGTAATTTTTTTTTTTTTTTTTTTTTTTTTTTTTTTTTTTTTTTTTTTTTTTTTTTTTTTTTTTTTTTTTTTTTTTTTTTTTTTTTTTTTTTTTTTTTTTTTTTTTTTTTTTTTTTTTTTTTTTTTTTTTTTTTTTTTTTTTTTTTTTTTTTTTTTTTTTTTTTTTTTTTTTTTTTTTTTTTTTTTTTTTTTTTTTTTTTTTTTTTTTTTTTTTTTTTTTTTTTTTTTTTTTTTTTTTTTTTTTTTTTTTTTTTTTTTTTTTTTTTTTTTTTTTTTTTTTTTTTTTTTTTTTTTTTTTTTTTTTTTTTTTTTTTTTTTTTTTTTTTTTTTTTTTTTTTTTTTTTTTTTTTTTTTTTTTTTTTTTTTTTTTTTTTTTTTTTTTTTTTTTTTTTTTTCCCCGGGTATCGCCGGTCAGCTATACTATTTATTTATTTAAGAAGAGAAACTCGCCGAGCAATGATGTCGAAAAAAGCCAGGCAGGTTATCATTGTTTCCCACAGGATGGAATGTAGGAGGGAGAACCTACCCATTGAGCCTTTGGATCCATATTCAAAGGTTAGAGCTCATATAATCCACATCGTGCTAAAGTCATTGTCTTCCATTATCATGATTTTGAGCCAAAAGCATGCTATAGTTTATCTCTGTCTTCTTTCTTTCCAGAAATCTTAGGACTTGAAGATGGAGTTGAGTAAAGCAGAAAGACATATTTTAAAGGAGGATGGGTTTCATTTGTCATGTTGAGCATCCACATAAGTTTATATCAAATTATCTTGCACACTGGAGACACCACCAGAATTAACACAAGAAGCCTGGAAACTAGCAAGTGAAAGGTACTTCCCCCAAATATGCCAATTACTTATTTACTTTCTTGGCACTTGGTTTTTCTATTTGACTTTCAAACTTTCGAACTTTACATTATTGTTTAATTATTGGGAATTTTTTGTTTTACTGGTGGATCAAAGGGTGTGTTGCGGTGTAGTTTATGCTGCCGCTTGGAGGTTTCAAGTGCCCCTTCCTGAGAATCCGCCATGGTGGAAGGCATTTGATGCTGAGAAATCAGGGATTGACGAAGTTTGTAGGGTGCTGGCTCATCTGTACAGCCTTCCTAAAGCAAAGTACGTACCAGTCTGTAAGGATGGAGATTCTTTTACATTTTCTAACAAGTCATGTAATTCACAGCCTCGGCCAATTCCAAAGGTAGTTCCGATTCTTCTTCTTCTTTTTTTCTCTCTCTAATTCCTGCCCCGATCCTAATAATAGCCCATCAGCTATTGAAAATACCTCTAATTCAAAGGCTGCAGCAGAAGTCAATCCTGAATCTGGTGGATCAAAGGGTGTGTTGGCCAAGCTAGCCATTGATAAGCTGAAGGACTCTAAAGAGAGTGATGAAAGTATGCCTATCGAGGGAGAGGCAATAGAAGATTTCAGTATCAAATCCAAGTTTGAACGCAAAATGGAATCTAGTGGCAATAAAAGCAGGGACAGGGACAGGGACAGGGACAGGGAGAGAGATAAGGAGAGGGAAAGGGAGAGAGAGAGAGACAGAGACAGAGACAGAGACAGGGATAGAATGAAAGTCCGGGGGGCAGGAATTCTGACCGGGAATGAGATCGAGAAGGGGATGAGAGGGACAGAACCAAGGACCGAGGTTATCGTTCAAAGGATAGAGCAAAAGATTCAGGTTGGTTATGGGTTTTATACCTCCCCCCCCAACGTTGTCAAAATTGGATTTATGAACTTGCGTCATATCAAATTTTCTCAATCTTCAATTTCTATGTTGAATGCACAATATTCTGCAGGGGGCATTTGGAGAAATCAAGACATCAGTCGTTCCGAGGTATGCTTATTCAAGAATAGTTCATGTGCTTTTTCTTTTTCTTTTTTCCTGAAATTGTGTGGATGTTCAGTTTAAATCCCGTCATCTGACACTTACCCTTGTTTTACAGATCGCGACTATCACAATTCCTCCTACTCTTCACGGGAAAAGGATCGCCATAGACATCATTCTTACGCTTCAACTGATCATCAAGTTCATGACATCTCTCTTTTTCTCCTAAACTTCAACGGAACTGAAAATACTTTGGGCTTTGTATGTTGACAGAAAATGTAAAAGTGAGCAACATTGAGACTAGTTAAGGATAAGCATGACTCTTTAACACGTGAGGACGAAGCAGTGACTGCAAGTGCAATTTCCGTCCTCTGCGAGTGCAAGTTTTTGGAATATATTTAAAGCGTATAGCCGTGCGGCTATACCGTAAAAATATTCGAATGTATTTAGAGAGTATAGCCGAACGGCTATACGTTTAAAATATTCAAATATATTTGAAGAGTATAGCCGCTCGACTATACCCTTTAAATATACAATTTTGTCATGCACGTGGGCAACACTAGCATCCATGAGCGGGTCTTACTTATACATTGGGGACTGGTATGACATCTGAGAAGAAGTACGATGCCAAAAAAGCAGCTTGTTGGGGTGCTCTGGATTGGCTAATCGGAAAAGATCGTTCGACTCCACTGGTGGATCTTCTTATGAGAGTAAATAGTGACATGAATGAGAACCTCAGTCGCTCCTTTTTTAAAGCTCTTCAGTCTAATGGCAATTACCTCCGAATTCAGGTAACACAATAAAATTGAGATAAATGGCAAGTGGTCGTTTGTTTGCTTTTATGTTATGTATATGTACACAGAATCAAAATACATTAGCCTAAATTATGTACAACACAAACTAAGCATGGAGTTGGCCAGACCTCAAGCTGTTATGGCCACTGGTCAGGTTCTGTTTCACCATTTCTATTGTAAGAATTTCTTTCTAAAACCATGGTCCGAAATCGAGAGGAATGAATGATTTCTTTTAAATTTTTGCCTTTTAATAATGTGATGCTTTCTTGTAAAAAGTTGCTGCCAGCTGTTTGTGGCTTGCATCAAAACTGGAGGAATGCCCTAAAAAAGCCAGGCAGGTTATCATTGTTTTCCACAGGATGGAATGTAGGAGGGGAACCTACCCATTGAGCCTTTGGATCCATATTCAAAGGTTAGAGCTCATATAATCCACATCGTACTAAAGTCATTGTCTTCCATTATCATGATTTTGAGCCAAAAGCATGCTATGGTTTATCTCTGTCTACTTTCTTTCCAGAAATGTTCGGACTTGAAGATGGAGTTGAGTAAAGCAGAAAGACGTATTTTAAAGGAGATGGGTTTCATTTGTCATGTTGAGCATCCTCATAAGTTTATATCAAATTATCTTGCCACTCTGGAGACACCACCAGAATGAACACAAGACCTTGGAGTTCCAAAATGGCCTTTTCTTTCTTCTAGGCACCAGCGCCCGCCTAGCCCCCGCCTAGACCGCCTAGCGCCTGCCTAGGCCATTTATTCATATATGAGTGATAGTGTGTTCAAGGATTTAATTTTTAAAGAAGATTTCCGAGAATTGGAAAAGAAAGAGATGATGCTTACATTGTTCCTACAACCTTGTGAGTATTTGCTAGACTCCGTGTTCGTGCCAATCCAAAATCTGCAAGTTTTGGGTTCATGTTCTCATCCAGAGAATGTTACTAACCTTCAAATCTCTATGTATTACCTTCAAACAGGAATCATGGTGGAGATAAAGACCCCAATCAAGCACTGCTCCTCCTGGCATTGGAATTTGGAATTCAAAATATAACAGTAAAGTCATTAATACATCCCAATCCCGTGCACTTCACAATGAAAAAATTTACCATCACTAGGTAACAAAGAGCGGTTGGTAACATTTAGAGATAGTTGCTTCCGCTTATACCAACATAGGCTTAATAATTTGAATCTGTCAAATGATATGAGTACATATGCTATGACTATTAGAAGTATATTACATTTTCTACAGAATATACACTCCCAATAATCTTATTATATATTCTTCTGAGTTCTGGTTGGTACAACAACAAAAGCTTTAATGAAAGGCATATAAACATGGAAGAAAGAGACAATGATGAAGAAGGTAAGATTTTCACACAACTATCTGGATCCCCTGGGCTATCAATGAGTAAGGTCTGTTACCAACGTACTAACAAGGAATTTGAGGTTTCACATGACTTTCAGGAAGCAGAAAAGCAGTTGGAATTGGAGTCCAAACGTGGCGGTGAGTGTATATATAGACCAAGTTTAGAGATTATGCACTAATATGAACTAAAAGAAAACTCTAAAGCGCACATCTCCTCTGTTGCAGATGGTTTCATTGCAAGATGAGCAGGTCAGTTCCAAGTTCTTGGTTATCTGCAATTTTGAAGTTGTTTCAGATTCTGTCTCATTGAATTTGTGAACAACTCTGTCCAGGTACCTATAGAAGGAGTTATCGATGCTTGTGTATGTCTCGGTGGCTTTTCTTATTGTTCACATTGTTAAGGTAAGTAATTTTACTATGTAGTTTTGTATAAATAAATAAGCTTTTCAAAAGATAAGATCATCATTAGAAATGTAGTCAAGTTCAATCTTTATAATTCCTCTGCATTTGCAGGGGACGCACTATTGCTTTGAATTTTGTTACTGAATGAATCTATTTGAATCTTTATGCACTATTGCTTTTAATTTTGTTACTGAATGAATTTATCTGAATCTTTATGCAGACATCACTAGCAATGAATCTTTATGCAGACATCACTAGCAATGTAGTCAAGTTCGCTCTGTTAGGCTTGCTATGGTTACACGTCACAACAAAAGCATGATTACTCATATGAATGCCCTAAGAACCATGAAATGAAATTATAAAGCTGTCCGGAGGACTATAAACTGATTATGGGTGCAGTTGGATTGAAATTAAATTTAGAATCGTTTGCCTTAGCTTTAGAATTGGTTTTTCCATATTTTTTCTATAAAAAAATAGTATAGCCGCTTGGCTATACTCGATTTTTCAAATTTATTTAAAATAAATAGTATAGCCGGATGGCGGCTACCGGCTACCGGCTATACTCCGTTTTTCTATTGGTTTTTCAAATTTAAAAACTATACCCGGTTTTTTAATTTTATTTAGGATAAATAGTATAGCCGCTCGGCTATACGCGGTTTTTAAATTTTATTGACATAGAACTAGTATAGCCGTCCGGCCAGACTTTAATTTTTTTTAAAAGAAATAGTATAGCCGCTCGGCTATACTAGGGTGTTTTTTTAAAAAATAATAAAAGAAATGGTATAGCCTCCATTTTTCTAATTTTTATATAAAGAAATCGTATAGCCGCGGCTATACTAGGGTGTTTTTTAAAAAAATAATAAAAGAAATAGTATAGCCTCCATTTTTCTAATTTTTATATAAAGAAATCGTATAGCCGCCCGGCTATACTCTGTTTTTTTTGTTTTTTTTTTTTTTTTTTTTTTTTTTTAAAAAAAATAGTATAGATGCGAGACTAAACCAAAAAAACCAATCACAATCAATCACTAAACTGTGAAGAAGATTTCATGATCTTCCCTCCCTTGGCAAATCCAAAACAGCTCCATGAAATGAGCTCAACCTAGAAGAAGCTACAAAAGCTATGAGTATGGGCAGTATCGCTGCAATCCATGCTGTTATGAGCAACCCAACAAGACCCACTTCCATTTTAGCAAAAGCCCATATCAGAACAGAACTTAAAGAGTTGAAAAAGGCTAGTCTCTCTGCCAAAGGAAAGCACTAGCTCAACTGGGTCTTCAAGAGCAAGGGCCTTTTTTTTCCGGAGAAACAGTACATGCAATGCACATAAAAGGAAAAAACAAAGAAAAAAAATATGGAGAGAAATTTAATTTATTGTAGAAATGAATGCAATCACGAGGTGGTGGACACGAGTCGTCCGAGTTTATGAGATACCATTACCAGGCATGACGTGAGGTTTTGGGATAGAACTAGTCTCCGAGCTTTGCGTCTTTGCTTCGTGGGAGGTAAAGTTATAGCACAGTATTGAAGGATATAACGACACTCTGCTCAGGGTAGTTTCGGGCTGTAATAGCTTCTGCCAATTCACAATTTTTATTTTTTTTTAATAGTAAATTTAGCTTACACCCTTCAAATTCAATTTTCAGTACCTATAACCCTTCACTTTTTGTTCCTATAAATAATACCCAATTTGTATAAGTATAAACTCATGACTAGGATCCAACTCAGCAAGTTACCTAATTAAGCCTAAAATCTGATTTATTGTACTTTTCAGATTCCATAAATATCCCCAACTAAGCCATTATTGCATTTTGTATATTAATGTAGGAATCAATATGGAAACAGTTTTTAATTGAATTATATATAATGACAGATGTTGAATTTGGAAAGATCTCCAAATGGTTGTAATGGATGTAGGAATTAATTTTGAAACATTTAAAAAAAAATTTAACAATAAATTCATATTTAGGTAATCGGTTTGTTTAATAAAATGTTTATGTTATTTTCTTTTATGAATTATACATGACTAATAATCCACTTTATAATTGTTTATGAATAAAATTGTACATACTAATTATGTTGAAAAAATAATGTACCTATTATTTGTTTGTTTTATGAAAAATATAATTTATCTAGTATGAAAAGTGTACATAATTATCTATTCCAATATACCTACATTAATTTTAATGTACTTACAATTAGGATTTAGGTATTATATGTCATCCAATATACATACCATTTGAATAATATACCTACTACAAATAAAGTACCTATTATTTATCTAAGTAATGTACCTATTTTTTTCTATAAATAATATAGCCTTTTTTCTCTGAATAAAGTACCTATTATTTGTTTTATTAAAAGTAATTTTTTTAAATGAACCTATTTTCTCTCTCCAAATAACTTACCTATTTTTTTCCTCTAATAATGTACCTATTTTTCCTCTCCAAATAATATACCTATACACATTTATAGGTAGTTTTTAAAATAATTTACCTATGGGTAAATAATGTACCAATATTTTATATAAATTATTGTGTACCTATTTTTAATTATGAAAAATATACGCAATTACAAAGTAACCGACTTTTTTTTTGGGTAAATAATATACCTATATTTTATATGTATATATATTACATTTTTCATAGGTACATTATTGGATATGTAATTTACAGATTTTTTTTTGTTTGCAATTTTAGGAGGTGAGATGTGAGAGGGAATGACAACTAAAAGAAATGGGGTGATTGATATGTTATTAATAGGGAGTATATTAATTACAAGGGATATTCATTGAAATGTCATCTGAACTTATAACTTAGTTTGAATTTGTCACCTAAATAAAAAATTTAAGAGAAATGTCACCTGAATTTTTCAAAATCTATGATTTGTCACCTAACTTTAACATCATCCAATTGTCCACCTATTTTCAAGGGTATTTTAGTCTTTTTATCTTCAAGAGTATTTTTAAAAATGGAAAAATCATTATAAAAAAATTATGAAAAGACCCTTGAAAATTATAAAAATTATATATCTTTTCACATTTAACCCCCAACCATTTTTACATTTAAGCTTTATTTTTTTAATAATAATTTTTTACATTTTTTAAACATCCTTGAAAATGAACAGACTAAAATACCCTTGAAAATAGATGGAAAATTGGATGATAGTAAACTCAGGTGACAAATCATGGATTTTGAAAAATTCAAGTGACATTTCACTTAAATTTTTTTTCATGTGACAAATTGAAACTAAGGTATAAGTTCAGGTGACATTTCGACAAATATCCCTAATTACAATTATGGCACTTAATGAAATGCTTGAAATAAATTATAAATAAAATATGAAGTTTAGTAGCAACGATGTAAAAACATAAAAATACTACGACATCTTATATCCTACTAGTCATTTAAATTTGAAATTGAGTTTTACACATAGATTTATAGAATGATGGGTATATGTCCAGAAAATATAAAATGTAGGAATTTATATTGGACAAGCTCTTTTTTTAACAATCACCTACAGTAAACCCCCCAAACTAAGGGATCATTACAGACTCAGACCTAGGGGTGTACGTCATTTCGTTACTAGTATTTCAATTAAAATTAGATTGGATTGGATCGGTAAGTTTGGGCGGATTGAATTGTTGCCCATATTTCAAGCCTTCAAATCGATCCAGAAGTGATCCAATGTGGTAGTAGTCCCTATTCTTATAAGATCTATCTATTCTGATCCTTTTTGTTTACTGTTTTGTTTGCTTTCTATTCCCTTTCCTTGTATTAGAGAGACTATAACAAAAAGAATGAAAAAGAAAGATGCTTCTTCTGCAACTTATTATAACAATACCTAAAAGAAAGAAGAACCATGGATGTTTCCCCTGTCACATTATGTCACTTATTGTGAAATAATGGATCTTAAAGCATCTTTCACAGAAGAGTACTTGAACGTGAAGCCTAATTCCTGTCACATTATCTACTGAATTCCTTGGCTTTAACTGGAAGCACCCTTCGCCCATCCAGAACCTACAATGACCTTATTGAGTTTCTGAGCAATATGCAATCAGGAGAAAATTGAAAATAAGATAAAGAAAATTCTTACCACAGAAGCACCTTCTCCAAGGATCCGCTTTCAGGGCGAAATCTGGTACAGGCAGCCATGAAGGCCTACCAAGACATTTCCCAAATGTAAACACATTTCTGCAAATCAAACCGGGTTGGGTGCAGTTCCATTGATAACTCCTGAGATTAAGGTTTTAACAACCGCGTTCAATATGTTGAAAAGTTCTGAGAACCAGTATCACATGGATAGCCTAGGTGAAAATTTGATAATTCCTGAGATTTTGGTAATTGTTGAAAAGCTGAACACTTTTATCATAAATTTGTACGCAGGTATGGTAATAAATAAAAAACATTTGATATCTACCGTGACTGCATATGTCAGTTAATTAGAGTAGCTTTCAGAAGGGAACAAGATATAATGATATGAAACGGTACGTCAGATTAATAGAGTACTAGAAATCTTTAGAAGTGTAGTTATCTCCATGTGCTAGCAAACTTTAGATGAAAACAGAAGGAATCATCAGCTTCAGCACCAGTATGTTGGTTTTATTCCAACATCAATCCTTTTGTACTTTGCTAAAACTATAATTAAAATTACAAATAATGAAATCTTTACCATTATAAGATGGATTGGATAAAGCTTCATATATCAGGTTCACTATGTCATCCAGATGAATCCAGGAAAACCTACAGCACATTGAGAATAATAAATACATTTGTTGATATATCTTTGGTGCATTTATTTTCTTCTCTTCATTAAACAGGCATTCAGTAGATAATACTTAATTTGTCAAGTTATATTAATTCATTAACATCATTAAAATGATTATATTTTCCTTTTTAATGATGAGCCAGAGGAAAATGCCAACCGTAAAGTGTTAGTAGCACAAAAGTGTGACAGACTACCCTTACAAAAGGACCGAAATTTCAGAAAAATACCATTGTTTTCCAGAGCCCAAGGGTCCTCCAGCGAACACCATGAAGAGAGGGATCATTTTAGCTGCAGAAGCTCAAAGGTGTAACTATGTGTGAGGCAGGAGAAGCTTTGTTACCTTGAAACCAACAAAATTCTAGATATGCATAATTGTTACGCTAAGAAGATAAAAACCATACAACTTTTTAGAACATTTTCGCTAGTATATTTTTCTTAGATGACAACAGAAATAGAACATTAGAGATAACTATGCATAAAATACCCCAATAAAATTATGAGATCATGCAACCCTAAGCATAACCAGATTGGTCAATGTATAATGAAACAGTAAAGTGGACAAACCCAAAATCCAAGTAGGCAAGTTTTGTTAATGAGCATACATGCAAGGGTGAAGTACTAGTCATACGCAACATGAGCATACAATGCAAGGGTTCATTTCATAGTAAAAGTCATAGCCACAGTCAAAGTAGATCAGTTCATGGGCATACAAGGGAAGTAAGGGTTCACAGGACTATTCATACCTAAAGCACCGCCATCTTTGCCAAGCACAACACCTGTGCGAATAAGTGCTAACTTCACATCCTTATTTACTTTGAGGGCAGTTGCTTCCCATTCTCTACAAACCTGAAAGGTTGCATTTTAGTTTAAGATGAGGGTGAAATGTTGAGCTCAAAAGAACAAGCAGAACATATTTCTTCATGCATTGGGAGTCATTTGTTAGTAATAAAAAGTGATGCTATATTGCAGAATGTAGCCAAACCGAGAATGCGTTCATGGTTTGAAGGTTGATTGTTCTATTCATAATAACAGTAGGCTCCATTGACTATGAGCTCTATATACTTGGTTTTTATTTATTTTTAAAGAAATCATATAGCCGCTCGTCTATTCTTGGTTTTTTCTATTTTTAAAATTAATATAGCCGGGCGGCTTTACTTGGCTCTTTTTCAATAAACAGTATTTTCTATTTTTTTAATAAATAGTACAGCCGGGTGGCTATTTTTGCTTTTTTTTTAAAAAAAAAAATGAATAGTTACCCGCATGGCTATACTCGGGTTTTTCTTTTATTTTAAAGAAATAGCAAAGCCGTTTCTCAAAATGTTTTAAAAGAAATAATATAGCCATGTGGCAATACTTGGGGTTTTCTAATTTTTTAAAGAAATCATATAACTAAGTGCCTAAATTCAATTTTTTTCAATTTTATTTAAAAGAAATAATATAGCAGCACGTGTATCATAATTTCAATACTCTAATATTTTTTGTCAATTTTCTAATTTTCTTTACCAGTAATTTTCATTGGAAGTAGGAGACTTTTTTTGAGGTAAATATGGATAGGGTTGTTTTAGAGTTCATCTATTTAAAGCTAGGATCATGGTTTATTTCCATATTGCTAGAAGACCACCTTACATGGTGCTAGTCTTATTTTTTAATATTGTAGTGACAATTTATTGATTATTCTTCCCCTAGAGTTGCAGATAAGAACATCACTTATGGTTTTAGCTTTGAAACGGGAGTAACTAAGCTTACAAATCTTCTCTTGCCTTATCTTTTATGAATTACTATAGATTTGATATATTCTCCTAGATGTTTGAAAACAAAGAACTGCACTTCCTCCAAATTTTGTACACTCACTTTACAGTTCACACATCATTATGTTGCCTACTGGGACGCTGGCCTACATTTTGCAATTGTAACTCTACATAAGACTGAGCTTATTGATATGTAAAATACATGCTCAAAACCAAAATTTCAATGTAATGGTTTTCAAATATGAGGATTAGACAATTTTCCTAAACTAATGAACTTTCGTTAGAAGATATTGGAACCTACACCCTGCTGAAGTGCTCAATTAGAGGGCATAGATTCATCTAAACAAAGTCCCTTTTGAAGTATGTTGGTTTTATTTCTCACTTATATGTTGAAGTCTCACATGTGATGTGGACCAAATGAACAAGATACTTCAGGAAAAATTTGTGGAACAGATCGGAAATATACATCGAAGAATTCTAAAAATGACCAGTTGACAATTAGACTATAGAATTAAAGGCTAGGATATCCTTAATCTAATGAATTTTCGCAAATGGATCATACGGTATTTACATTCACTTAGTCTTAGAACTTAAAGCTCCGACAAAAATGACATCTAATTTGTCAACAAATCAAAAATAAATACTGAAGAAATCAATATTTAATTAGTTTTCCATAACAGGTCTGAAATATACATTGAAGAATTCAATAACATAAACATTGAAAAATGATCAGCTAATAATACGAGCAGTAGTTAGACAATTTGAGGAAGAAGTAGAAGCTGGAGTTGAAGAAAAGGTGTGAGAGGACCCTAAATCTATTGTAGCTCTTTGCCTTGTGTTCAAATTTGCTAAGCCACATGCATCTTTTCCAATATCTTTGATGCTGTGATGGATGAGTTCTCGTTCGACAAGCCCCCAACGATCGATTTGGCTGCTCTTTTCAACTGTTTCTTTAACTTCAACTCTACTACTCTCACCATCTCCGATAATATTTTTTCAGCACCTTTCAAGTTCTTTATCTCACCCCCAACATCAAAGCATTTAGCTGCAAATCAAAGATTTTAAAATTAGCTACCACATACATTAATTCAAAATCAGCTAACATCATACACTAATGCACTTGTTACTTACTCAATACTCATCACGTCCAAAATCACCAAGCTTTGCTTGTCCATCAAATAAGAACACGTTGCAAGGCAATATATCTCCATGGAAAACGATTCCTCCATGGAGATTTATTGCCTTGCAACGTGTTCCTACTTGACGGACAAGCAAAGCTAGGTAATTTTGGACGTGATGAGTATTGAGTAAGTAACAAGCGCATTAGTGTATGACGTTAGCTGATTCTGAATTAATGTATGTGGTAACTAATTTTAAAATCATTGATTTGCAACTCAATGCTTTGATGCTGAGGGTGAGATAAAAGACTTGAAAGGTGCTGAAAAAATATTATCGGAGATGGTGAGAGTAATAGAGTTGAAGTCAAAGAAACAGTTGAAAAGAACAACCAAACCAATCATTGGGGGCATATCGAACGAGAACTCATCCATCACAGCATCAAAGATATTGGAAAAGATGCATGTGGCTTAGCAAATTTGAACACAAAGCAAAGAGCTACAATAGATTTAAGGTCCTCTCACACCTCTTCTTAAACTCCAACTTCTACTTCTTCCTCAAATTGTCTAACTACTACTCGTATTATTAGCTGATCATTTTTCAATGTTTATGTTATTGAATTCTTCAATGTATATTTCAAACCTGTTATGGAAAACTAATTAAATATTGATTTCTTCAATGTTTTTTTTGATTTGTTGACAAATTAGATCTCATTTCAGTCGGACGTTTAAGTTCTAAGACTAAGTGAATGTAAATACCATATGATCCCTTTGCGAAAATTCATTAGATTAAGGATATACTAGCCTTCAATTCTATAGTCTATCAAAAAGAGATGAAAGAAATACATTATTTACAAGTTTTGGTGGAAATATTTGTTAGACTACCAAAAAAGGCAATGGTGGCATGTTGAAGACGAACAAGATCTATTCAATCTGTGAATTGATTTCTCCTTGTACATAAAAGCTACAAAAGTTGGCTCATAGCCATTGTCATCACAATGTGGCAAGTAGCCCTACATTGCCTTCTTACAAGAAAAAGAAACAAACACCAAACACAAGAAAAAACCTGAAAGATCTGTCCCATAATTATTTCACCAAGTAAACAATAACATAACCCATCCACAGACCACAGATTTATAAAGACTACATGCACAAGTGGCGGAACAAATTATAGCTTACCAAAGTAACACCATGAAATTGGACAGAAACTTTACACACTAGTCCAACAAAGACAAAAGGCAATGAACAAAATATAACAATCCTACGTCTAGGAGTGAAAATGTACCTGCTGCAGCAATAGCAGGACCAGCTAACATTGCAGAAGCAGGAAGAGCCATGTCAAAACCGCTAATCCTTTTGCCGCAGGAGATTAATGTTAGGATACCAAGAACAAACATAATATACAAGTGACAACTTAAAACCCTAAGGCTAAAAACTACATTCTGCGAATTACTTATAAAAAAAGTTATTATAGCAACCCTATAGAAATAAAATCTGCTCTTATCCCAGACAAACTCCATGAAACTTATACAAGAAATCTCTACTACATATAACTTGATAGTTCTCTACTTCACGACATAAAATGGTTTCTGTAGACCATACATCTGTATAATACATACAAAACTAATAGAAAAGGGGAACGAATAAGATGGAAAAATTATATCTGCTAAATTTTCCATCTTATTGCAGACATAAACTACATGAAACTAATACAAAAAATTTCTAATACAAAATTCATTTAACTTGATAGTTCTCTACTTCACTACATAAAATGGTTTCTATAGACCATACATCTGGATAATACATAAGGGAAACAAATATATGAAAGATTTGGTACATAAATGATAAGCTAAGCAAAACATATCCTAAGGAGCACAATATTTAAAAACTACGCCAAACACTATTTGTACAAATTTGATCATGACCTACAAATTTAAACCACTACGGATAATAGATATTTATGTACGCCATCAAAGATCTACCTAGACCTACCTACCTAGATCCAACAACTACACCTCCACACAAAAAATATCCAAAGGAGATCTACCTAGATCAAGAATACATACAACAACGGTCCAAAGGTGGGAGATCTAGCCAAAATCAGAACAACAGACTGAGAAGCAGCCCCAAAAAATAAGGGTGAGACACGGAGAAGAAGGGGCAGACAAGGGTCTGGGTTGAGGGAGGGCATAGTTTTTGGGAGAAGAGAGAGAAAGAAGCCTCCCTTTGGACGAGTTTTCTATAGGGAGATAAGAAAATTGTCCAACCAATCAAGTCCAGCATTCAAACATCAAACACTTGAACAATCAAAAGAACCAATACCAATAAACAACAAGAAAATTAGAAGAACGAGAAAGCTATGATGAAACCCACATTCTTTGTTTTCTTCCTTTTCTGGGTACTATACAAAATATATCAGTTCCATGAGAAAGGAGGTACCTTTAGCAGGAGCCATTGCGCCATTGCTCTAAGCTCTGTGATAAATAATCCTAACTAACAAGCATTAAGAGAACAGAAAACAAGGATAAACTTAATCCATACCGATAGTAGAAATGGCAGGAATACACACAAAGATCTCAAAAGAATAATCTCACAGAGAGAGAGAGAGAGAGAGAGAGAGAGAGATATGAAGAGACTTGCGGCTAGGGTTAAGGAAAAAGGAAAGAGAGAGACTCAGAAAAGTGCGAGGGAGAGAGAATATGGTTTTATAGGAGTATTCAACCTTTTGGAGTCCAATCAGGTGCGGAAGGTACACGATAACAATTTCAAATAACCAGTCAAACCTTGCCACATGTAAAATAAATTAAACAAATAAAAAACTGATTTATAATCTGTCCAATTAATGGTGTTAATTTCTTGGTGCTTTATCCAGCATGGAGGAGATGACATGTCCTATTTCGGGATGCATGATATGGAGTCCTATCCTTAATAATGAGAGCGAATCAATGGTGAGCCCAAGCCCCTGCTTGGGTGGGGGAGGGGAAGCTTCTACAATGAGTTAAAGTGAGGAGGTTATTTGAGGAGACCGTTCCGACCGTCAAAACATTTAAAATATTAAGTCCCATGATTTCTTTACATTTGTTGATGGTGAGATTTGACCTCCTCAAATAACCTCCTCACTTTAAGCCCCTATTATAGCCTTTCCGGGTGGGAGAGAGGGAGGGAGAGGGGGCGGAGCCCAAAACGTGGTTCCAGTGGGCTTTTTTTTGCCCAAAATGCGGTTCTAGTGGGCCTCTTTTGCCCGGGCAGCTTGTAGGTCTCACAGAACCGGGCTGGCCCGAAGACTAAACGAGCCTGAGGTAGTGGTGGATTCAGGATTCTCGAGCCAATATGTCACAATGTAGAAGTTTCAAAAAATTTCTACGAAGAAAATAACACTAAGATGTCAATAAATAATTTTGTTTTATAGAATCTTTCCATAATTATACACATGAATTAATTCAATCAATGAATAATTTTTATTAAAATTATCATATGAATATGAAAATATCAATTAGTTAACCCACTACCCAATTATCATATAAATCAATATACCAAATTATCAAATAATAAAAACAAAACATTATCAATAAATAAAAGGGTTCGAGATATTGATTTGGGTGAGATATTTATTGATTTGGGAATGAAAAAGGGTTTGGGGTAGTGCTGGAGTCGGTTAAAAGAGGGGAGGGATGATTCTTTAAAAATAAAAAATAAAAACCTGCCCCAAAACGATGTAGTTTTGAGGCCAGGTCAGTTAAGAATTTTTTTGTAATAACCTTGGACCAAACGACGTCGTTTGGCCAGGCTTTTTGAAAAAAAATTAGAACGCGCGCGCACAGCAGTTGCTGGCGCTGCGCAGTGCAGTGCAAAGCAAGCCCCTACAGGGAACTTTCATCAAACACCTGTGTGCACACAAGGGTCGCTCTGTTGCTGTCCAAGGGGTCACTCCTGGAGTCCACAGCCAGATTTCTGAAGCTCCAAGGGGTCGTGCGACCCCTCTTGTCCGAGGAGGAGGTGACGTCAGCACGCACATTCAAATTTTTTTTAACGTTGGTGCGTGAGTCAGCCCTTCCTTTCCGCCAACGGCTAGAAGCCACGTAGGAACCCATCGGAGTTGGATTTGTTTGACTCTCTTTAAACTGTTTTGCAGTTCACTCGCCGTGAAATACACTGACTGGACTTGAAATATACTGTTAGTCATTGATGTAAAATACATGCTCAAAACCAAAATTTCAGTGTAATGGTTTTCAAATATGAGGATAAGCACTGACCCTAAAAAAAATTGGAAGAAGGCAATTTTTCCTAAACTATTGAACTTTTGTCAGAAGATATTGGAACCTATACCCTGCTGAAGTGCTCTGTAGAGGATTAGTGGGCATCGATTCATCAAAACAAAGTCTCTTTTGAAGTATGTTTGAAGTATGTTGGTTTTAATTAGTTCTCACTTACATGTTGAAGTATGTTTGTAGTCTCACATATGTCTTAAAATAAGCAGGGGTGCATGATTCCTTCTGGACTCATGCATGTGATGTGGACCAAATTAACGCGATACTTCGGGAAAAATTTGTGGGGCTTTATAGCATGCTGATACTTGAAAATGTAGGTGAACTACGTCCTGTTTCTCTTCCAGAAATTGGGTCTCCTCATAAATTCAGATCTTTCTCTGGCTTGTTTAAAAGCAACTTGGGTGGAATGACTTGTATTTGACACAATGATTTCTCAAGGCTACTTAAGTTTGTTTTGATGTCTCCTCACAAGGTTTCAAGATGAAGTTTAAGAGCTTACGAATGCGTCTTCATTGTAGAAAACTTTTGCATTGAAAGACTGTATTCAGCTTCTCCCTAACTTGTAGAGAACTTGCATTTAGAAAGTTGCTTTACACACATTTTATATGTAGACCTGAATTAAACTATTTGTTTATTTCCATTGATTTCTCGATAGCTCTGCCTCTTCCCCGTTGCTTGAAAGTTTCCAAGCATCATATCCAGCATTGACTTTTCCCATTCCCAGAAAGAGGCGACTTTCACTTGCAACAGGTTCTAGAATCTCCATACTTTTTCAACTGAATTTCCAGTCATGAGCAGCGATGATAACAATATGCACAAAGCTTTGTCACTTGTATCATATGCAACCCCAAATTATCCAAGAAGCTTTGTTAGGAGTACATTTGGATACCCCCAAATTGATCAAAAAGCTTTGTTAAGAGTTCATTTGGACAGGGGCAGCAAGTTGAACAGGGAAACAGAAGCCTAAAAGGTTCCTTTTAGGGTTTAGGGTTCAGGGGGCAGGGATTCTGACCGGGAACGAGATCGAGAAGAGGCTGAGAGGGACAGAACCAAGGACCGAGGTTATCGTTCCAAGGATAGAGCAAAAGATTCAGGTTGGTCCCCCCCCTCACCCCCAACATTGTCAAAATTGGATTTATGAACTTGCGTCATATCAAATTTTCTCAATCTTCAATTTCTATGTTGAATGCACAATATTTCTGCAGGGGGGCATTTGGAGAAATCAAGACATCAATCGTCCCGAGGTATGCTTATTCAAGAATAGTTCATGTGCTTTTTTTTTTGTTTCCTGAAATTGTGGGGATGTTCAGTTTAAATCCCGTCATCTGACACTTACCCTTGTTTTACAGATCGCGACTATCACAATTCCTCCTACTCTTCACGGGAAAAGGATCACCAAGACATCTCTCTTTTTCACCTAAACTTCAACGGAACTGAAAATACTTTGGGCTTTGTATGTTGACAGAAAATGTAAAACTGAGCAACATTGAGACTAGTTAAGGATAAGCACGACTCTTTTAACACGTGAGGTGTTTTTATATAAACTTGTCTGTGCAGGAAATGCTAACAATATAGGAAAGAAGTCGTAATTACAATAGGAACTATACAAAAAGGAAAGTAAACACAACTTAGAATATAAAAGTGGAAACTAAAATTACCTGCTCACAGAGGGAAAGATCACTATATAAAGTCCCACAACTGAATTCGTTAATCCCATAACTTGCAAAGCTTTCTTTTTGAGATTCTTGCAACGTCAAATCAATCGCTCTCTAGTTTTCGTTGTTAAGTCTTGTGCATTGTCTTCTCTTCAATCTCTCACTCATGGAGAAAACAAATCATCCCTTCATGCTCACGCTAACGGAGGTCTCACCACTGTTCTTTCTATTGATGGAGGTGGAATAAGAGGGATTATTCCAAGAGTTATGCTTGCATTCCTAGAGTCTAAGCTTCGTGTAAAAAATAAAAACTAGAACTATATTATGAGCAATTTATAATATCAAATTTTGTTCACTAAACAATATTCTTTCATTACAATATGAGCCCGACCTGCATTTTGTCACCAAGTACTCCAAAACTTTATCATACCACATTACCACTGCATGCATGCCGCTATGTAAATATATATTGCGTTTTTTGCAGTTAATTTATTAGTGGTCACTTTTATCGAATGAGTCTGTTAATTTATTAGTGGTCACTTTTATTAGAGACAATGATGAAGAAGGTAAGATTTTCACACAACTATCCGGATCCCCTGGGCTATCAATGAGTAAGGTCTGTTACCAACGTCCTAACAAGGAATTTGAGGTTTCACATGACTTTCAGGAAGCAGAAAAGCAGTTGGAATTGGAGTCCATCTCCTCTGTTCCAAGTTCTTGGTTATCTGCAATTTTGAAGTTGTTTCAGATTCTGTCTTATTGAATTTGTGAAGAACTCTATCCAGGCACCTATATCACACAACATTTACTGGAAGGAGTTATCGATGCTTGTGTATGTCTCGGTGGCTTTTCTTATTGTTCACATTGTTAAGGTAAGTTATTTTACTATGTAGTTTTGTATAACTAAATACGCTTTCAAAAGATAAGATCATCACTAGAAATGTTGTCAAGTTCGATCTTTCTAAATCCTCTGCATTTGCAGGGGAAGCACTATTGCAATGGTCACACATCACAACAAAAGCAAGATAACTCAAATGAATACCCTAAGAACCATGAAATGAAATTATAAAGCTGTCCGGAGGACTACAAGCTGATTATGGTTGCACTTGGATTGAAATTAAGCTTTAGAATTTGGTTTTCTAATTTTTCAAAAAGAAATAGTATAGCCGTACGGCTATACTCGATTTTTCAAATTTATTTAAAATAAATTGTATAGCCGAACGGCTATACTCCGTTTTTTCTATTGGTTTTTTAATTTTTTAAAACGAAATAGTATAGCCGTACGGCTATACCCGGTTTTTAATTTTATTCAGAAGGCTATACTCGATTTTCCAAATTTATTTAAAATAAATTTTATAGCCGGACGGCTATACTCCGTTTTTTCTATAGGTTTTTTAATTTTTTCAAAAAAAAATAGTATTAGCCGTACGGCTATACTCGGTCTTTATTGTAAACGTTACAAACAAGTATATACAAAAATTTAAAATAAGTAGAAAAAGATAAGTTACAAATGAACAACTATTCATCAAAACCATTCACTCTGTTCTTAAGTAAATTATCGTCCCCTAAAAATCCATCATGTGCACTAATATTGGATTGTCCATGGAATTGATTTAACATATTTCCAGGGAAAGAATTTCTGAGTTGGGTGGCAATCAAAACAGCCAAACAGGCTAGCAACAAAAAGCAGCTACTTAAAAAATCAAAAACTATAAGCTTCATGTAATCTACCAAATTATGTGGCTCTTAAAATATTAGTGGAACCTCTACGCAGTTTACTTTTGACTTCAAAAAAAGCACATATGGTATAGGATTGTCAATCAGTACATAGTTGAGTTAAACAAAAACAACACGTACACTTATATTCAAACAAAACCTCGAACAACATAGGGATGACAGTTGATCTGATTGAGCTCTCTGGAAGTTTGGGTTGACAACCCTTGACGACCCTTCATCTGGTGAGCTGTTCAGATTATGATTATCTTCCTCTTTCTCTATCCTCCAAAAAGACAAGTTTGGCACTGGAAGCAATCATGCTTTTTGTTATCTTCCTTACAGCTTTCGACTGCTGAGGTGAATGAAAAAAATGTCATTTTCTTCAAATTCCGAGCATGCTCGAGCACATATTTTGCAAACCTAATTCCATTAGATCCAATGGAAAGCTCTATGGTTACATCCTTAAGTTGATGAATAAAAGAAATGTTTTGCAATCTCCAATATCCCATATTAAACCCAGAACACTGCAGGAAAGGCAACAATCAACAAACAAATCAGTTGAAATTTCTGCACCCAAAAAAAAACTAATCATGAAAGAGAGGGGGAAAGAAATGGGCAACACTTTCACTTACATCAGTTTTAGGTTCAAAGAATTCTGGGTCAGACATTATTTCCAAAGTACTCAAATTACACATTCCTTGAGAAGTGGAGACTAGCATATAACGAAATTAAAGCTTCCAACATGAATAGACAAATAACAAACATTCTCTAATAGCAGTGGCATGAAATCTCCATAGAAGACAGCCTACAAGTTATAAACACAAACATAAGGAACCGAAAGACAAGAATTACAAATATTAATTAAGAAAAGAACTACCTGCAATATATTTGAGAAAATAAGTCGATGAAATAGTCATTACTAACTAAAAGTTGAAACTATCATGGTTTTTGAAGTACTTGATCTGTCAAAGTACTATTACAAAGTTGAAACTATCATGGTTTTTGAAGTACTTGATCTAAATTAATTATATATAGTTTAGGTACAGCCAGATTTCCTACATGTTATCTCTGATTCTCTGCTGGTTCCGTATAAATTCACTAATATATTGATATGAATGGCAATATGCTGAACATTGATATTTAAGTTTTGATGTTCTTCCAATAATAGGAAAAGGAATGACGCTTACAACGTTCCCACAACCTTTTGAGTATTTGTTATATTCTGTGTTCGTTGAATGATACGTGCCAATCCAAAATATGAAATTTTTGGGTTCATTTGCATCCAAGAGAATATTACTGACCCTTCAAATCTCTATGAATTACTTTCAAATAAGACTCATGGTGGAGATAAAGAAGCCCTCTAGCAATACCCTGAATAATATTGAAGCGTCTGCCCCAATCAAGCTCAGGTCTCCGCGCTGGATCTTTTAAATGCAAGCATTCGAAATATAACCAATAGTTTCATTCATATATCCTATCCTATGCATTGACCAATGACACTGTCACTAGATTTTTACGTTTAAATTTCTATAGAAAATACTGACGCATTTGTATGAACAATAGTGAAACAAGGGTGTAATCAGATTCAAAATTGATTTCAGGTCTAGTTTAACATTGTCTCTTCTACTTTATAAAGAACTGAAACGTACTCATGTAGTGTACAATCCAGTTTACAGTTATGTGCATTAAATCTGCAGGATGTCTTGCTTGACTGTTTGTGTTGCAAATAAATCAGTGATTCTTTGTATCAATCGAAAATAATTTTGATTCTTTGTGCCCGAACATTTAGTTCATGTGAATTCATTTGTGGCCTTAAGTTATTAGGCAAATTACGAAGATAAAGTCCAGTGAAATTAACCAAATAGAAGAGTGTCCAAGCTTCCGTTTGGCATGAACTCGTAAATCAGTATCTTCTCATCTTCTTTGACGCAGCAGCCCATGATCCTAGCAAGAGTTCTATGTTGGAGCTTGGAGATCAACAACGTCTCATTTTTTTAACTCTTCTATGCCTTGCCCTGAGCTACTAGATAGTCCTTGTACTGCTATTTCCTTCCTTTCTCGTAGGGTACCTACAAATTAATCACTTCATTCATGTCCTTATCTGTTATTGTAGCTGTGTTGATATTGTTCATTGCGATCAATATGCTATCAAAATTATAGATGAATAGCTCAGATGGATCTTGGTTTATGATATATTCTTGAATATTGTCTCTTGAATTCTCCGTAGTATCAATACTCAGCATTCGCGATATACCTGAAATTTTGTGTATTGAATATTTATTTGTTATTTGTTACTTATTAGTGGTTACTTCAGTGATTTCATAACGAAAAATCCATTTAATGTTGTATTTTCTGAAGCCCAGGCCCTTCTCTCTTGCCCAGGCCCTTTTATAAACCCTAAACATAACACGCAACCTCTCGTCTTCTTCAATCTCATCGTCGTCTCTCTGTCTCTCGCCTCATATCACCATCGTCATCTCATCCCAGACATTGGAGTTCCAAAATGGCCTTTCCTTTCTTCTAGGCGCCAGCCTAGACCGCCTAGACCGCCTAGCGCCCGCCTAGCCCGCCTAGGCCATTTATTCAGATATGAGTGACAGTGTGTTCAAGGATTTAACTTTTAAAGAAGATTTCCGAGAATTGGAAAAGAAAGAGATGATGCTTACATTGTTCCTACAACCTTGTGAGTATTTGCTAGACTCTGCGTGCCTTAAACGATACGCGCCAATCCAAAATCTGAAAGTTTTGGGTTCATGTTCTCATCCAAGAGAATGTTACTGACCTTCAAATCTCTATGTATTACCTTCAAACGGGAATCATGGTGGAGATAAAAAGTATGTTACATAGGCTTAATTATTTGAATCTGTCAAATGATATGAGTACATATGCTATGACTATTAGAAGTATATTACATTTTCTACAGAATATACACTCCCAACAATCTTATTAGATATTCTTCTGTGTTCTGGGTGGTACAGCAACAAAAGCTTTAGTGAAAGGCATATAAACATGGAAGAAAGAGACAATAATGAAGAAGGCAAGAATTTCACACAACTATACAGATCCCCTGGGCTATCAATGAGTCTGTTACCAACGTACTAACAAGGAATTTGAGGGGAAGCACTATTGCAATGGTCACACATCACAACAAAAGCAAGATAACTCAAATGAATGCCCTAAGAACCATGAAATGAAATTATAAAGCTGTCCGGAGGACTACAAGCTGATTATGGTTGCACTTGGATTGAAATTAAGCTTTAGAATTTGGTATTCTAATTTTTTTTAAAAAGAAATAGTATAGCCGAACGGCTATACTCGATTTTCACATTTAATTAAATCAAATTGTATAGCCGCACGGCTATACTTTGTTTTTAATTGGTTTTTAAAATTTTTTAAACGAAATAGTATAGCCGGCCGGCTATACCCGGTTTTTAATTTTATTCAGAAGAAATAGTATAGCCGGACGGCTATACTGGATTTTATAAATTTATTTAAAATAAATTGTATAGACGAATGGCTATACTCCGTTTTTTCTATTGGTTTTCTAATTTTTTAAAAAGAAATAGTATAGCCGGCACGCTATACCCGGTTTTTTAATTTTTTTCAGAAGAAATCGTATAACCGCACTGCTGTACTCGGTTTTTTTTTAAAAAAAAGAAATAGTATAGCCGTACGGCTATACTAAAACAAGTATATAAAAAAATTTAAATTAAGTAGAAAAAGATAAGTTACAAATGAACAACAATTCATCAAAACCGTTCACTCTGTTCTTAAGTAAATTATCGTCCCCAAAAAATCCATCATGTGCACTAATATTGGATTGTCCATGGAATTGATTTAACATATTTCCAGGGAAAGAATTTCTGAGTTGGGTGGCAATCAAAACAGCCAAACAGGCTAGCAACAAAAAGCAGCTACTTAAAAAATCAAAAACCATAAGCTTCATGTAATCTACCAAATTATGTGGCTCTTAAAATATTGGTGGAACCTCTACGCAGTTTACTTTTGACTTCAAAAAAAAGCACATATGGTCTAGGATTGTCAATCAGTACACAGTTGAGTTAAACAAAAATAACACGTACACTTATATTCAAACAAAACCTCGAACAGTATAGGGATGACAGTTGATCTGATTGAGCTCTCTGGAAGTTTGGGTTGACAACCCTTGACGACCCTTCATCTGGTGAGCTGTTCAGATTATGATTATCTTCCTCTTTCTCTATCCTCCAAAAAGACAAGTTTGGCACTGGAAGCAATCATGCTTTTTGTTATCTTCCTTACAGCTTTCGACTGCTGAGGTGAATGAAAAAAATGTCATTTTCTTCAAATTCCGAGCATGCTCGAGCACATATTTTTCAAACCGAATTCCATTAGATCAAATGGAAAGCTCCTCTATGGTTACATCCTTAAGTTGATGAATAAAAGAAATGTTTTGCAATCTCCAATATCCCATATTAAACCCAGAACACTGCAGGAAAGGCAACAATCAACAAGCAAATCAGTTGAAATTTCCGCACCCAAAAAAAAACTAATCATGAAAGAGAGGGGGAAAGAAATGGGCAACACTTTCACTTACATCAGTTTTAGGTTCAAAGAATTCTGGGTCAGACATTATTTCCAAAGTACTCAAATTACACATTCCATGAGAAGTGGAGACTAGCATATCACGAAATTAAAGCTTCCAACATGAATAGACAAATAACAAACATTCTCTAATAGCAGTGGCAAATCTCCATAGAAGACAGCCTACAAGTTATAAACACAAACATAAGGAACCGAAAGACAAGAATTACAAATATTAATTAAGAAAACAAGTACCTGCAATATATTTGAGAAAATAAGTCGATGAAATAGTCATTACTAACTAAAAGTTGAAACTATCATGGTTTTTGAAGTACGTGATCTGTCAAAGTACTATTACAAAGTTTCAGACTGACAATTCTAAAACAAACAAGAAACAGCAACATGAAATTTCATTCTAGCCACTATAACCAAAATTAATGAAAAATACAACCAAATCTTATTGCCATCAGTTTTCTGAAATTAACTTACCCCGATTGCCATGATGGGAAAGAATACAACCTAAACAAGACAAAATTGAAAAAACAAAAACCATTGAATAAAAAGAACATCTTGAAGAGCAGTGTCTAATTACCATGGCGGTCTCTCCCCTATTGCCATGCAGAGAACCTCATACAATATTTTAAAGCAACGGCGATTATATTCCAGAAAAAAACTCGGCTTTCTCTAAAGACGTAGATTTCCCCAAAATTTGGCCAATCCCCTGACAATTTCAAATACTTAAGACTTGGATAAAAAATATTGACCAAATTCTTGACACAGTTATGAAGATCCAAGTGAACAAGTATGTCTTCAAGTTTTTCAGCTGAGATGCTAAGGATAAGGTCAATATACACAGGGGAATCAAGCACAAAACTAAAAGATTTCAAAGAGGAGCTTTCAATGGTTATCTGATTTATTCCAAAAATATCTTCAAGATGTAACTCCTTGATGCACTTACATGAACATGAGATCCATTTGAAAAACCCATCATCTTCTATGAAAACATCATCCAACTTCTGGTGTTTGAAAATCGGCCTACGCGGGCGGCGAGGCGGCTAGGCGGTCGCTAGGCGGGCGCTAGGCGGTGGCTAGGCGGCTAGGCGGTGGCTAGGCGTCTAGGCAGCAGCTAGGGCGGAGCTAGGCGGCTGGGCGGGCGCCTAGGACGGTTGGCTCTTTTTCCGGTGCCAAACCTAGAGGACGAAGCAGTGACTGCGAGTGCAAGTTCCGTTCTCTGCGAGTGCAAGCTTTTGGAATATTTAAAGAGTATAGCTGCACGGCTATACTAATTTGTAAAGAAACAAAAAACCCGGGTATCGCCGGGCGGCTTTACTATTTATTTATTTAAGAAGAGAACTCGCCGAGCAATGGTGTCGAAAATCGTATAGCCGGTCGCTAGGCGGGCGCTAGGCGGCTAGGCGGTTGCTAGGCGGCTAGGCGGTTAGGCAGTCTCTACGCGTCTAGGCAGTAGCTAGGCCGGAGTTAGGCGGCCAGGCGGTCGCTAAGAGGTCGCTAGGCTAGCGGTAGGCGGCTAGGCAGTCGCTAGGAGGGCGGTAGGCATCTAGGCGGTGGCTAGGCGGCCGTAGGCGGCTAGGCGGTGGCTAGGCGGGCCTTAGGCGGCTAGGCAGTAGCTAGGCCGGAGCTAGGCGGCTGGGCGGGCGCCTAGGTGGGTTGACTCTTTTTCCGGTGCCGAACCTGGAGGACGAAGCAGTGACTGCAAGTGCAATATCCGTCCTCTGCGAGTGCAAGTTTTTGGAATATATTTAAAGCGTATAGCCGGGCGGCTATACCGTAAAAATATTCGAATGTATTTAGAGAGTATAGCCGAACGGCTATACGTTTAAAATATTCAAATATATTTGAAGAGTATAGCCGCTCGACTATACCCTTTAAATATACAATTTTGTCATGCACGTGGGCAACACTAGCATCCATGAGCGGGTCTTACTTATACATCGGGGACTGGTATGACATCTGAGAAGAAGTACGATGCCAAAAAAGCAGCTTGTTGGGGTGCTATGGATTGGCTAATCGGAAAAGATCGTTCGACTCCACTGGTGGATCTTCTTATGAGAGTAAATAGTGACATGAATGAGAACCTCAGTCACTCCTTTTTTAAAGCTCTTCAGTCTAATGGCAATTACCTCCGAATTCAGGTAACCCAATAAAATTGAGATAAATGGCAAGTGGTCGTTTGTTTGCTTTTATGTTATGTATATGTACACAGAATCAAAATACATTAGCCTAAATTATGTACAACACAAACTAAGAATGGAGTTGGCCAGACCTCAAGCTGTTATGGCCACTGGTCAGGTTCTGTTTCACCATTTCTATTGTAAGAATTTCTTTCTAAAACCATGGTCCGAAATCGAGAGGAATGAATGATTTCTTTTAAATTTTTGCCTTTTAATAATGTGATGCTTTCTTGTAAAAAGTTGCTGCCAGCTGTTTGTGGCTTGCATCAAAACTGGAGGAATGCCCTAAAAAAGCCAGGCAGGTTATCATTGTTTTCCACAGGATGGAATGTAGGAGGGGAACCTACCCATTGAGCCTTTGGATCCATATTCAAAGGTTAGAGCTCATATAATCCACATCGTACTAAAGTCATTGTCTTCCATTATCATGATTTTGAGCCAAAAGCATGCTATGGTTTATCTCTGTCTACTTTCTTTCCAGAAATGTTCGGACTTGAAGATGGAGTTGAGTAAAGCAGAAAGACGTATTTTAAAGGAGATGGGTTTCATTTGTCATGTTGAGCATCCTCATAAGTTTATATCAAATTATCTTGCCACTCTGGAGACACCACCAGAATGAACACAAGAAGCCTGGAAACTAGCAAATGACAGGTACTTCCCCCAACAGATGCCAATTACTTATTTACTTTCTTGGCACTTGGTTTTTCCATTTGACTTTGAAACTTTCGAACTTTTCATTGTTGTTTAATTATTTGGAATTTTTTTTTACTGGATTATGTGTCTTTTGTTGTCCTTATTGGTGATAGTTCATTTGAAAAACTTATACTCAATGTACTATTTTGTTGTTTTAGTTCTCACTAACCTTATTGGTGATAGTACAACATTGTGTGTGCGATTCAAGAGTAGGGTGCTGGCTCATCTGTACAGCCTTCCTAAAGCAAAGTACGTACCAGTCTGTACGGATGGAGATTCTTTTACATTTTCTAACAAGTCATGTAATTCACAGTCTCAGCCAATTCCAAAGGTAGTTCCGATTCTTCTTCTTCTTTTTTTCTCTCTCTAATTCCTGCCCCGTTCCTAATAATAGCCCATCAGCTATTGACAATATATACCTCTAATTCGAAGGCTGCAGCAGAAGTCAATCCTGAATCTGGTGGATCAAAGGGTGTGTTGGCCAAGCTAGCCATTGACAAGCTGAAGGACTCTAAAGAGAGTGATGAAAGTATGCCTATTGAGGGAGAGGCAATAGAAGATTTCAGTATCAAATCCAAGTCTGAACGCAAAATGGAATCTAGTGGCAATAAAAGCTGGGACAGGGACAGGGAGAGAGGTAAGGAGACAGAGACAGGGATAGAATGAAAGTCCGGGGGGGGGGCAGGGATTCTGACCGGAACAAGATCGAGAAGAGGCTGAGAGGGACAGAACCAAGGACCGAGGTTAAGAATAGTTCATATGCTTCTTTTTGTTTCTTCAAATTGTGTGGACGTTCAGTTCAAGCCCCGTCATCTGACACTTACCCTTATTTTACAGATCGCGACTATCACAATTCCTCCTACTCTTCACGGGAAAAGGATCGCCATAGACATCATTCTTACGCTTGAACTGATCATCAAGTCCAAGACATCTCTCTTTTTCTCCTAAACTTCAACGGAACTGAAAATACTTTGGGCTTTGTATGTTGACAGAAAATGTGAAAGTGAGCAACGTTGAGACTAGTTAAGGATAAGCATGACTCTTCTAACACGTGAGGGGTTTTTATATAAACTTGTCTGTGTAGGAAATGCTAACAATATAGGAAAGAAGTCCTAATTACAATAGGAACTATACAAAAGGAAAGTAAATACAACTTAGAATATAAAAATGGAAACTAAAATTACCTGCTCACAGAGGGAAATATCACTATATAAAGTCCCACAACTCAATTGGTTAATCCCATAACTTGCAAAGCTTTCTTTTTGAGATTCTTGCAACGTCAAATCATCCCTTCATTGGTTAAGTCTTGTGCATTCAATCTCTCACTCATGGAGAAAACAAAATCATCCCTTCATGCTCACGCTAACGAAGGTCTCACCACTGTTCTTTCTATTGATGGAGGCGGAATAAGAGGGATTATTCCAGGAGTTATGCTTGCATTCCTAGAGTCTACGCTTCAGGTAAAAAATCAAAACTAGAACTCTATTATGAGCAATTTATAATATCAAATTTTGTTCACCAAACAATATTCTTTCATTACAATATGAGCCCGATCTGCATTTTGTCACCAAGTGCTCCAAAATTTTATCATACCACATTACCACTGCATGCACGCCGCTATGTACATATATATTGCTTTATTTTGCAGTTAATTTATTAGTGGTCACTTTTATCGAATGTCCACGTATAGCAGTAGATAAATAAATACGTGTATTATAATATGAGTAAACTAGTCATGTCATTACGTAGTGCTATACCTAACTATCATGTTTATTTCATTAGTCACAATTTGATATTAGTGTGTTTATCGTACTTTTTTTCTTTCTTCTGTAATCTAATACGACTAATTTTGGCTTTACTCGTTTGCTATATGCAGAAGATAGATGGTGATCATGTAAGGCTTGTAGATTATCTTGATTGGGTTGTAGGGACGAGCACAGGTGGCCTTATGGCGTCCATGCTTACTACCCCAAATAAAAATAATCGTCCCTTATATGATGCTAAAGATATCGTCCCCTTTTATCGCCAACACTGCCCTAAGATTTTCCCCCAACCCAGGTACGTATAGTTAATTGTTGACAGAAAGTCTTGTACTGCGTACCTTTTATATGCATAACGAGTAACAATAATTAATTTTGATTCCTTGTGCAGCAGCTCTCGCATCGGCAAAATCATACATTATTTGAAATGTTTAGTAGGCCCCAAATATAATGGGAAGTATTTACGTAAGCTGTTGAAGGAAATACTAGGAGACAAACATTTGCATGACATGTTGACTAACATTGCAATCACAACTACTGATATAAAGCAAGGATGTGCAGTTATTTTCTCCAGCCATAAGGTTTGTTTATTAATTATCTCCTAATTCGAACACATATGTGTATATAATTTAATTCTTGGGTTTTCTCTTTTTGTAAATAATTGTTGATTTTGTGTATATATGTTGGTCATGATTTCAGTTGAAAAAGGATCCCAGCCTAGATGCTTTGATGTCGGATATATGTGTCGGAACTTCAGCAGCCCCAGCCTACCTTCCACCTCATCAATTTAATACCACAACTTCAACAGGCGAATCAAGAGAATTCAATCTCATTGATGGTGGAATTGCTGCCAATAACCCGGTAATATTGTTGTGACCCAATTTCAAAAACTTAATTTGCATCTGAATAATTCGTATATATGATCATTATTTAATTTTTTACCCTTTCTTTTTTGGGGGTAGGCTGTGGTTGGTATAACCGAATCGGAAATGGACATGCACGAGGGCAACACTGGCATCCATGAGCGGGTCTTACTTATATCACTGGGGACTGGTATGACATCTGAGAAGAAGTACGATGCCAAAAAAGCAGCTTGTTGGGGTGCTCTGGATTGGCTGATCGGAAAAGATCGTTCGGCTCCACTGGTGGATCTTCTTATGAGAGTAAATAGTGACATGAATGAGTACCTCAGTGGTTCCTTTTTTAAAGCTCTTCAGCCTAATAGCAATTACCTCCGAATTCAGGTAACACAATAAAATTGAGATAAATGTCAAGTGGTCGTTTGTTTGTTTTTATGTTATGTATATGTACACAGAATCAAAATACACGCGCCTAAATTATGTACAAGACAAACTAAGCATGGAATTGGAAATGAATGCAGGACGATACACTAAGTGGAACATTGGCTTCTGTGGATATTGCCACAGAAGAAAACTTGAATGATCTTGTAAAAGTTGGAGAGGCATTGTTGAAGAAACCCGTTTCGAGATTGAATTTTGGTACCGGTAAACTCGAGCCTGTTCATCCTGAGGTTACAAATGAAGAGGCTCTCGCGAGGTACAAATTTTCTAATTTATTCTCATTATTAAGTTGTGTAAATTCAATAAATTATCATACTGATTACTTTTGTTTTGTCCATTAATTTGCATGATCTTGTAGGATGGCGAAAATTCTCTCTGAGGAGAGGGCTCGGAGGCAGAGGGTGGTCGTTCACGAAAATGCTGCTCTGCTCTCACATAAGTCCTTGTAGTTATGTTTTTCGTTAAGAGAAATAAATAGCTCAATAATTTTTATTTTTATTTTTATTTCATGTAATTCAGTTCTGAAACTAATTTCTCCCAATTTATGTATATATTTGTAACTGGGAAATTATTCAATTTATTCATGACGTGGCCAATGAAAGCAGCTTGAGTTGTTTTAAGTCTTCTTCTTCATTATGTTGTTGGAGTTTGTGTGCACTGATAAAGCACTATGAAATTAAAAACGAAAACAAAACAAAAAGCACTTTGAAATTAATCCTTAGCAACATGTTTGATAATGAACAGATTCTTGAGATTGAACTACTGCATCTGTAAAGAAGAACGAACCTATGATGTAGATGGTTGGCTTGCTGCATGGAAGGCGAGTGGCTTCATGTCATGGGACGCATGTAACTTAAAAACTCTCCAGGCAGCTCTTCCAAAAGACCTTGAACAACAGAAATTAATATGCCCACCTGTTACATTAATCGCACAGCTATACGCCTTCAAATAATATATTTAAATAGTATGACTGTGAGACTATAATATATGTGGAATTATTATCCCCATAATCTTGATTTATGAGGCTTAGCGTACCCAATGCATCCACTTATTCAAGCTGTTTAGGATCATGATCTGTTACTCATTTTTGTATTGTTCTCCTATCATTGGCCATCTTTAATTGTAATAATCATGTGTAAATTGAAATACTCTAATTAAGTAATAATTATATATGAATACTCGAATTGGGTTATATTAGTTATTGAATTTGAAGTTTTGTATCATGTTGAGCTTTAAGATGGTTTGGTATTCTAGAAAATGAGTTAAGTATGGAGCAAGTTGTGAATTTGTTTTTTGCACTTCAGCTAACAATGTTGAAAAAATTGCAAAAGAAAAGAGAATTGGACTTAGGCTCAAACCGGCCAAATCAAACAGTCTTTAATTGGTTTAGTTCGGTTTTCTCTGTGACTTTTGTTAAAATCGAAGAATTCTAAATTATTATATTGTAATTGATTTAGCCGCGATTTTAAAGTGAAATCAATCCAATTCAGACCATACCCACCCCTATATAGAAGTTCAAACCTGAAATCTAAGGTCCTTTTTTTATTCCTACTTTTTTTTTGACGAACTTGACTAGACTCCTTTTCTTTTTTTGTTTTTCCTATTTTCGTTTTTCTTTTTTGGTAGTGAGAAATGATGGTTTATTAAGGCCACGTGGATAGCATAGAATCATGGTCCAGCTTCCAAGCTTGCACTGGTGCTGCATCCAAGCGCATTTCCCTTTGGCCCCTTTCAACCAAATTCCCCTAAATCCCAAAGGAGCCTCCTTTGACATTTCTCAGGCCCAGTTTTTTACTTCCATTTCTATCACACCCTTCCCTTTCTATGCTCCAAGTCTTTAATCATCCACCTGTTTTATCATTATTTCCAGAAGGCCCCAAAATTTAGGGTTTTCATCACACCCTGCACCTCCTCTTCTGGTAAGCTCTTTCTTCTCTCTCCTCAAAGCTAAGAGTTAAATCCTTTCTCCCAATACTGTGTTTCTGGCAAGTTGGTAACAAATAACTTTCATGTACTAGTAAATTAGTAATCAATTCAACAAATGTTAGTGTGCTTGTAATCTTGGTTGTGGGTTTTTGGTTTAAAGTCATGATCTTGGACTTAGAATTCAGGGTTTCCGGGAAAAAGGGGCTTACTTAAGTTAGATTGCTCATTAAATGATCATCGGGGTTGGATTTGTTGACTTTCTTTAAACTGTTTTCCGTTGACTCGGCGTGAAATACACTGATTTTGGCGTCGTGTTGATGTAAAGTTGGGCTCAGATGATAACCCACATGCTCTTTTATGATCATTTCGATACTGTAATATTTTATGTCAATATTTTTTATCCGTAATTTTTATGCGAATGCTGATGTGCTGCTTCCATTATTGTTTTGAACTGGGTTTTTGCATTGTTTTCATGCCTGCATATGTTCGCAAAGCAGGTTCTTTGGGGCGATGGTTTTTCGATGTATATGCACACAAGCTGTAGAAAGTAGCTAAGTTGTCTACATTCAAGCACACACACGATGAGCCAGTGCTATAATTTTGAAATCTTTTTATGGTTTTTTGGATATATATATGCACACAAGCTGTAGAAAGTAGCTATAAGTTGTCTAAAGTCAAGCACACACACGATGAACTAGTGCTGTAATGGTGAAATCTTTTTCTGCACCAGCTTTATGAATGCATTTTGAAATGGCTTTTGGGTACATCTTATTAGATTGTAGTAAATTTAGTAGATAGTTTTTGGCAACTTAGCATAATTGTATACTGGTTTTTAATTGCTTTTATTCGAACGTTTGAAGTTCCTTGTGATGGCGAGGACAAAGCTTATCTTAATCTGCCAGTCTGGTGGTGAATTCGTCATAAAGGATCATGGATCCATGTCATATACGGGTGGAGAGGCACATGCAGTAGATATCAATCTTGAAACCATATTTGATGATCTCTCAAGTTTAAATCAGTATCTTCTCATCTTCTTTGACGCAACAGCCCATGATCCTAGCAAGAGTTCTATGTTGGAGCTTGGAGATCAACAACGTCTCATTTTTTAACACCTCTATGCCTTGCCCTGAGCTACTAGATAGTCCTTGTACTGCTATTTCCTTCCCTTCTCGTAGGGTACCTACGAATTAATCACTTCATTCATGTCTTTATGTCCTTATCTGTTATTGTAACTGTGTTGATATTGTTCATTGCGATCAATATGCTATCAAAATTATAGATGAATAGCTCCGATGGATCTTGGTTTATGATATATTCTTGAAGAGTGTCTCTTGAATTCTCCGTTGTATCAATACTCAGCATTCGCGATATACCTGAAATTTTGTGTATTGAATATTTATTTGTTATTTGTTACTTATTAGTGGTTACTTTAGTGATTTCATAATGCAAAATCCATTTAATGTTGTATTTTCTGAAGCCCAGGCCCTTCTCTCTTGCCCAGGCCCTTTTATAAACCCTAAACATAACACACAACCTCTCGTATTCTTCAATCTCATCGTCGTCTCTCTCTCTCGCCTCATATCACCATCGTCATCTCGTCCCAGACCTTGGAGTTCCAAAATGGCCTTTTCTTTCTTCTAGGCGCCAGCGCCTGCCTAGCCCCCCTGCCTAGGCCATTTATTCAGATATGAGTGACAGTGTGTTCAAGGATTTAACTTTTAAAGAAGATTTCTGAGAATTGGAAAAGAAAGAGATGATGCTTACATTGTTCCTACAACCTTGTGAGTATTTGCTAGACTCTGCGTGCCTTAAACGATACGTGCCAATCCAAAATCTGAAAGTTTTGGGTTCATGTTTTCATCCAAGAGAATGTTACTGACCTTCAAATCTCTATGTATTACCTTCAAACAGGAATCATGGTGGAGATAAAGAAGTATGTTACATAGGCTTAATTATTTGAATCTGTCAATTGATATGAGTACATATGCTATGACTATTAGAAGTATATTACATTTTCTACAGAATATACACTCCCAACAATCTTATTATATATTCTTCTGAGTTCTGGGTGGTACAGCAACAAAAGCTTTAATGAAAGGCATATAAACATGGAAGAAAGAGACAATGATGAAGAATGTAAGAATTTCACACAACTATCCGGATCCCCTGGGCTATCAATGAGTCTGTTACCAACGTACTAACAAGGAATTTGAGATTTCACGTGACTTTCAGGAAGCAGAAAAGCAGTCGGAATTGGAGTCCAAACGTGGTGGTGAGTGTATATATAGACCAAGTTTAGAGATTATGCACTAATATGAACTAAAAGAAAACTCTAAAGCGCACATCCCCTCTGTTGCAGATGGTTTCATTGCAAGATGAGCAGGTCAGTTCCAAGTTCTTGGTTATCTGCAATTTTGAAGTTGTTTCAGATTCTGTCTTATTGAATTTGTGAACTCTATCCAGGCACCTATATCACACAACATTTACTGGAAGGAGTTATTGATGCTTGTGTATGTCTCAGTGGCTTTTCTTATTGTTCACATTGTTAAGGTAAGTTATTTTACTATGTAGTTTTGTATAACTAAATACGCTTTTCAAAAGATAAGATCATCACTAGAAATGTTGTCAAGTTCGATCTTTCTAATTCCTCTGCATTTGCAGGGGAAGCACTATTGCTATGGTCACACATCACAACAAAAGCAAGATAACTCGAATGAATGCCCTAAGAACCATGAAATGAAATTATAAAGCTGTCCGGAGGACTGTAAGCTGATTATGGTTGCACTTGGATTGAAATTAAGCTTTAGAGTTGGGTTTCCTAGATTTTTTAAAAAGAAATAGTATAGCCGAACGGCTATACTCGATTTTCCAAATTTATTTAAAATAAATTGTATAGCCGACCGGCTATACTCCGTTTTTTCTATTGGTTTTTAAATTTTTTAAAAAATAAATAGTATACCCGGCCCACTATACCCGGTTTTTTAATTTTTTTTCAGAAGAAATCGTATAGCCGTACGGCTGTACTCGGTTTTTTAATTTTTTTTAAAAGAAATAGTATAGCCGTACGGCTAGACTGGGTCTTTATTGTAAACGTTAAAAACAAGTATATAAAAAAATTTAAAATAAGTAGAAAAAGATAAGTGAACAACTATTCATCAAAACCATTCATAAGTAAACAACTATTCATCAAAACCATTCACTCTGTTCTTAAGTAAACTAAAAATCCATCATGTTCACTAATATTGGATTGTCCATGGAATTGATTTAACATATTTCCAGGGAAAGAATTTCTGAGTTGGGTGGCAATCAAAACAGCCAAACAGGCTAGCAACAAAAAGCAGCTACTTAAAAAATCAAAAACCATAAGCTTCATGTAATCTACCAAATTATGTGGCTCTTAAAATATTGGTGGAACCTCTACGCAGTTTACTTTTGACTTCAAAAAAAAGCACATATGGTCTAGGATTGTCAATCAGTACACAGTTGAGTTAAACAAAAACAACACGTACACTTATATTCAAACAAAACCTCGAACAGCATAGGGATGACAGTTGATCTGATTGAGCTCTCTGGAAGTTTGGGTTGACAACCCTTGACGACCCTTCATCTGGTGAGCTGTTCAGATTATGATTATCTTCCTCTTTCTCTATCCTCCAAAAAGACAAGTTTGGCACTGGAAGCAATCATGCTTTTTGTTATCTTCCTTACAGCTTTCGACTGCTGAGGTGAATGAAAAAAATGTCATTTTCTTCAAATTCCGAGCATGCTCGAGCACATATTTTGCAAACCGAATTCCATTAGATCCAATGGAAAGCTCTATGGTTACATCCTTAAGTTGATGAATAAAAGAAATGTTTTGCAATCTCCAATATCCCATATTAAACCCAGAACACTGCAGGAAAGGCAACAATCAACAAGCAAATCAGTTGAAATTTCCGCACCCAAAAAAAAACTAATCATGAAAGAGAGGGGGAAAGAAATGGGCAACACTTTCACTTACATCAGTTTTAGGTTCAAAGAATTCTGGGTCAGACATTATTTTCAAAGTACTCAAATTACACATTCCTTGAGAAGTGGAGACTAGCATATCACGAAATTAAAGCTTCCAACATGAATAGACAAATAACAAACATTCTCTAATAGCAGTGGCAAATCTCCATAGAAGACAGCCTACAAGTTATAAACACAAACATAAGGAACCGAAAGACAAGAATTACAAATATTAATTAAGAAAAGAAGTACCTGCAATATATTTGAGAAAATAAGTCGATGAAATAGTCATTACTAACTAAAAGTTGAAACTATCATGGTTTTTGAAGTACTTGATCTGTCAAAGTACTATTACAAAGTTTCAGACTGACAATTCTAAAACAAACAAGAAACAGCAACATGAATTTTCATTCTAGCCAGTATAACCAAAATTAATGAAAAATACAACCAAATCTTATTGCCATCAGTTTTCTGAAATTAACTTACCCCTATTGCCATGCTGGGAAAGAAAATAACCTAAACAAGACAAAATTGAAAAAACAAAAACCATTGAATAAAAAGAACATCTTGAAGAGTAGTGTCTAGTTACCATGGCGGTCTCTCCCCTATTGCCATGCAGAGAACCTCAGACAATATTTTAAAGCAACGGCGATTACATTCCAGAAAAAAACTCGGCTTTCTCTAAAGACGTAGATTTCCCCAAACTGTGGCCAATCCCCTGACAATTTCAAATACTTAAGATTTGGAGCAAAAATATTGACCAAATTCTTGACACAGTTATGAAGATCCAAGTGAACAAGTATGTCTTCAAGTTTTTCAGCTGAGATGCTAAGGATAAGGTCAATATACACAGGGGAATCAAGCACAAAACTAAAAGATTTCAAAGAGGAGCTTTCAATGGTGATCTGATTTATTCCAAAAATATCTTCAAGATGTAACTCCTTGATGCACTTACATGAACATGAGATCCATTTGAAAAAAACCCATCATCTTCTATGAAAACATCATCCAACTTCCGGTGTTTGAAAAATCGGCCTACGCGGGCGGCTAGGCGGCTAGGCGGTCGCTAGGCGGGCGCTGGGCGGCTAGGCGGTCGCTAGGCGGCTAGGCGGTGGATAGGCGTCTAGGCAGTAGCTTGGCCGGAGCTAGGCGGCTGGGCGGGCGCCTAGGACGGTTGGCTCTTTTTCCGGTGCCAAACCTAGAGGACGAAGCAGTGACTGCGAGTGCAAGTTCCGTCCTCTGCGAGTGCAAGCTTTGGGAATATTTAAAGAGTATAGCTGCACGGCTATACTAATTTGAAATTTCCGCACCCAAAAAAAAAAACTAATCATGAAAGAGAGGGGGAAAGAAATATAGGCAACACTTTCAGTACATCAGTTTTAGGTTCAAAGAATTCTGGGTCAGACATTATTTCCAAAGTACTCAAATTACACATTTCTTGAAAAGTGGAGACCATTCTTGGGACTAGCATATCACGAAAGCTTCCAACATGATCGAATAGACAAATAACAAACATTCTCTAATAGCAGTGGCATGAAATCTCCATAGAAGACAGCCTACAACTTAATAACACAAACATAAGGAACCGAAAGACAAGAATTACAAATATTAATTAAGAAAAGAACTACCTGCAATATATTTGAGAAAACAAGTCGATGAAATAGTCATTACTAACTAAAAGTTGAAACTATCATGGTTTTTGAAGTACTTGATCTGTCAAAGTACTATTACAAAGTTTCAGACAGACTAAAACAAACAAGAAACATCAACATGAACATCTTGAAGAGTAGTGTCTAGTTACCATCGTGGTCTCTCTGTTTAGAACAAGAGTTTCAACCTTGTTTATACTGCAGAGAACCTCAGACGATATATTAAAGCAACGGCGATTAGATTCCAGAAAAAACTCGGCTTTCTCTAAAGACGTAGATTTCCCCAAACCTTGGCCAATCCATACATCATCCCCTGACAATTTCAAATACTTAAGATTTGGAGCAAAAATATTCACCAAATTCTTGATACAGTTATGAAGATCGCTAGGAGGGTGGTAGGCGGCTAGGCGGTCGCTAGGCGGCTAGGAGGTCGCTAGGAGGGCGGTAGGCGGCTAGACGGTCGCTAGGCGGGCGATAGGCCGCTAGGCGGGTCGCTAGGCGGGCGATAGGCCGCTAGGCGGGGCGCTAGGCGGCTAGGCGTTGCTAGGCGGCTAGGCGGCTAGGCAGTCTCTACGCGTCTAGGCAGTAGCTAGGCCGGATTAGGCGGCTAGGCGGTCGCTAGGAGGTCGCTAGGCGAGCGGTAGGCGGCTAGGCAGTCGCTAGGAGGGCGGTAGGCATCTAGGCGGTGGCTAGGCGGGCCGTAGGCGGCTAGGCGGTGGCTAGGCGGGCCTTAGGCGGCTAGGCAGTAGCTAGGCCGGAGCTAGGCGGCTGGGCGGGCGCCTAGGTGGGTTGACTCTTTTTCCGGTGCCGAACCTGGAGGACGAAGCAGTGACTGCAAGTGCAATTTCCGTCCTCTGCGAGTGCAAGTTTTTGGAATATATTTAAAGCGTATAGCCGTGCGGCTATACCGTAAAAATATTCGAATGTATTTAGAGAGTATAGCCGAACGGCTATACGTTTAAAATATTCAAATATATTTGAAGAGTATAGCCGCTCGACTATACCCTTTAAATATACAATTTTGTCATGCACGTGGGCAACACTAGCATCCATGAGCGGGTCTTACTTATACATCGGGGACTGGTATGACATCTGAGAAGAAGTACGATGCCAAAAAAGCAGCTTGTTGGGGTGCTCTGGATTGGCTAATCGGAAAAGATCGTTCGACTCCACTGGTGGATCTTCTTATGAGAGTAAATAGTGACATGAATGAGAACCTCAGTCGCTCCTTTTTTAAAGCTCTTCAGTCTAATGGCAATTACCTCCGAATTCAGGTAACACAATAAAATTGAGATAAATGGCAAGTGGTCGTTTGTTTGCTTTTATGTTATGTATATGTACACAGAATCAAAATACATTAGCCTAAATTATGTACAACACAAACTAAGCATGGAGTTGGCCAGACCTCAAGCTGTTATGGCCACTGGTCAGGTTCTGTTTCACCATTTCTATTGTAAGAATTTCTTTCTAAAACCATGGTCCGAAATCGAGAGGAATGAATGATTTCTTTTAAATTTTTGCCTTTTAATAATGTGATGCTTTCTTGTAAAAAGTTGCTGCCAGCTGTTTGTGGCTTGCATCAAAACTGGAGGAATGCCCTAAAAAAGCCAGGCAGGTTATCATTGTTTTCCACAGGATGGAATGTAGGAGGGGAACCTACCCATTGAGCCTTTGGATCCATATTCAAAGGTTAGAGCTCATATAATCCACATCGTACTAAAGTCATTGTCTTCCATTATCATGATTTTGAGCCAAAAGCATGCTATGGTTTATCTCTGTCTACTTTCTTTCCAGAAATGTTCGGACTTGAAGATGGAGTTGAGTAAAGCAGAAAGGCGTATTTTAAAGGAGATGGGTTTCATTTGTCATGTTGAGCATCCTCATAAGTTTATATCAAATTATCTTGCCACTCTGGAGACACCACCAGAATGAAACACAAGAAGCCTGGAAACTAGCAAATGACAGGTACTTCCCCCAACAGATGCCAATTACTTATTTACTTTCTTGGCACTTGGTTTTTCCATTTGACTTTGAAACTTTCGAACTTTACATTGTTGTTTAATTATTTGGAATTTTTTTTTACTGGATTATGTGTCTTTTGTTGTCCTTATTGGTGATAGTTCATTTGAAAAACTTATACTCAATGTACTATTTTGTTGTTTTAGTTCTCACTAACCTTATTGGTGATAGTACAACATTGTGTGTGCGATTCAAGAGTAGGGTGCTGGCTCATCTGTACAGCCTTCCTAAAGCAAAGTACGTACCAGTCTGTACGGATGGAGATTCTTTTACATTTTCTAACAAGTCATGTAATTCACAGTCTCAGCCAATTCCAAAGGTAGTTCCGATTCTTCTTCTTCTTTTTTTCTCTCTCTAATTCCTGCCCCGTTCCTAATAATAGCCCATCAGCTATTGACAATATATACCTCTAATTCGAAGGCTGCAGCAGAAGTCAATCCTGAATCTGGTGGATCAAAGGGTGTGTTGGCCAAGCTAGCCATTGACAAGCTGAAGGACTCTAAAGAGAGTGATGAAAGTATGCCTATTGAGGGAGAGGCAATAGAAGATTTCAGTATCAAATCCAAGTCTGAACGCAAAATGGAATCTAGTGGCAATAAAAGCTGGGACAGGGACAGGGAGAGAGGTAAGGAGACAGAGACAGGGATAGAATGAAAGTCCGGGGGGGGGGCAGGGATTCTGACCGGAACAAGATCGAGAAGAGGCTGAGAGGGACAGAACCAAGGACCGAGGTTAAGAATAGTTCATATGCTTCTTTTTGTTTCTTCAAATTGTGTGGACGTTCAGTTCAAGCCCCGTCATCTGACACTTACCCTTATTTTACAGATCGCGACTATCACAATTCCTCCTACTCTTCACGGGAAAAGGATCGCCATAGACATCATTCTTACGCTTGAACTGATCATCAAGTCCAAGACATCTCTCTTTTTCTCCTAAACTTCAACGGAACTGAAAATACTTTGGGCTTTGTATGTTGACAGAAAATGTGAAAGTGAGCAACGTTGAGACTAGTTAAGGATAAGCATGACTCTTCTAACACGTGAGGGGTTTTTATATAAACTTGTCTGTGTAGGAAATGCTAACAATATAGGAAAGAAGTCCTAATTACAATAGGAACTATACAAAAAGGAAAGTAAATACTACTTAGAATATAAAAATGGAAACTAAAATGAATGCAATCAAACGATCGAAATACCTGTGCCGACGAATTTCGTCAGGAGAGGTCTTATTTTTTAAAAATAAATATAAACTTAGGATGTTTAGGTTAATTAATTTTTAAAAATTTTATTTTTTAGTAACTACATAATATATTTGCCTGTTTTAATTAGTTAAATTAGCAATTATACTTTAATTATTATTTATTTAATGACTAATTATGATTAAATACTTTAATTAACTTCATGAATTATATTACTTAATAAATAGTAATTCAATTCTTTTTTTCCTTTAATTTTCACTAAGTAAATAATCACTAAAGGGTTTAGTTAATTACTAATCAAAGTAATTAAAAAAGTGAAATACATATTATGCTACTTAAAGGGTGTAGCCTACCTTTTCATAAAAATAAGAAGAAGGAAAAAAATTAAAAACTGAGTATAGCCGTGCGGCTATACTATTTTTAAATATAAAAATGAAGACCCCAACGTTTAGGTACAGCCAGATTTCCTACATGTTATCTCTGATTCTCTGCTGGTTCCGTATAAATTCACTAATATATTGATATGAATGGCAATATGCTGAACATTGATATTTAAGTTTTGATGTTCTTCCAATAATAGGAAAAGGAATGACGCTTACAGCGTTCCCACAACCTTTTGAGTATTTGTTATATTCTGTGTCCGTTGAATGATACGTGCCAATCCAAAATATGAAAATTTTGGGTTCATTTGCATCCAAGAGAATATTACTGACCCTTCAAATCTCTATGAATTACTTTCAAATAAGACTCATGGTGGAGATAAAGAAGCCCTCTAGCAATACCCTGAATAATATTGAAGCGTCTGCCCCAATCAAGCTCAGGTCTCCGCGCTGGATCTTTTAAATGCAAGCATTCGAAATATAACCAATAGTTTCATTCATATATCCTATCCTATGCATTGACCAATGACACTGTCACTAGATTTTTACGTTTAAATTTCTATAGAAAATACTGACGCATTTGTATGAACAATAGTGAAACAAGGGTGTAATCAGATTCAAAATTGATTTCAGGCCTAGTTTAACATTGTGTCTTCTACTTTATAAAGAACTGAAACGTACTCATGTAGTGTACAATCCAGTTTACAGTTATGTGCATTAAATCTGCAGGATGTCTTGCTTGACTGTTTGTGTTGCAAATAAATCAGTGATTCTTTGTATCAATCGAAAATAATTTTGATTCTTTGTGCCCGAACATTTAGTTCATGTGAATTCATTTGTGGCCTTAAGTTATTAGGCAAATTATGAAGATAAAGTCCAGTGAAATTAACCAAATAGAAGAGTGTCCAAGCTTCCGTTTGGCATGAACTCGTAAATCAGTATCTTCTCATCTTCTTTGACGCAGCAGCCCATGATCCTAGCAAGAGTTCTATGTTGGAGCTTGGAGATCAACAACGCATCATTTTTTTAACTCTTCTATGCCTTGCCCTGAGCTACTAGATAGTCCTTGTACTGCTATTTCCTTCCCTTCTCGTAGGGTACCTACAAATTAATCACTTCATTCATGTCCTTATCTGTTATTGTAGCTGTGTTGATATTGTTCATTGCGATCAATATGCTATCAAAATTATAGATGAATAGCTCAGATGGATCTTGGTTTATGATATATTCTTGAATATTGTCTCTTGAATTCTCCGTAGTATCAATACTCAGCATTCGCGATATACCTGAAATTTTGTGTATTGAATATTTATTTGTTATTTGTTACTTATTAGTGGTTACTTCAGTGATTTCATAACGAAAAATCCATTTAATGTTGTATTTTCTGAAGCCCAGGCCCTTCTCTCTTGCCCAGGCCCTTTTATAAACCCTAAACATAACACGCAACCTCTCGTCTTCTTCAATCTCATCGTCGTCTCTCTGTCTCTCGCCTCATATCACCATCGTCATCTCATCCCAGACATTGGAGTTCCAAAATGGCCTTTTCTTTCTTCTAGGCGCCAGCGCCCGCCTAGACTGCCTAGACCGCCTAGCCCCCGCCTAGCCCGCCTAGGCCATTTATTCAGATATGAGTGACAGTGTGTTCAAGGATTTAACTTTTAAAGAAGATTTCCGAGAATTGGAAAAGAAAGAGATGATGCTTACATTGTTCCTACAACCTTGTGAGTATTTGCTAGACTCTGCGTGCCTTAAACGATACGCGCCAATCCAAAATCTGAAAGTTTTGGGTTCATGTTCTCATCCAAGAGAATGTTACTGACCTTCAAATCTCTATGTATTACCTTCAAACGGGAATCATGGTGGAGATAAAGAAGTATGTTACATAGGCTTAATTATTTGAATCTGTCAAATGATATGAGTACATATGCTATGACTATTAGAAGTATATTACATTTTCTACAGAATATACACTCCCAACAATCTTATTAGATATTCTTCTGTGTTCTGGGTGGTACAGCAACAAAAGCTTTAGTGAAAGGCATATAAACATGGAAGAAAGAGACAATAATGAAGAAGGCAAGAATTTCACACAACTATCCAGATCCCCTGGGCTATCAATGAGTCTGTTACCAACGTACTAACAAGGAATTTGAGGTTTCACATGACTTTCAGGAAGCAGAAAAGCAGTTGGAATTGGAGTCCATCCCCTCTGTTCCAAGTTCTTGGTTATCTGCAATTTTGAAGTTGTTTCAGATTCTGTCTTACTGAATTTGTGAACTCTATCCAGGCACCTATATCACACAACATTTACTGGAAGGAGTTATCGATGCTTGTGTATGTCTCGGTGGCTTTTCTTATTGTTCACATTCTTAAGGTAAGTTATTTTACTATGTAGTTTTGTATAACTAAATACGCTTTTCAAAAGATAAGATCATCACTAGAAATGTTGTCAAGTTCGATCTTTCTAATTCCTCTGCATTTGCAGGGGAAGCACTATTGCTATGGTCACACATCACAACAAAAGCAAGATAACTCAAATGAATGCCCTAAGAACCATGAAATGAAATTATAAAGCTGTCCGGAGGACTACAAGCTGATTATGGTTGCACTTGGATTGAAATTAAGCTTTAGAATTTGGTATTCTAATTTTTTTTTTAAAGAAATAGTATAGCCAAACGGCTATACTCGATTTTTCACATTTAATTAAAACAAATTGTATAGCCGAACGGCTATACTCCGTTTTTTTATTGGTTTTTAAAATTTTTTAAAACGAAATAGTATAGCCGGCCGGCTATACCCGGTTTTTAATTTTATTCAGAAGAAATAGTATAGCCGGACGGCTATACTGGATTTTATAAATTTATTTAAAATAAATTGTATAGACGAACGGCTATACTCCGTTTTTTCTATTGGTTTTCTAATTTTTTTAAAAAGAAATAGTATAGCCGGCCCGCTATACTCGGTTTTTTAATTTTTTTCAGAAGAAATCGTATAACCGTACTGCTGTACTCGGTTTTTTATTTTTTTAAAAAGAAATAGTATAGCCGTACGGCTATACTTGGTCTTTATTGTAAACGTTAAAAACAAGTATATAAAAAAATTTAAATTAAGTAGAAAAAGATAAGTTACAAATGAACAACAATTCATCAAAACCGTTCACTCTGTTCTTAAGTAAATTATTGTCCCCAAAAAATCCATCATGTGCACTAATATTGGATTGTCCATGGAATTGATTTAACATATTTCCAGGGAAAGAATTTCTGAGTTGGGTGGCAATCAAAACAGCCAAACAGGCTAGCAACAAAAAGCAGCTACTTAAAAAATCAAAAACCATAAGCTTCATGTAATCTACCAAATTATGTGGCTCTTAAAATATTGGTGGAACCTCTACGCAGTTTACTTTTGACTTCAAAAAAAGCACATATGGTCTAGGATTGTCAATCAGTACACAGTTGAGTTAAACAAAAATAACACGTACACTTATATTCAAACAAAACCTCGAACAGTATAGGGATGACAGTTGATCTGATTGAGCTCTCTGGAAGTTTGGGTTGACAACCCTTGACGACCCTTCATCTGGTGAGCTGTTCAGATTATGATTATCTTCCTCTTTCTCTATCCTCCAAAAAGACAAGTTTGGCACTGGAAGCAATCATGCTTTTTGTTATCTTCCTTACAGCTTTCGACTGCTGAGGTGAATGAAAAAAATGTCATTTTCTTCAAATTCCGAGCATGCTCGAGCACATATTTTTCAAACCGAATTCCATTAGATCCAATGGAAAGCTCCTCTATGGTTACATCCTTAAGTTGATGAATAAAAGAAATGTTTTGCAATCTCCAATATCCCATATTAAACCCAGAACACTGCAGGAAAGGCAACAATCAACAAGCAAATCATTTGAAATTTCCGCACCCAAAAAAAAACTAATCATGAAAGAGAGGGGGAAAGAAATGGGCAACACTTTCACTTACATCAGTTTTAGGTTCAAAGAATTCTGGGTCAGACATTATTTCCAAAGTACTCAAATTACACATTCCTTGAGAAGTGGAGACTAGCATAACACGAAATTAAAGCTTCCAACATGAATAGACAAATAACAAACATTCTCTAATAGCAGTGCCATGAAATCTCCATAGAAGACAGCCTACAAGTTATAAACACAAACATAAGGAACCGAAAGACAAGAATTACAAATATTAATTAAGAAAAGAACTACCTGCAATATATTTGAGAAAATAAGTCGATGAAATAGTCATTACTAACTAAAAGTTGAAACTATCATGGTTTTTGAAGTACTTGATCTGTCAAAGTACTATTACAAAGTTTCAGACTGACAATTCTAAAACAAACAAGAAACATCAACATGAAATTTCATTCTAGCCAGTATAACCAAAATTAATGAAAAATATAACCAAATCTTATTGCCATCAGTTTTCTGAAATTAACTTACCCCGATTGCCATGATGGGAAAGAATACAACCTAAACAAGACAAAATTGAAAAAACAAAAACCATTGAATAAAAAGAACATCTTGAAGAGCTGTGTCTAATTACCATGGCGGTCTCTCCCCTATTGCCATGCAGAGAACCTCATACAATATTTTAAAGCAACGGCGATTACATTCCAGAAAAAAACTCGGCTTTCTCAAAAGACGTAGATTTCCCCAAAATTTGGCCAATCCCCTGACAATTTCAAATACTTAAGATTTGGATAAAAAATATTGACCAAATTCTTGACACAGTTATGAAGATCCAAGTGAACAAGTATGTCTTCAAGTTTTTCAGCTGAGATGCAAAGGATAAGGTCAATATACACAGGGGAATCAAGCACAAAACTAAAAGATTTCAAAGAGGAGCTTTCAATGGTGATCTGATTTATTCCAAAAATATCTTCAAGATATAACTCCTTGATGCACTTACATGAACATGAGATCCATTTGAAAAACCCATCATCTTCTATGAAAACATCATCCAACTTCTGGTGTTTGAAAAATCGGCCTACGCGGGCGGCGAGGCGGCTAGGCGGTCGCTAGGCGGGCCCTAGGCGGTAGCTAGGCGGCTAGGCGGTGGCTAGGCGTCTAGGCAGTAGCTAGGGCGGAGCTAGGCGGCTGGGCGGGCGCCTAGGACGGTTGGCTCTTTTTCCGGTGCCAAACCTGGAGGACGAAGCAGTGACTGAGAGTGCAAGTTCCGTTCTCTGCGAGTGCAAGCTTTTGGAATATTTAAAGAGTATAGCTGGACGGCTATACTAATTTGTAAAGAAACAAAATAACCCGGGTATCGCCGGGCGGCTTTACTATTTATTTATTTAAGAAGAGAACTCGCCGAGCAATGGTGTCGAAAATCGTATAGCCGGTCGGCTATACTATTTTTAGAATCACCGAGTATAGCCGCACGGCTATACTATTTATTTAAAAAAAAGGGGACCCGTCTGTCGTTGAGGCGTCCACGTGTCCGCATAGGTATCGCCGCCGGCTATACTATTTTATAATTAAAAGACTGAGTATAGCCGACCGGCTATACCTTTAAAATATTCTATTTATAGTGTATACACGTACGTATTTTTCAACCATTTGAGTCTGGGGCGCCAAGAAGGGAGGTAAGGCTCTATTTTGATGATTTCGACTTTTGTTTTTGAAATTTCGGAACTTTCTCAGTTTTCTTTGAGATTCAATTTGATTGAATTTGGGAAATTTCACTTTGTGTAGAAGTTAGTTAGGGTTTCTACGATGATATATACGGCGATAGACACGTTCTATCTGACCGATGAGCAAGTGCAGAGCTCGCCGTCGAGAAAGGACGGCATGTATGAGGCGACGGAGACCGTCTATGGCTGTGATTTTATCCAAGAAAGCTGAATTTTGCTCAGATTGTACGGTTGAGTTCTGGTTTGTTTTAAGTTGTATAGTTTGTTGTTGTTCTTTTCTTTGAGGGTGAATTTTGTTAACTTTGTTTGCTTCATTTGATCACTTGCATGCAGACCTCAAGTTGATCAGGTTCTGTTTCACCGATTCTATTGTAAGAAGTTCTTTCTAAAACCATGGTCCGAAATCGAGAGGAATGAATGATTTCTTTTAAATTTTTGCCTGTTAATAATGTGATGCTTTCTTGTAGAAAAAGTTGCTGCTGGCTGTTTGTGGCTTGCATCAAAACCGGAGGAATGCCCTAAAAAATCCAGGCAGGTTATCATTGTTTCCCACAGGATGGAATGTAGGAGGGAGAACCTACCCATTGAGCCTTTGGATCCATATTCAAAGGTTAGAGCTCATATAATCCACATCGTGCTAAAGTCATTGTCTTCCATTATCATGATTTTGAGCCAAAAGCATGCTATGGTTTATCTCTGTCTTCTTTCTTTCCAGAAATCTTAGGACTTGAAGATGGAGTTGAGTAAAGCAGAAAGACATATTTTAAAGGAGGATGGGTTTCATTTGTCATGTTGAGCATCCACATAAGTTTATATCAAATTATCTTGCACACTGGAGACACCACCAGAATTAACACAAGAAGCCTGGAAACTAGCAAGTGAAAGGTACTTTCCCCAACATATGCCAATTACTTATTTACTTTCTTGGCACTTGGTTTTTCTATTTGACTTTCAAACTTTCGAACTTTACATTATTGTTTAATTATTGGGAATTTTTTGTTTTACTGGTGGATCAAAGGGCGTGTTGCGGTGTAGTTTATGCTGCCGCTTGGAGGTTTCAAGTGCCCCTTCCTGAGAATCCGCCATGGTGGAAGGCATTTGATGCTGAGAAATCAGGGATTGACGAAGTTTGTAGGGTGCTGGCTCATCTGTACAGCCTTCCTAAAGCAAAGTACGTACCAGTCTGTAAGGATGGAGATTCTTTTACATTTTCTAACAAGTCATGTAATTCACAGCCTCGGCCAATTCCAAAGGTAGTTCCGATTCTTCTTCTTCTTTTTTTCTCTCTCTAATTCCTGCCCCGATCCTAATAATAGCCCATCAGCTATTGAAAATACCTCTAATTCAAAGGCTGCAGCAGAAGTCAATCCTGAATCTGGTGGATCAAAGGGTGTGTTGGCCAAGCTAGCCATTGATAAGCTGAAGGACTCTAAAGAGAGTGATGAAAGTATGCCTATCGAGGGAGAGGCAATAGAAGATTTCAGTATCAAATCCAAGTCTGAACGCAAAATGGAATCTAGTGGCAATAAAAGCAGGGACAGGGACAGGGACAGGGAGAGAGATAAGGAGAGGGAAAGGGAGAGAGACAGAGACAGAGACAGAGACAGGGATAGAATGAAAGTCCGGGGGGCAGGGATTCTGACCGGGAATGAGATCGAGAAGAGGCTGAGAGGGACAGAACCAAGGACCGAGGTTATCGTTCAAAGGATAGAGCAAAAGATTCAGGTTGGTTATGGGTTTTATACCTCCCCCCCCTCCCCCCAACGTTGTCAAAATTGGATTTATGAACTTGCGTCATATCAAATTTTCTCAATCTTCAATTTCTATGTTGAATGCACAATATTCTGCAGGGGGCATTTGGAGAAATCAAGACATCAGTCGTCCCGAGGTATGCTTATTCAAGAATAGTTCATGTGCTTTTTCTTTTTCTTTTTTCCTGAAATTGTGTGGATGTTCAGTTTAAATCCCGTCATCTGACACTTACCCTTGTTTTACAGATCGCGACTATAACAATTCCTCCTACTCTTCACGGGAAAAGGATCGCCATAGACATCATTCTTACGCTTGAACTGATCATCAAGTTCATGACATCTCTCTTTTTCTCCTAAACTTCAACGGAACTGAAAATACTTTGGGCTTTGTATGTTGACAGAAAATGTAAAAGTGAGCAACATTGAGACTAGTTAAGGATAAGCATGACTCTTTAACACGTGAGGTGTTTTTATATAAACTTGTCTGTGCAGGAAATGCTAACAATACAAGTTTGGCACTGGAAGCAATCATGCTTTTTGTTATCTTCCTTACAGCTTTCGATTGCTGAGGTGAACGAAAAAATGTCATTTTCTTCAAATTCCAAGCATGCTCGAGCGACATATTTGCAAACTGAATTCCATTAGATCCAATGGAAAGCTCTATGGTTACTTCCTTAAGTTGATGAATAAAAGAAATGTTTTGCAATCTCCAATATCCCATATTAAACCCAGAACACTGCAGGAAAGGCAACAATCAACAAGCAAATCAGTTGAAATTTCCGCACCCAAAAAAAAACTAATCATGAAAGAGAGGGGGAAAGAAATATAGGCAACACTTTCACTTACATCATTTTTGGTTCAAAGAATTCTGGGTCAGACATTATTTCCAAAGTACTCAAATTACACATTTCTTGAAAAGTGGAGACCATTCTTGGGACTAGCATATCACGAAAGCTTCCAACATGATCGAATAGACAAATAACAAACATTCTCTAATAGCAGTGGCATGAAATCTCCATAGAAGACAGCCTACAACTTAATAACACAAACATAAGGAACCGAAAGACAAGAATTACAAATATTAATTAAGAAAAGAACTACCTGCAATATATTTGAGAAAACAAGTCGATGAAATAGTCATTACTAACTAAAAGTTGAAACTATCATGGTTTTTGAAGTACTTGATCTGTCAAAGTACTATTACAAAGTTTCAGACTGACTAAAACAAACAAGAAACATCAACATGAAATTTCATTCTAGCCAGAATAACCAAAATTAATGAAAAATATAACCAAATCTTATTGCCATCAGTTTTCTGAAATTAACTTACCCCTATTGCCATGCTGGGAAAGAATATAACCTAAACAAGACAAAATTGAAAAAACAAAAACCATTGAATAAAAAGAACATCTTGAAGAGTAGTGTCTAGTTACCATCGTGGTCTCTCTGTTTAGAACAAGAGTTTCAACCTTGTTTATACTGCAGAGAACCTCAGACGATATATTAAAGCAACGGCGATTAGATTCCAGAAAAAACTCGGCTTTCTCTAAAGACGTAGATTTCCCCAAACCTTGGCCAATCCATACATCATCCCCTGACAATTTCAAATACTTAAGATTTGGAGCAAAAATATTCACCAAATTCTTGATACAGTTATGAAGATCCAAGTGAACAAGTATGTCTTCAAGTTTTTCAGCTGAGATGCTAAGGATAAGGTCAATATACACAGGGGAATCAAGCACAAAACTAAAAGATTTCAAAGAGGAGCTTTCAATGGTGATCTGATTTATTCCAAAAATATCTTCAAGATGTAACTCCTTGATGCACTTACATGAACATGAGATCCATTTGAAAAACCCCTCATCTTCTGTGAAAACATCATCCAACTTCAAGTATTTCAGTCAATCGCAGTGTTTGAAAAATCGGCCTAGGCGGTCGCTAAGCGGGTGGTAGGCGGCTAGGCGGTCGCTAGGCGGCTAGGAGGTCGCTAGGAGGGCGGTAGGCGGCTAGACGGTCGCTAGGCGGGCGATAGGCCGCTAGGCGGTCGCTAGGCGGGCGCTAGGCGGCTAGGCGGTTGCTAGGCGGCTAGGCGGCTAGGCAGTCTCTACGCGTCTAGGCAGTAGCTAGGCCGGAATTAGGCGGCTAGGCGGTCGCTAGGAGGTCGCTAGGCGAGCGGTAGGCGGCTAGGCAGTAGCTAGGAGGGCGGTAGGCATCTACGCGGTGGCTAGGCGGCCGTAGGCGGCTAGGCGGTGGCTAGGCGGGCCTTAGGCGGCTAGGCAGTAGCTAGGCCGGAACTAGGCGGCTGGGCAGGCGCCTAGGTGGGTTGACTCTTTTTCCGGTGCCGAACCTGGAGGACGAAGCAGTGACTGCAAGTGCAATTTCCGTCCTCTGCGAGTGCAAGTTTTTGGAATATATTTAAAGCGTATAGCCGGGCGGCTATACCGTAAAAATATTCGAATGTATTTATAAAGTATAGCCGAACGGCTATACGTTTAAAATATTCAAATATATTTGAAGAGTATAGCCGCTCGACTATACCCTTTAAATATACAATTTTGTCATGCACGTGGGCAACACTAGCATCCATGAGCGGGTCTTACTTATACATCGGGGACTGGTATGACATCTGAGAAGAAGTACGATGCCAAAAAAGCAGCTTGTTGGGGTGCTCTGGATTGGCTAATCGGAAAAGATCGTTCGACTCCACTGGTGGATCTTCTTATGAGAGTAAATAGTGACATGAATGAGAACCTCAGTCGCTCCTTTTTTAAAGCTCTTCAGTCTAATGGCAATTACCTCCGAATTCAGGTAACACAATAAAATTGAGATAAATGGCAAGTGGTCGTTTGTTTGCTTTTATGTTATGTATATGTACACAGAATCAAAATACATTAGCCTAAATTATGTACAACACAAACTAAGCATGGAGTTGGCCAGACCTCAAGCTGTTATGGCCACTGGTCAGGTTCTGTTTCACCATTTCTATTGTAAGAATTTCTTTCTCAAACCATGGTCGGAAATCGAGAGGAATGAATGATTTCTTTTAAATTTTTGCCTTTTAATAATGTGATGCTTTCTTGTAAAAAGTTGCTGCCAGCTGTTTGTGGCTTGCATAAAAACTGGAGGAATGCCCTAAAAAAACCAGGCAGGTTATCATTGTTTTCCACAGGATGGAATGTAGGAGGGGAACCTACCCATTGAGCTTTTGGATCCATATTCAAAGGTTAGAGCTCATATAATCCACATCGTACTAAAGTCATTGTCTTCCATTATCATGATTTTGAGCCAAAAGCATGCTATGGTTTATCTCTGTCTACTTTCTTTCCAGAAATGTTCGGACTTGAAGATGGAGTTGAGTAAAGCAGAAAGGCGTATTTTAAAGGAGATGGGTTTCATTTGTCATGTTGAGCATCCTCATAAGTTTATATCAAATTATCTTGCCACTCTGGAGACACCACCAGAATGAAACACAAGAAGCCTGGAAACTAGCAAATGACAGGTACTTCCCCCAACAGATGCCAATTACTTATTTACTTTCTTGGCACTTGGTTTTTCCATTTGACTTTGAAACTTTCGAACTTTACATTGTTGTTTAATTATTTGGAATTTTTTTTTACTGGATTATGTGTCTTTTGTTGTCCTTATTGGTGATAGTTCATTTGAAAAACTTATACTCAATGTACTATTTTGTTGTTTTAGTTCTCACTAACCTTATTGGTGATAGTACAACATTGTGTGTGCGATTCAAGAGTAGGGTGCTGGCTCATCTGTACAGCCTTCCTAAAGCAAAGTACGTACCAGTCTGTACGGATGGAGATTCTTTTACATTTTCTAACAAGTCATGTAATTCACAGTCTCAGCCAATTCCAAAGGTAGTTTCGATTCTTCTTCTTCTTTTTTCTCTCTCTAATTCCTGCCCCGTTCCTAATAATAGCCCATTAGCTATTGACAATATATACCTCTAATTCGAAGGCTGCAGCAGAAGTCAATCCTGAATCTGGTGGATCAAAGGGTGTGTTGGCCAAGCTAGCCATTGACAAGCTGAAGGACTCTAAAGAGAGTGATGAAAGTATGCCTATTGAGGGAGAGGCAATAGAAGATTTCAGTATCAAATCCAAGTCTGAACGCAAAATGGAATCTAGTGGCAATAAAAGCTGGGACAGGGACAGGGAGAGAGGTAAGGAGACAGAGACAGGGATAGAATGAAAGTCCGGGGGGGGGGAGGGATTCTGACCGGAACAAGATAGAGAAGAGGCTGAGAGGGACAGAACCAAGGACCGAGGTTAAGAATAGTTCATATGCTTCTTTTTGTTTCTTCAAATTGTGTGGACGTTCAGTTCAAGCCCCGTCATCTGACACTTACCCTTATTTTACAGATCGCGACTATCACAATTCCTCCTACTCTTCACGGGAAAAGGATCGCCATAGACATCATTCTTACGCTTGAACTGATCATCAAGTCCTTTTTTTTTTTTTTTTTTTTTTTTTTTTTTTTTTTTTTTTTTTTTTTTTTTTTTTTTTTTTTTTTTTTTTTTTTTTTTTTTTTTTTTTTTTTTTTTTTTTTTTTTTTTTTTTTTTTTTTTTTTTTTTTTTTTTTTTTTTTTTTTTTTTTTTTTTTTTTTTTTTTTTTTTTTTTTTTTTTTTTTTTTTTTTTTTTTTTTTTTTTTTTTTTTTTTTTTTTTTTTTTTTTTTTTTTTTTTTTTTTTTTTTTTTTTTTTTTTTTTTTTTTTTTTTTTTTTTTTTTTTTTTTTTTTTTTTTTTTTTTTTTTTTTTTTTTTTTTTTTTTTTTTTTTTTTTTTTTTTTTTTTTTTTTTTTTTTTTTTTTTTTTTTTTTTTTTTTTTTTTTTTTTTTTTTTCAAGCTGTTTAGGATCATGAAATTTCATTCTAGCCAGTATAACCAAAATTGAAAAAACAAAAACCATTGAATAAAAAGAACATCTTGAAGAGTAGTGTCTAGTTACCATGGCGGTCTCTCCCCTATTGCCATGCAGAGAACCTCAGACAATATTTTAAAGCAACGGCGATTACATTCCAGAAAAAAACTCAGCTTTCTCTAAAGACGTAGATTTCCCCAAACTTTGGCCAATCCCCTGACAATTTCAAATACTTAAGATTTGGAGCAAAAATATTCACCAAATTCTTGATACAGTTATGAAGATCCAAGTGAACAAGTATGTCTTCAAGTTTTTCAGCTGAGATGCTAAGGATAAGGTCAATATACACAGGGGAATCAAGCACAAAACTAAAAGATTTCAAAGAGAAGCTTTCAATGGTGATCTGATTTATTCCAAAAATATCTTCAAGATGTAACTCCTTGATGCACTTACATGAACATGAGATCCATTTGAAAAACCCCTCATCTCTATGAAAACATCATCCAACTTCCGGTGTTTGAAAAATCGGCCTACGGGGGCGGCTAGGCGGCTAGGCGGTGGCTAGGCGGTGGCTAGGCGGCTAGGCAGTAGCTAGGCCGGAGCTAGGCGGCTGGGCGGGCTAGGCGGCTAGGCGGTCGCTAGGCGGGCGCTAGGCGGCCAGGGGTGGCTAGGCGTCCAGGCGGTGGCTAGGCCGGAGCTAGGCGGCTGGGCGGGCGCCTAGGACGGTTGGCTCTTTTTCCGGTGCCAAACCTGGAGGACGAAGCAGAGACTGCGAGTGCAAGCTTTTGGAATATTTAAAGAGTATAGCTGAACGGCTATACTAATTTGTAAACAAACAAAAAACCCGGGTATCGCCGGGCGGCTATACTATTTATTTATTTAAGAAGAGAACTCGCCGAGCAATGTGTCGAAAATCGTATAGCCGGCCGGCTATACTATTTTTAGAATTAAAAGACCGAGTATAGCCGACCGGCTATACCTTTAAAATATTCTATTTATAGAGTATACACGTACATATTTTTGCAATCATTTGAGTCTGGGGCGCCAAGAAGGGAGCAAGTGCAGAGCTCGCCGTCGAGAAAGGACGGCATGTATGAGGCGATGGAGACCGTCTATGGCTGTGATTTTATCCAAGAAAGCTGAATTTTGCTCAGATTGTACGGTTGAGTTCTGGTTTGTTTTAAGTTGTATAGTTTGTTGTTGTTCTTTTCTTTGAGGGTGAATTTTGTTAACTTTGTTTGCTTCATTTGATCACTTGCATGCAGACCTCAAGTTGATCAGGTTCTGTTTCACCGATTCTATTGTAAGAAGTTCTTTCTAAAACCATGGTCCGAAATCGAGAGGAATGAATGATTTCTTTTAAATTTTTGCCTTTTAATAATGTGATGCTTTCTTGTAGAAAAAGTTGCTGCTGGCTGTTTGTGGCTTGCATCAAAACCGGAGGAATGCCCTAAAAAAGCCAGGCAGGTTATCATTGTTTCCCACAGGATGGAATGTAGGAGGGAGAACCTACCCATTGAGCCTTTGGATCCATATTCAAAGGTTAGAGCTCATATAATCCACATCGTGCTAAAGTCATTGTCTTCCATTATCATGATTTTGAGCCAAAAGCATGCTATGGTTTATCTCTGTCTTCTTTCTTTCCAGAAATCTTAGGACTTGAAGATGGAGTTGAGTAAAGCAGAAAGACATATTTTAAAGGAGGATGGGTTTCATTTGTCATGTTGAGCATCCACATAAGTTTATATCAAATTATCTTGCACACTGGAGACACCACCAGAATTAACACAAGAAGCCTGGAAACTAGCAAGTGAAAGGTACTTCCCCCAACATATGCCAATTACTTATTTACTTTCTTGGCACTTGGTTTTTCTATTTGACTTTCAAACTTTCGAACTTTACATTATTGTTTAATTATTGGGAATTTTTTGTTTTACTGGTGGATCAAAGGGTGTGTTGCGGTGTAGTTTATGCTGCCGCTTGGAGGTTTCAAGTGCCCCTTCCTGAGAATCCGCCATGGTGGAAGGCATTTGATGCTGAGAAATCAGGGATTGACGAAGTTTGTAGGGTGCTGGCTCATCTGTACAGCCTTCCTAAAGCAAAGTACGTACCAGTCTGTAAGGATGGAGATTCTTTTACATTTTCTAACAAGTCATGTAATTCACAGCCTCGGCCAATTCCAAAGGTAGTTCCGATTCTTCTTCTTCTTTTTTTCTCTCTCTAATTCCTGCCCCGATCCTAATAATAGCCCATCAGCTATTGAAAATACCTCTAATTCAAAGGCTGCAGCAGAAGTCAATCCTGAATCTGGTGGATCAAAGGGTGTGTTGGCCAAGCTAGCCATTGATAAGCTGAAGGACTCTAAAGAGAGTGATGAAAGTATGCCTATCGAGGGAGAGGCAATAGAAGATTTCAGTATCAAATCCAAGTCTGAACGCAAAATGGAATCTAGTGGCAATAAAAGCAGGGACAGGGACAGGGAGAGAGATAAGGAGAGGGAAAGGGAGAGAGACAGAGACAGAGACAGAGACAGAGACAGGGATAGAATGAAAGTCCGGGGGGCAGGGATTCTGACCGGGAATGAGATCGAGAAGAGGCTGAGAGGGACAGAACCAAGGACCGAGGTTATCGTTCAAAGGATAGAGCAAAAGATTCAGGTTGGTTATGGGTTTTATCCCTCCCCCCCACGTTGTCAAAATTGGATTTATGAACTTGCGTCATATCAAATTTTCTCAATCTTCAATTTCTATGTTGAATGCACAATATTCTGCAGGGGGCATTTGGAGAAATCAAGACATCAGTCGTCCCGAGGTATGCTTATTCAAGAATAGTTCATATGCTTTTTTTTTTTTTTCTTCAAATTGTGTGGATGTTCAGTTTAAACCCCGTCATCTGACACTTACCCTTGTTTTACAGATCGCGACTATCACAATTCCTCCTACTCTTCACGGGAAAAGGATCGCCATAGACATCATTCTTACGCTTGAACTGATCATCAAGTTCATGACATCTCTCTTTTTCTCCTAAACTTCAACGGAACTGAAAATACTTTGGGCTTTGTATGTTGACAGAAAATGTAAAAGTGAGCAACATTGAGACTAGTTAAGGATAAGCATGACTCTTTAACACGTGAGGTGTTTTTATATAAACTTGTCTGTGCAGGAAATGCTAACAATACAAGTTTGGCACTGGAAGCAATCATGCTTTTTGTTATCTTCCTTACAGCTTTCGACTGCTGAGGTGAACGAAAAAATGTCATTTTCTTCAAATTCCAAGCATGCTCGAGCGACATATTTGCAAACTGAATTCCATTAGATCCAATGGAAAGCTCTATGGTTACTTCCTTAAGTTGATGAATAAAAGAAATGTTTTGCAATCTCCAATATCCCATATTAAACCCAGAACACTGCAGGAAAGGCAACAATCAACAAGCAAATCAGTTGAAATTTCCGAGCCCAAAAAAAAACTAATCATGAAAGAGAGGGGGAAAGAAATGGGCAACACTTTCACTTACATCAGTTTTAGGTTCAAAGAATTCTGGGTCAGACATTATTTCCAAAGTACTCAAATTACACATTCCTTGAGAAGTGGAGACTAGCATATCACGAAATTAAAGCTTCCAACATGAATAGACAAATAACAAACATTCTCTAATAGCAGTGGCATGAAATCTCCATAGAAGACAGCCTACAAGTTATAAACACAAACATAAGGAACCGAAAGACAAGAATTACAAATATTAATTAAGAAAAGAAGTACCTGCAATATATTTGAGAAAATAAGTCGATGAAATAGTCATTACTAACTAAAAGTTGAAACTATCATGGTTTTTGAAGTACTTGATCTGTCAAAGTACTATTACAAAGTTTCAGACTGACAATTCTAAAACAAACAAGAAACAGCAACATGAAATTTCATTCTAGCCAGTATAACCAAAATTAATGAAAAATACAACCAAATCTTATTGCCATCAGTTTTCTGAAATTAACTTACCCCTATTGCCATGCTGGGAAAGAAAATAACCTAAACAAGACAAAATTGAAAAAACAAAAACCATTGAATAAAAAGAACATCTTGAAGAGTAGTGTCTAGTTACCATGGCGGTCTCTCCCCTATTGCCATGCAGAGAACCTCAGACAATATTTTAAAGCAACGGCGATTACATTCCAGAAAAAAACTCGGCTTTCTCTAAAGACGTAGATTTCCCCAAACTTTGGCCAATCCCCTGACAATTTCAAATACTTAAGATTTGGAGCAAAAATATTGACCAAATTCTTGACACAGTTATGAAGATCCAAGTGAACAAGTATGTCTTCAAGTTTTTCAGCTGAGATGCTAAGGATAAGGTCAATATACACAGGGGAATCAAGCACAAAACTAAAAGATTTCAAAGAGGAGCTTTCAATGGTGATCTGATTTATTCCAAAAATATCTTCAAGATGTAACTCCTTGATGCACTTACATGAACATGAGATCCATTTGAAAAACCCCTCATCTTCTATGAAAACATCATCCAACTTCCGGTGTTTGAAAAATCGGCCTACGCGGCGGCTAGGCGGCTAGGCGGCTAGGGGTCGCTAGGCGGGCGCTAGGCGGCTAGGCGGGCTAGGCGCTAGGCGTGGCTAGGCGTGCTAGGCGGTGGGCTAGGCGTCTAGGCAGTAGCTAGGCCGGAGCTAGGCGCGCCTAGGACGGTTGGCTCTTTTTCCGGTGCCAAACCTAGAGGACGAAGCGGTGTGCAAGTTCCGTACTCTGCGAGTGCAAGCTTTTGGAATATTTAAAGAGTATAGCTGCACGGCTAAACTAATTTGTCGAAAATCGTATAGCCGACCGGCTATACTATTTTTAGAATTAAAAGACCGAGTATAGCCGACCGGCTATACCTTTAAAATATTCTATTTATAGAGTTTACACGTACGTATTTTTGCAATCATTTGAGTCTGGGGCGCCAAGAAGGGAGGTAAGGCTCTATTTTGATGATTTCGACTTTTGTTTTTGAAATTTCGGAACTTTCTCAGTTTTCTTTGAGATTCAATTTGATTAAATTTGGGAAATTTCACTTTGTGTAGAAGTTAGTTAGGGTTTCTACGATGATATACACGGCGATAGACACGTTCTATCTGACCGATGAGCAAGTGCAGAGCTCGCCGTCGAGAAAGGACGGCATGTACGAGGCGACGGAGACCGTCTATGGCTGTGATTTTATCCAAGAAAGCTGAATTTTGCTCAGATTGTACGGTTGAGTTCTGGTTTGTTTTAAGTTGTATAGTTTGTTGTTGTTCTTTTCTTTGAGGGTGAATTTTGTTAACTTTGTTTGCTTCATTTGATCACTTGCATGCAGACCTCAAGTTGATCAGGTTCTGTTTCACCGATTCTATTGTAAGAAGTTCTTTCTAAAACCATGGTCCGAAATCGAGAGGAATGAATGATTTCTTTTAAATTTTTGCCTGTTAATAATGTGATGCTTTCTTGTAGAAAAAGTTGCTGCTGGCTGTTTGTGGCTTGCATCAAAACCGGAGGAATGCCCTAAAAAATCCAGGCAGTTTATCATTGTTTTCCCACAGGATGGAATGTAGGAGGGAGAACCTACCCATTGAGCCTTTGGATCCATATTCAAAGGTTAGAGCTCATATAATCCACATCGTGCTAAAGTCATTGTCTTCCATTATCATGATTTTGAGCCAAAAGCATGCTATGGTTTATCTCTGTCTTCTTTCTTTCCAGAAATCTTAGGACTTGAAGATGGAGTTGAGTAAAGCAGAAAGACATATTTTAAAGGAGGATGGGTTTCATTTGTCATGTTGAGCATCCACATAAGTTTATATCAAATTATCTTGCACACTGGAGACACCACCAGAATTAACACCAGAAGCCTGGAAACTAGCAAGTGAAAGGTACTTCCCCCAACATATGCCAATTACTTATTTACTTTCTTGGCACTTGGTTTTTCTATTTGACTTTCAAACTTTCGAACTTTACATTATTGTTTAATTATTGGGAATTTTTTGTTTAATTATTGGGAATTTCTAAATAGTCAAATGTATTTAGAAATTATAGCCGCACGGCTATACATTTAAAATATTCAAATATATTTGAAGAGTATAGCCGCTCGACTATACCCTTTAAATATACAATTTTGTCATGCACGTGGGCAACACTGGCATCCATGAGCGGGTCTAACTTATACACTGGGGACTGGTATGACATCTGAGAAGAAGTACGATGCCAAAAAAGCAGCTTGTTAGGGTGCTCTGAATTGGCTAATCGGAAAAGATCGTTCGACTCCACTGGTGGATCTTCTTATGAGAGTAAATAGTGTCATGAATGAGTACCTCAGTTGCTCCTTTTTTAAAGATCTTCAGTCTAATGACAATTACCTCCGAATTCAGGTAACACAATAAAATTGAGATAAATGTCAAGTGGTCGTTTGTTTGTTTTTATGTTATGTATATGTACACAGAATTAAAACACATGCGCCTAAATTATGTACAACACAAGCATGGAATTGGAAATGAATGCAGGACGATACACTAAGTGGAACATTGGCTCCTATGGATACTGCCACAGAAGAAAACTTGAATGATCTTGTAAACGTTGGAGAGGCAATGTTGAAGAAACCATTTCGAGATTGAATTTTAGTACTAGTAAACTCGAGCCTGTTCATCCTGAGGTTACAAATGAAGAGGCTCTCGTGAGGTACAAATTTTCTCTTTTATTCTCATTAGTAAGTTGTGTAAATTCAATAAATTATCATATTGATTACTTTTGTTTAGTCCATTAATTTGCATGATCATGTAGGATGGCGAATATGCTCTCTGAGGAGATGGCTCGGAGGAAGAGGGTGGTTGTTTACGAAAATGATACTCTGCTCTCACATAAGTCCTTGTAGTTATGTTTTTCGTTAAGAGAAGTAAATAGCTCAATAATTTTTATTTATTTTTTATTTCATGTAATTCAGTTCTGAAAATAATTTCTCCAGACTGCTCTTCCAAAAGACCTTGAACAACAGAAATCTGCCCACCCGTTACATTAATCGCGCAGCTATACGCCTTCAAATAATATATTTAAATAGTATAACTGTGAGACTATAATATATGTGGAATTATTATCCCCATAATCTTGATTTATGAGGCTTAGCGTACCCAATGCATCCACTTATTCAAGCTGTTTAGGATCATGATCTGTTACTCATTTTTGTATTGTTCTCCTATCATTGGCCATATTTAATTGTAATACTCATGTGTAAATTGTAATACTCTAATTAAGTAATAATTATATATGAATACTTGAATTGGGTTATATTAGTTATTGAATTTGAAGTTTTGTATCATGTTTAGCTTTAAGATGGTTTGGTATTTTAGAAAATGAGTTAAGTATGGAGCAAGTTGTGAATTTATTTTTTGCACTTCAGCTAACAATGTTGAAAAAAATGCAAAAGGAAAGAGAATTGGACTTAGGCTCAAACCGTCTTTAATTGGTTTAGTTTGGTTTTCTTTCTGACTTTTGTTAAAATCGAACAAATCCAAATTATTATATTGTAATTGATTTAGCCACGATTTTAAAGTGAAATCAATCCAATTCAGACCATACCCACCCCTATATAGAAGTTCAAACCTAAAATCTAAGGTCCTTTTTTCATTCCTACTTGACTAGACTCCTTTTCTTTTTTTGTTTTTCCTATTTTCGTTTTTCTTTTTTGGTAGTGAGAAATGATGGTTTATTAAGGCCACGTGGATAGCATAGAATCATGGTCCAGCTTCCAAGCTTGCACTGGTGCTGCATCCAAGCGCATTTCCCTTTGGCCCCTTTCAACCAAATTCCCCTAAATCCCAAAGGAGCCTCCTTTGACATTTCTCAGGCCCAGTTTTTTACTTACATTTCTATCACACCCTTCCCTTTCTATGCTCCAAGTCTTTAATCATCCACCTGTTTTATCATTATTTCCAGAAGGCCCCAAAATTTAGGGTTTTCATCACACCCTGCACCTCCTCTTCTGGTAAGCTCTTTCTTCTCTCTCCTCAAAGCTAAGAGTTAAATTCTTTCTCCCAATACTGTGTTTCTGGCAAGTTGGTAACAAATAAATTTCATGTACTAGTAAATTAGTAATCAATTCAACAAATGTTAGTGTGCTTATAATCTTGGTTGTGGGTTTTTGGTTTAAAGTCATGATCTTGGACTTAGAATTCAGGGTTTCCGGGAAAAAGGGGCTTACTTAAGTTAGATTGCTCATTAAATGATCATCGGGGTTGGATTTGTTGACTTTCTTTAAACTGTTTTCCGTTGACTCGGCGTGAAATACACTGATTTTGGCGTCGTGTTGATGTAAAGTTGGGCTCAGATGATAACCCACATGCTCTTTTATGATCATTTCGATACTGTAATATTTTATGTCAATTTTTTTTATCAGTAAGTTTTATGTGAATGCTGATGTGCTGCTTCCATTATTGTTTTGAACTGGGTTTTTGCATTGTTTTCATGCCTGCATATGTTCGCAAAGCAGGTTCTTTGGGGCGATGGTTTTTCAATGTATGTGCACACAAGCTGTAGAAAGTAGCTAAGTTGTCTACATTCAAGCACACACACGATGAACTAGTGCTATAATGGTGAAATCTTTTTATGGTTTTTTTGATATATATGCACACAAGCTGTAGAAAGTAGCTATAAGTTGTCTAAAGTCAAGCACACACACGATGAACTAGTGCTATAATGGTGAAATCTTTTTCTGCACCAGCTTTATGAATGCATTTTGAAATGGCTTTTAGGTACATCTTATTAGATTGTAGTAAATTTAGTAGATAGTTTTGGCAACTTAGCATAATTGTATACTGGTTTTTAATTGCTTTTATTCGAATGTTTGAAGTTCCTTGTGATGGCGAGGACAAAGCTTATCTTAATCTGCCAGTCTGGTGGTGAATTCGTCATAAAGGATGATGGATCCATGTCATATACGGGTGGAGAGGCACATGCAGTAGATATCAATCTTGAAACCGTATTTGATGATCTCAAGTTTAAATTGGCTGAAATGTTGAATTTAGAATATAAATCTATATCCATGAAGTATTTTCTCCCAGGAAATACGCGAACTCTTATCACTTTGTCCAATGATAAGGACCTAAAAAGGATGTATGAGTTCCATGGGAAATCAGTAACTGCTGATGTTTTTGTCATGGGGAAAGCAGGTTTTGACAGTGAAGCCTTAAGCACACAAAGAAGGTATTTCTTTTGTTTTGTCTAGTTGCATCTACTTTCCTGAAATTACTGCTAAATCCAGTTCAGGTAAAGAGGTATACTGTTGTCATTTCATAAAAAGGCAAAATGGCCTTGCTATCATGATTTCCTGGCTTTTAAGGAAATGAGGACAGTCCCCCCTATACTGTAACTGAAGAATATTGACTGGTGATTGCAGCACTTTTGCAATTTGTTCTTGCATTGATAGTTTAAATTATCACTTGCAGGGCATGTGGGATAAAACTGGCTGAATCTGTGACCCCTGTTGCTGCCTCCACTACTTCAGTTGCTGCTTTACACTCTAGTCCTCTTACAGCACCAACTGATGTTAAATCTGCGGTGGGTTCTGCAGCTGCCAATGCTATCCTGGTTGTCCCTGCCCCTCTTCCTCTATCAAAACAAACGGGCTCTGTCATGTCTGTCGAAGAAAGAACCCAAAGCCCAAGCGGAGTGGATGCTCCTAGTTCCATTCCATCTGATCCCGTTACTGTTACTGCTGATGCAAATGTCCACAGCTCGAATGAATTTGATATGAACGCTACCCCTGCTGATACTGTTAAGAAGCGAAGACGTACTGCTGCTTGGAAAATTGGTGCTGATGGTCCTACCATTGTTGCTGTCACTGACCATGTTGGGGAGAAAAGAAAAGTTATGCCCCGGAAGAAGAATATTCTTAGCCACAACACTACTGCAGAAACTGATGATGTGGGTCAGAAACAAGATACCCTTCCCTGTAAAGATAGTAGTACTAGCAGTGACCCTATACAGGATACTCTAGGGCAATCAAATGATGTTCCACCTGAAAAACTAGTCACATTATGGAAACATGGTATCACTGGGGTTGGACAGGAATTCAAAAGTGTTAAAGAATTTCGTGATGCACTGCAAAAATATGCCATTGCCCATCGTTTTATGTATAGGTTAAAAAAGAATGATACTAACCGTGCAAGTGGCAGATGTATAGCTGAAGGCTGTTCCTGGAGAATTCACGCATCATGGGACTCATCTGTTCAAAGGTTTAGGATAAAGAATATGAACAAAATACATACATGTGGAAGGGAGTTCTGGAAATCTTATCATCCGACTAAAAGTTGGTTGGTTAGCATCATAAAAGACAGATTACTAGACAGCCCACATCTCAAGCCAAAAGAACTTGCCAATGGCATTCTTCAGGATTTTGGGATTGCGGTGAACTATACTCAAGTATGGCGTGGAATTGAAGATGCTAGGGAGCTACTTCTGGGTTCATATAGAGAGGCATATAACCAGTTACCTAGGTTTTGTGAGAAGATGGCAGAGGCAAATCCTGGTAGTAATATTACGCTTTTCACTGGTGATGATAGGAGATTTCAACGTCTCTTTGTTTGCTTTCATGCTTCAATACATGGTTTTCAGAATGGTTGTCGCCCCATTATTTTCCTTGATGCTACATCTTTAAAATCAAAATACCATGAGACTTTTTTTGCCGCTACAGCTTTGGATGGAGATGACGGTGTTTTCCCAGTTGCATTTGCTATAGTAGATGTTGAGAATGATGATAATTGGCGTTGGTTTTTGGAGCAGTTAAGGTCAGTGGTTTCAACCTCACAATCCTTAACTTTTGTCTCTGATAGAGAGAAGGGACTTAAGAAATCAGTGATTGAGGTATTTGAGAATGCCCACCATGGCTACTCGTTGCACCGCCTTCTGGAAAGCTTTAAGAAAAACTTGAAGGGTCCATTCCATGGAGATGGGAAGGGTTCGTTGCCAATCAATTTTGTGGCTGCAGCCCATGCAGTGCGACTTGATGGTTTTAAAACAAGTACTGATCAAATTAGACGGGTTTCTTCACAGGCTTATGACTGGGTCCTGCAAATTGAACCAGAATGTTGGACAAATGCACTATTTAAAGGTGAGCACTATAACCATGTGACATCCGACGTTGCAGAGACATACATCAAGTGGATAGAGGAAGTACGGGAGTTACCCATAGCACGGAAGATCGAAGTGCTAAGTTGTAAGCTGATGGAGTTGATAAACACTCGTCGAACAGATTCAAGTACATGGCCTACAAAGCTCACTCCATCCAAGGAGGAAAAGTTGCGACAAGAAACTCTTCAAGCATATGGTCTTAAAGTCTTATTTTCATCTGATACTCTTTTTGAGGTTCACAAGGACTCCATCAATGTTGTGGATATTGATAAATGGGACTGTAGTTGTCTGAAATGGAAAGCAACCGGCCTACCCTGCTGTCATGCTATTGCCGTCTTTAACTGCACTGGTAGGAATGTATATGATTATTGTTCAAGATACTTTAAAGCCAACAACTTTCAGTTGACGTATTCTGAATCTATAAACCCATCGGCCCCTTTCCAGCCCTTGGATAGTGACACAATTGACTTAGAGACTCTGCATGTACTTCCTCCATTCATCTCCAAGCCACAAAACCAAGAAAAGAAAAAGCAGACCAGAACAAAGGGTGTGATCACAAGGACAGTTACTTGCGCTAGGTGCAAGGAAGTTGGGCATAACAAAGCAACGTGCAAGGCACCCACCACCCCAACCCCATAGGTCCTCTTGTGTATGTATTGCTCTGTGCATCCTCCATGTAATCTTTGATCATAATAACTTGGATGCTTGTTTATTATGAATGCGCAGAGTGGTGATCAACAGTTTCCCAAACTCTTTTAGATTTGTGGTTGAGTTCTTTTGTTCTTCAATTAGCCTATAATTTTATAGTCATATACAGCTTTTGAAACTTTGAATTGTCAAGTTCGTGAAATGTATAGTAGTGAGAATAATGTTACAGGACATATACTTGGCAATCTTGCGAAGGATGGAAAGGATTGCAATCGTGTTTGGACAAGGCTCGAGGTCTCTGCTCCGGCCATTGCTGGGGCCTGTAGAGGCGCATCTGTCTCTTCCCCAGCGTTGGGCAATTTGTTTGTTTGCTTTTGAGAAAGTCTAAACCTTGATTTTATTTTTTTAAGAAAAAGACACATCTTGCGAGGTCAATATCCCATTAAATTAAGTTGAAGATTTAAGAAATTCGTAACAGGAAAGGAGCAGTCTCGTGTCCATGCAAATTTTCGATAACTGGTATACTGCAGAAAATTCAAAGACAAATCCATGTAAGACGAATGTACAAATTATATTATTAATGGCATCCAGAAAATGACATGAACTAGCATTAGAAAATTACACGACCACAAACTTGCTTCCCCTAACTGCCAGGCATAAAAAACAGTCATTAACTACTTCATACAAACTACATTAACAGTATCAAACGGAGAGTTTTTGTCTGTCATAGTTAGTCTGCTCAAAAGCTTCCAATATTTCTTACTGTGGACCTCTCATCTAGATAGTCAGTACTATGCTATTAATGGAGTAAAGTTGCAGACTTTGCAAACTATTCCTGCCTTCTCGAACCTTGAACCTCAGGCCCACACAAAGGACGAGGTGGGTTGCATCTTTCTTCCAACTTGTATTGTGCCCCAAGTCTGCCATGAAAGATGGCCACAAACAAAAGTTGCCACAGAGTACAGCAAAAGACAGGTGCTACCAAGAAAATACGGTTTCTGCCTCAAAGGCTTCCAATCCAATCACCACCTTCCCTAGACCTGCTCTCTTGAATCTTCAACCTTGGGCAACAATCCAAGACACAACGGACAGTGCGGGTCGCGTCTATCTTCAAAACTTGTTTTCTGCTCCAAACAATCTGCATGATAAGCATGGCCGCAACCTAAAACCGCGACAACAGAGACTTCAGTGGAAGACAGCGTGCTACCAAGTAAGAAAGGTTTACGCCTCAACAGCTTCTCACAAATCTCACATACCATCTTCCCCGGATCAGGTGATGCAGCATCGGTTGTCAAGTAACTAGACCTAATTCTGGGTTGCCGAAGAAAGGGGTTTTCCCTAATTTCTGGGGGGGAATTGGAAAAACAAAGTCAATTCAGCAAAAAGACAATACTGCAGATGTCAAGCTGCAGAAGAAATGAACTAGAAAATATATCTCAAAAACAGTTATCACAGAATCCTTCCAGAAAAGTCATGCTCAATGAACGAAACTGAGCACAAAAGAAGTAAATTCCGATGATTCTAAGTAGGAAATAATATCCCGAAAACATAAGCTCGTTAAAAATGCTCCATTCATCCATGTAGCATTATTTTGGTTGTGATAATTCTAGAGCTTCCATTGTCTTAATGCTCGAAACCTTCCATCAAAACTAAGGAACTTCATAGAGGTATTTGGAAGTTGAACCGAAGAAAAAGAAGAAAAAGAGGACAAACAAATATCAAACCTGAATGACGTCTGGACTCGGAGTTGCTTTGAGTAGCCAACTTATAAGAGAGCTTATCATCACGTAAAGGTACTCCTTTTCCACGAGAAGTTGATGTGTTAGCAAGATTGCCTGAGTTACGCCGAGAGTATTGATGGGCATAGTGATGACGTGAGCGTTTAAAGAAGGTTGATCGGCCAAGGCTTGGATGATGCTGCTGTGCAACAGAAGGGTGGGCGTTTAGCAGCTTCAAAGAACTATCCGTAGAGTCCAGTACAGATGACAGGGACTTTAGTTGTTCGCCAGAATCAACAGAATGCAAAGGTTTCTGGAAAGAAAAAAAAGATTAAAGATTAAAAATAACTATCTCTCCTAATGCATGAAAAGGAAGAAATGTAAACTAAAAAAGTTGCAATGTCGACCAGAAATCATATTGGTAACATGAATAGGAAAAGCACAGCTAACCTCTTGTGACAGTAATTCCATTCCCGAAGAACATGGCATGATGTCTGCAAGATCTTAAAAGAAAAGGAAAACATCATTCACATTTCACTTACTTGGATAAAATGAAAATGGCAATGTATCCTTCTTAAAATCATTTAGTTCTCTAACATAATCAAGAAACTATTTTTTTGGTAGAATTTTTGTTCTGAAGCTGGAATCAGGCCAGACGAATTGGCAGAAAAAACAAATTGAAAATTTTGATTTCAGCATTTCTGAAATATCTAACAAAGCAAAACCAACACAGAGCCCCGTTCATTTAGTAATTGATCAACTAGCAAACTAAAAGAAAAAAGAAACCCCATTAACCCAAATGACAGAGTAACAAAGAAACCCAGAAAAAATTCGTAACATTCACCTCTTACCACACCAAAATTGGCTCAATTGAGCAAGGCCCCCAATTCTTTTAGCTTTATTTAATTAAAAGAAGAGCAAAGGTGGAGTTTTTATCATAATTGATGAGTACAATATGCTATGATGATGCAAGAACAAGAAAAGGGTTGGTTTCAGCGCATTTTCAAAGAAAAGAAAAAAGAAGCGTACCCGAAGGATGAGGAGAGAAAGGGGGAGGGTGGGTCTGGCTGTGATCAGAGGGCAGCTTCCTCTTGCCCATAGTAAACAAAGATGGATATTGAATCTGACGGAGCTTGATGAAGAGAGAGCACAAAGATTCTTTGAGGTTTTAGTTCGATCTGTGGCTTTGCGGTATCAGCGGACACTCGTGCCTTTTTCTCAAACTCAAAACGTAAGGTCGCCACCAAATGAAATGTAGCAAACGAAAGTCGAAACCAAACCGTCAGAGACACACGCACAGACAGAGAGATGGAGTGTGTGTGTGTTTTGTTTTTGGTCGTGAAATTTGGGTAGTTCGTTTCTGATGAACTGGTAAAAGCGAACACGTGCACATGAGCTTTTGGAAGGCAACCCGACCCAACCCAACCCAACCCAACCCAAACTCATTTCTCCATAATGACCATTATAGTCCTTCCCATATGCATTTGCTCTTCCTCCATCCAATTCCATTTCGTTTTTGTACACTTAATTTTGTTGTTTAGTTCTTAAAAAATGTTGAGCGGAAAGACAAAAAATGTTGGGACTTCATTAGTTGTCAAGGGCCCAAGAGGAAGAAAGTAGCAACAAATTGATGTCGGCCTCGAAACTCAAGCCTGATCATCAGCCTAAGTGGACTGCAATCATAGGTGGCACGAAGATGGCAGCCCGCATAAAGATCCAAGCATTACCCGCTCTTTTTCTTCTATTTTTCTTTTTAATAAATAAATTAATTTAAAAGAATGAATTTAAAAAAGATAAAGGATCGATGACTTACACCTGATTGTTGTTGCGCCGCGTGGCATTGGACAGATCAAAGAGGAACTTACACGACTTTCCACATAAAGTACTTTAGAAATTCTCTACGTCAATGCGGTCCACGTGCCCACAAAGCACTGGGCACTTGCATTATTGCATATCACAACCTCACCTCCTTTCGGATTATATTTTGTTTTCAAGTTGGAAGTTGCATGGATTACTATAACACGTGACCTACCATTTTTAAATTACTTGAGAAGTTTCCATAATTTATAATTGAATATTTGATGTGGCAAATAGAAAAATACAAAATTAGTGAAATACCCAATTCTAGATATGGAACTATAAATATACCCTACACTATTTAAAACATATAAACACACCCAAAATATACCCAAAACTGACAGCTGTTATATTTTTTAGTTTAATTACTTAAATGAAATACCTTTATTACCCATTTAGTATTAAATTAGTTTTTTTTGAAAAATTTGGGCCCTCTCTCTCTCTCTCTCTCTCTCGTCTCTTTCCCTTCGCAGAAACCAAGCCTAGGCCAACGATCTTGGTGCTCCATCCACGGCCAGCATGACAGCGATCGGAAAAGGATCGGTCAAGGCCGACGATCAAGTCTGGGCTAAAGCCCAGCCACATTAGCCATTGACGACGCCGCTGCGAACTCAAAAAGGTCTGTGGATTTCAAGTTTTCCGACGTCGTTTCCGGTGACTCCGGCTGTTGTTTCCATCGATCGAGGTATGAAACTTTATCTAATTTTCGTGCTCAAGCTGTTTATGTATGTGGTTAGGATAGATTTTGGAGTTTTGGAAATTAATCAATACACCCTAGTTTGACCGACGGCTTTGGCAGTGTTCCGGATTACTCCGGCCACCTTTTGGCCGGGGTCCAAGACCAAAAATTTCCCCTTGTTAGTCTGAATATGTTGGTATAGGTATTGTAAGGACTTTTTTGATTTTATTGTAGTATGATTTGGGTGATTTCATGTTCGATTAATTAAGTTGCTGGTTAAGTTTTCATAATTTTTGCAGTTTTGGAGTTTAAATTTGAAATGTAGATCCAATTCTTCTTGATTTTATATGTTTATTTTTGTTATTGTCGAATTGGAGATAAGCTATTGGATTTTCTAATTTCGTTCTAATTTGTATTAGATATTCGTTTGAGTTTTAAATTGTGATTTTAATTTTTTTTGTTTATAATTTGGATTGATTTCAAATTTAGTTTGGTTGTGGATTTGCTTTTTGTGTTTTGGTTTGAGCTGTGTTACAGATTTGTGATATTTGATTCTGTTATCATATTAATTTTGAATCTGAGTATATTCGTGTTTTTTCTGTTTATGCATTATTGGTTTTTGAGTCGACTATAATTTGTTGTTAGGTAGCAGTGTTATTACCTTATATTGGAACTTTACAGACATGCATTAGAAATAGGATTTCATAGGAAACAAGCAGTGTTATTATCTTATACTGGAACTTTACAGTGGTAGACATGCATTAGAAATAGGATTTTATATGAAACTAGCAGTGTTATTATCCTATACTGGAACTTTACAAGGGGTAAACATGCATTAGAAATAGGATTTCAGAGGAATCTAGCAGTGTTATTACCCTATATTGAAACTTTACAAAGGGTATACATGCATTAAAAATAGGATTTCAGAGGAATCTAGCAGTGTTATTACCCTATATTGGAACTTTACAATAGTTAAACATGCATTAGAAATAGGATTTCAGAGGAATCTAGCAGTGTTATTACGCTATAATGGAACTTTACAAGGGGTAGACATGCATTAGAAATAGGATTTCAGAAGAATCTAGTAGTGTTATTACCCTATATTGGAACTTTACAATGGTTAAATGCATTAGAAATAGAATTTCATAGGAAAAAAGAAGTGTTATTACCCTGTACTGGAACTTTTGCATTCAAAATAGGATTTCATTGGAAACAAGCAGTGTTATTACCTTATACTGGAACTTTACGGTGGTAAACATGCATTCAAAATAGGATTTTAGAGGAAACAATCAGTGTTATTACCCTATACTGGAACTTTACAGCCATTAATCAACATGAAAGTAAACTAGCAGTATTAAGAATGAGTATATGACTAAATATCTCTTTCTTTTTTGAGTTGCTGAAAACTGACTATTTTATAGTCATATGCAGTTAGTCCAATAGTGAAAATCCAATATAGTTTCAAAATTTTGTCTTGGATTCGAATATAAAATACTGTTATTACCATAGACTGGAACTTTACAGCAATTAATCAACATTACAATAAAGGTTTGGTTTTTAAATGTCTTACCTTTGAAGCCTTTTCTTGTTGAAATTGTTCTCTGAAATTTTATCTTTGTTTTGCAGGTGGAGGTTAGTGTGTGGTGTTGGTTTTTGAAAGTAGATCAAGCTTGGTGGTTGTTATGGAGTTTCAGTTTGCATAAATGATGAAGACGGTGAAATGAAGAGATGTTTTGTTGAGATGGTTTAATGAAGATGCGTGCTTGAAGTTACTATTTTCGAGATAGTTTTGTGTTGTAATAAAATGTTTCGGACTTTTTGTAACCAAAAAATAAAATAAAAAATTTGGGCTTTTTTATAAAATTGGATTGGGCTTGTTTTGGGTGTTTTTTGAGTTTCTTTTCAGTGGCAGTCCTGTAATTTATAGGAACTTCAACACCAATTTCTTATATAATAAATGGATTTTGGGTGTATTTCTAAAGTGCATTCCATATGGGGTTTTTTTATAATTTCAGCTCCTATTTTGGGTGTTTTAGTAAAACTCCCATAGAAAAACGACATGCCAATTGTCATGCTCTTTCCAAAATCAAAAGCATGATCATTTTCATCTTCCTTTGGCTATCCTCCTCTCTGGTAATCGAAATATAGTTTAGATTATCGCTTATACTAAAAAGATAAATATTATCAACCCAAATCAATAGACAAGAGACTCAGTGAAAGTGTGCATGCATGAAATATAAGGTCCTACGTACATGATGGCACCATCCAATCTTCACTCACCAAACCCGAACCAAAAATAAATAAATAAATAAATACGCGGCTTTCCTTCTTACAATATTTTAATAATGTTGCACAAACTTTGTTTTACTCGCCGATCGATCCATGTAGCATGATATGCAGCGACAAAAACCACCCAGCCATGGTTGTCTTTGGTATTCAAGACTACAATGACAAATTTTTATCATATATATTCCGCTTTTAATTCAAATTTTATTTATGTGGTGGTATATATGTTTATGGCCCTACTATAGCACACGATAATATGATATGAGGGCCACCTTTAAATACGTAGTTTGGTCCCGTGGATCATGCAGTGAATGGCGACATTTATCCAACTCAAATTACACGTGTTAGCCAACAAAATTAATGAATAATACAAAAAAAAAACCTTAAATAATAATAAAAGGTGTAAAGAGGAAAAGACGATTGGGGCACGGAATGCGCCTAAAATAGGTTCGGTGAAGATTTATCCGAATAAGTTCCATGTCAGCTTCACCTGCTTGGCATTCATTCATTATTAACAATTTCAAAGACTTCATATTTAAGGAAATATTAAATTTATTAAAATATTTTTTTATATATTCTAATCCGTGCACACGACGACACGTTCTTATAAATGATCGTGAATTGTAAGCGTCGTTGATTGATAAGATTGGAATTCGCTAATGATATTGATATGTCGTTTTCAGAGATTCTCCTTTGCTCCTCAAAGAAGGTGTAGTTGTCATACAATATCTTTTTAGTTGGGACTCTCCATGAAAGCTTTATTATTCTTATTTTCTTTTTTTGTGAAAGAAAAAGTTATATTCTGTACAAGATTTCTCCCAACTAACATAGGAATATATTGTGCTAACACTTTTATTCACATTCGTAACAATATTAAAAAAATAGACACGTGTTTTATCGTCATGCATTTTGCAAACTAAAAAAACCGAATAAAGAGTAAAATAAAGACATTACAAAATAAAGCTAAGATACGCTTTGGATAATGTGTATCAAGTTTACAAGTATCACATTTTTTGTTTCCTTGTGATTGTTTCAGGCCGCGACTCCTTGTAAAATTACACTCTTATTCCTTACTTTCATGTTGGGTTTTGTATACAAATATCACTACTTCATGCAATCAACAATTTAAGGAATTTTTAAGATTTATTTTTTACTAATGAATCATTACCATGTTGATTGGTTTTATTTATTTATTTTAATTTCAAAAGAGAATTATTTTTTAAAAATGTTTTTTTAATTAAAAAATAACGAGGGACAAAACAGAAACTTCATTACTCCGTTTAAAGAGGTTAATGGAGAAAATTCAGGATCTAAGATTGAAAGATTTTCTAAAAAAAGAAAAAAGAAAAGGCAAGGATTTGACTATGACAAAAATTAATACCTCGGACTCGGACATCTTCCATCCATAGCTAAACACAATCCTATGGATCTGCGTCTGCCACAATCACTCTACCGTCTCTCTAATTTCCAATTTTCTAAATATTTTATTTATTTTTTATCGGCAACCAAATTCTATTTTAACAATATTTAAATTTTCAAATATAAAAAATAAAAATGCCACACGCCCGCTTTGCCTAGACTCCAATCTCGCTTATATATATATAAATCCCACTCTAATCAATCAACAGCTCAAACTCATTCATATTCTCTCTCCCTCTCACACAAACACGCCCACCTCCAAGCCAAGCCCTCTCTGTTTCCTCTGTTTTCTTCCCTGTTTTCTCTGTTGGGTAAAATCATGGGGGCGACGCTTCTCCCAGATCTCGGGACCGAGATTCTGATACCGCTGTGCGCGGTCATTGGCATCGCCTTCTCTGTGGTGCAGTGGATGTTTGTCTCTCAGGTCAAGCTCTCGCCTGGTCGAGACGCCAACTCGAACGCCCCCGGCAAAAATGGCTACAACGATTACCTCATCGAAGAAGAAGAAGGCGGTAATGACCACAACGTCGTCCTCAAATGCGCCGAAATTCAAAACGCCATCTCTGAAGGTCCATTTTACCTCTCTTGTATTCTACGTCTTTCTTTAGCTCTGGTAGACCCGACGTCGTTTGTTTTCTCCATTTGGCTCTGTGATTTTTGGTTTGTTTATGTGCGTGTGCTCTTATGTGTTTATGTCTCCAATTATTTTATCGTTGATGATATCATACTAGGATCATCGTAGCGTGAGGTAGAACACTGGAAATATAGACGTATTCACTATTTTGTACTTTTTCAGATCGAAGATGGTGGCTTGTTATGGAACCTTCACATCAATTGTTAGGACCCACCTTTATTTTTATTAATATATATTATTGTTATCTACATATGAACATTGATTCTCGATAGTGATTGTATTGTATCTTATGTGTATAAAAAATTCATTGGGATCCAGTTTACTTCACTAACTTGTTGATGCCTGTGTGATACAGGAGCAACCTCATTCCTTTTCACCGAATACAAATACGTCGGTGGTTTCATGGTGGCTTTTGCAGTCTTGATTTTCGTTTTCCTTGGCTCTGTGGAGGGATTTAGCACAAGTAGCCGTCCATGTACATATGACCAAACAAAGATATGCAAACCAGCTCTTGCCACTGCCATCTTTAGCACAATTTCCTTCTTGCTTGGTGCTATAACTTCAGTGGTTTCTGGTTTCCTTGGGATGAAGATTGCTACTTATGCGAATGCCAGAACAACATTGGAGGCAAGAAAAGGTGTTGGGAAGGCTTTTATTACTGCATTCAGATCAGGAGCTGTTATGGGCTTTCTCCTTGCTTCAAGTGGTCTATTGGTTCTTTACATTGCTATCAACGCCTTCAAGTTGTACTATGGTGATGACTGGGGTGGCCTTTTCGAGGCTATAACTGGTTATGGTCTTGGGGGATCTTCCATGGCTCTCTTTGGCAGGGTTGGTGGAGGCATCTATACCAAAGCTGCTGATGTTGGTGCTGATCTTGTTGGCAAGGTTGAGAGGAATATTCCCGAGGATGACCCAAGGAACCCAGCTGTAAGGGATACGACCCTTTGGAAAGTTATTTTAAGTTATTAATTTGCTTTCTTTATGTTTCTCAAACTTACGTTTCCCATTTGTACAGGTGATAGCTGATAATGTTGGAGACAATGTTGGGGATATAGCCGGCATGGGATCTGATCTTTTCGGATCCTACGCTGAGGCATCGTGTGCTGCCCTTGTGGTCGCATCCATTTCCTCATTTGGGATCAATCATGAGTTAACACCAATGCTATATCCTCTCATTGTCAGTTCCGTTGGCATCCTCGTTTGTTTGCTCACCACCCTGTGTGCAACAGATTTCTTTGAGATCAAGGCTGTAAATGAAATTGAACCAGCACTGAAGAGGCAGCTCATCATTTCCACTGTACTGATGACTGTTGGAATTGCAATTGTTACATGGATTTCTGTTCCATCTTCCTTCACGATCTTCAATTTTGGTACACAGAAAGTTGTGAAGAGCTGGTAAGCTCTCCTTCTTTGGGATAATTCAATGTCATCTGTGCAAATTTTTTCTATAGTCTGCTCTCTGTGTTGATATGAGGAGGCAGTTGGTTGCCCATGTTTGCAAGAACGAAAGGGCTCCTTATATTTCCTTCTAATTTAGAGTGCTATCCAAAATCAGGTTTGTTTCAGATCTTGTAAAACCTAATGAGTTTGCTTCTGTCACATACTTTCGCAGGCAGCTATTCTTATGTGTTGGTGTTGGTTTGTGGGCTGGGCTTATCATTGGTTTTGTAACAGAGTATTATACTAGTAATGCGTACAGGTATCTAGTTTTCTTCGCATTTACCTTTCTCCCATATATAGTATTACATGTCTTTTAATCTAACTCCTTGCTTTTATATTATGCTGTAGCCCTGTGCAAGATGTTGCTGATTCTTGTCGGACTGGAGCTGCCACTAATGTCATTTTTGGCCTTGCATTGGGATACAAATCCGTCATTATTCCTATTTTTGCCATTGCAATTAGCATTTTTGTTAGTTTTAGCTTTGCAGCTATGTATGGGATTGCTGTAGCTGCCCTTGGAATGCTGAGCACCATAGCAACTGGATTGGCCATTGATGCATATGGTCCCATCAGTGACAATGCTGGAGGAATTGCTGAGATGGCCGGCATGAGCCACAGAATCAGAGAGAGAACTGATGCTCTTGATGCGGCAGGAAACACCACTGCTGCTATTGGAAAGGTTTGAAATTTTTCTCAAGTCTAGCGTGCTTTTATACTTTTTATGTCTAAATTCTGGCTGTGGGAACATTCTGATTTAAGGTTTGGCGAGTTCTTTGGGTAATCGATATTTTAAGACACTCCTTTTGCCAATAGAATGCATTTAGTCACCTGAAAACGTTGTCCATCTATGGTCTGAGGAATCGAAGACCTCTAGTTATCATCAAAAATCAAATGTCACTTCTGAGTCATGTGGGCTTCTGTTTATAGGGATTTGCAATTGGGTCTGCTGCTCTTGTGTCCCTTGCTCTCTTTGGTGCCTTTGTTAGCCGTGCTGGTATCTCAACAGTTGATGTGTTGTCTCCAAAAGTGGTTATTGGTTTGTTAGTGGGCGCAATGCTTCCTTATTGGTTCTCTGCCATGACGATGAAGAGTGTGGGAAGTGCAGCTCTAAAGATGGTTGAGGAAGTGCGCAGGCAATTCAATACCATCCCAGGTCTCATGGAGGGTACTGCCAAGCCTGACTATGCTACATGCGTTAAGATTTCGACAGACGCCTCCATCAAAGAGATGATCCCCCCTGGTGCCCTTGTCATGCTTACACCCCTCATTGTTGGGATCTTTTTTGGTGTGGAAACTCTCTCCGGGGTGCTTGCCGGATCCCTTGTCTCTGGTGTACAGGTAAATGCTGAAGCAGTTGCTGGATTGATTCTTTATATATGTTCACTTGTGTATAGCTAACTTCCTAATGTGATAACATTTGTAGCTTGTCTTGCATCTAATTTGCTGATATACATTCAGTTGTTTGGGACAGTTTTGAACTAACATATTTACATTTGCAGATTGCTATCTCTGCATCCAACACGGGTGGTGCTTGGGATAATGCCAAGAAGTACATTGAGGTAAGCATTTGATGGTTGGTAAAAATGCCTATTTTGGCTTTTATGCTTTGACTCACGGTCTGGATTTTGTCTGGTTTGATAGGCTGGTGCTTCAGAGCATGCAAGGACGCTTGGTCCAAAAGGATCAGATCCCCACAAAGCAGCTGTCATTGGTGACACCATTGGAGACCCTCTCAAGGATACATCTGGGCCATCGCTCAACATTCTTATCAAGCTCATGGCTGTCGAGTCGCTTGTGTTTGCTCCGTTCTTCGCTACGCACGGTGGCCTGCTCTTCAAGATTTAAGTTTAAAAAGGGTTGCAACAGACAAGTGGGAAGTTCCGCTCTGTTGTTTGATTCTTCGTTCCCTTCACACTCACGATCCCTTTCTTTCAATCTCCTCAGCAAAATATAGTCTTTAGAACATGCTGGTTTAGCTTTTGAATTAGTTGCCAAAAGTAGAAATGACGAAAGAATTTTTCCCTTTCTAGGGGGGATGGGGGTGGTGATTATGATGAAGCTGGTTATAACGATGTTGATGATGATGATGATAATGGTTCAACTTAGTGAAGAGTTTGGATTTTCTTCTAAGTCTCCTTTAATCATGATTAATTATTGCCCAATTTCTTACTTTTTTTAATAGATTAATGCATGGCCTGTTGGGATGATTCTATTTCTGTAATGTGCTCATTCAACGACACCGTCGTCCGGTTTTGGTTGGGCAAATGTTAAGCCAACTCTCGAATTGGAGAAATTATAGACTCTACGGTTACGTGATATAACTCGTCCACTTACTATCCCTCAAATTTAGTGTCCATACATAACAATATTGCAGCTACGAAGAAAAAAATTAGTTAAAACTCTCAAAATAGAAAAATAAAATAACTTGTACGAAGTTGAGGTAAATGGTAAACACAAAAGTACGATCTTTCTTGATGTGTGGAATTTGGGCAGTAAATGGTAAATACGACTGTAGAACTCAGGACCCTCTCAGCTCAACGTCTCCGTCAGAGATTTGAGTTCTATACTCGCCCCAAAATGTTCTCTATCTGTCCTCTCCGCCCTTCACCTCCCAAGCCGTCTCTCCCTCCATCTCTCTCTCTCAACCCCCAAAGCTTCAACCTTTTCTCGAACCCAAGCCTAATAAGAACCCGCTCTCTCCGCCCCAAGTCTCTGAAAATCCAATCTCTCGACGCCGCCCAGCTCTACGACTACGAGTCCAAAGTCGCCGCCCAATTCCACGACGCCCACATGCTCAAGATCGCCATCATCGGCTTCGGCAACTATGGCCAGTTCCTCGCCAAGACCCTTGTCGCCCAAGGCCATACCGTCCTCGCCCATTCCCGATCCGACTACTCCAAAACCGCGCAGGACCTCGGCGTTTCTTTCTTCTCCGACCCACACGATCTCTGCGAACAACACCCACAAGTCATTTTGCTCTGCACCTCCATCCTCTCCACCGAGCCCGTCCTCAAATCGCTGCCTCTTCAGCGCCTCAGGCGAAACACCTTGGTCGTTGATGTGCTTTCCGTCAAGGAATTCTCCAAGGCATTGTTGCTGAAGTTGCTGCCTGGCTACTTCGACGTCCTCTGCACCCACCCGATGTTCGGGCCCCAGAGCGCCAAGCACGGGTGGAATGGGCTCTTCTTCGTGTACGAAAAGGTCCGAATTGGGTCCGAAGAATCGAGGATTTCGCGGTGCGATAAGTTGCTGAACATTTTTGAGAAAGAAGGGTGTAGAATGGTGGAGATGAGCTGCGCAGAGCATGATAAGTACGCGGCGGGTTCGCAGTTTATGACCCACACGGTCGGGAGAGTGTTGGGGATGTTGAAATTGGAGTCGACGCCCATAAATACTAAAGGGTATGAGACATTGTTCGATTTGGTGGAGAACACAGCTGGGGATAGCTTTGATTTGTATTATGGGTTGTTTATGTACAATAAGAATGCATTGGAGACGTTGGAGAGATTGGACTTGGCTTTTGAGGCCCTGAAGAAACAGCTTTTTGGGCATTTGCACGATGTTGTGAGAAGGCAATTGTTTGGCAATGCAGAAAAGGCAATAACTTTGCAGGCGGATTATGCGAAGCAGGCTCAAAATGGAGCTGCATTGGTATCTTCTTCAAAAGCTTTGAGGTTGGTACAGTTTCAACTTCCATTGCTTTGAATTTCATTCTTTTATGTTTTTTGTTGTAGAAATGAATTTGTTTTTCTTAGTTTGATGGCTATTTCATCTGCTGTGTAGTTGATGGATATATGGATTCTTTAACTAGTGGAATTTGTTGTTTGACACTAGTGACTAATGTTATTGGAATTGAATTGTTAACAAATAATTTTTAATGATAACCTTCAGATCGCCAAAAATTGTTCGGTCAGATGACCAAAAAGCACAGATTTCTGATGACAACTCTTGGCTAAAGATTGCAATTGTTGGTTTTGGAAATTTTGGTCAGTTCCTTGCTAAGACGTTTGTACGCCAAGGTCATACGGTTCTAGCCTTTTCTCGAACAGACTATTCAGATGTGGCTCAGAAATTAGGCGTTTCTTACTTCTCTGATGCAGACGATCTGTGTGAAGAGCATCCAGAAGTGATACTTCTTTGCACATCTATTCTGTCAACTGAAAAAGTTCTGAGGTCATTGCCACTGCAGAGGCTGAAGAGAAATACTTTATTCGTTGATGTGCTTTCGGTGAAAGAATTTCCAAGAAATCTGTTTCTTCAAACTTTGCCGCTGGATTTTGATATTCTCTGTACGCATCCTATGTTTGGACCAGAGAGTGGTAAAAACGGGTGGAATGGTCTTTCTTTTGTTTATGATAAGGTCAGGGTTGGAAGTGATGAATCAAGGGTATCACGCTGTGATCAATTTCTTGATATCTTTGCACGAGAAGGGTGCCGAATGGTGGAAATGTCTTGTGCAGAACATGATAGGCATGCAGCAGGGTCACAATTCATTACACACACTATGGGAAGGATTTTGGAAAAGTTGGGTTTGGAATCGACACCAATCAACACAAAAGGTTACGAGACTTTGTTGAATTTAGTGGAGAATACAGCAGGAGATAGCTTTGATCTTTACTATGGCTTGTTCATGTACAATATTAATGCAATGGAGCAGTTAAAGAGGTTGGACATGGCTTTTGAATCTTTAAAGAAGCAGATTTTTGGGCGTTTGCATGGTGTTCTGCGGAAGCAACTTTTTGAGAACTCAGATAAGTCTCAAGTTATGCAGGAACAGGCCTTGTTGCCAAAACCATCCCAGAATGAATCTGCAGTGACACCTTCTTTGGAGTCTCTTAACATTCAGAAGAACTAATTGTGATCATCTTCTACCTTTTTGGTAAGTGGAGTTTAGCTGAGCATGTAATATCTTGTTGTTCAAGGTTATAAATTTTTGTTGTTCTCATTGTTTGCTGGAAATTACAAAATACGAAAATCCCAACTTCTGGACCCATCTGTTCAATGCAGAACCATTTTATCTTTCCTACAATTGCTTCTTAGTGAAGCTAGCTGCACAGATACTTTTGTGGTGGGGTCTTATCTCCAATTTTAAATTTCTAGTATTATCCAATGTTTTATTACAACTATACTATACTGAGTTGGTACAACTAAGTATCTTTTGTTCTTTGTTTATTCCAATTTCCTTTTATGTATATTTCCAATGTGCACTCATATGGAAGGCAGCTTAAGGAAACAATCATTTGCACTGTAATATTTTGATGAACATTTTGTAATTTGTCTCTTTTGTTTGAAGGGTTCCACATAAAGCTTTGTGGTGGTGTTGTAATCTGATAGCTGCATCAGAACAGAAGGAAATCAGTGAAAGACATTAATGCTGGTATGCAATCAAGCTGCTGGAGGTTTGCTCCGTAGTAACTGCATCTCGAGGGCATCTATACACGTCGTAGCTGTTGGAGCCATTCTCAGTGAACGGTAAAAGATTTTGAAAGTTATGGTTTGGGGCTGGTTGTTCTTGTGTAAAAATCCCTACCTGTGGCAGCTCTCCAATCAGTTCAACTGGCAGCACGTCAAAGCAAAATGTTATTTGAGTAGTATCACTTGGTAAAAAAGGCTATCAAGAAAGGGGAGCCCTATAAATTTAAGTGCAACAAGAAGTACATGGAGAAGGACTACCCCAAGTGTTACATTGTTGTTCATTTTGCTTTCTTTCCTCTTTGGAAAATGTTGAATATCCAGCCATTCTTTTAAAAATTAAAATAAAAAATGATTGATGTTATGATAATAAGGGCCTTCTTCCTGTTGTCAAGAAGCAGGGTGGGATTAACATTATAGAAATCTTAATTTAGGAGCAGCTGTACTTTTTATTTCGATCATATGCAAAAAAGAACAAAGAAAAAGTATTAACAAGAAAGAAATAGTGTGTCCTGAGCAAAATCCAAGAAATAAATTGATTGTTGAGCTTTTCCTTAGTAGTAGCAACGCAAATATTGAATCTTCTTTGTTGACAAATTAAACTCCAAAGTGCATCCCATTTTGGCAGACTTTTTTTTCTTCATCACAAACATCAACTCAACCTTTCCGGCCAGCCGTGCTTCGCTTCTCAGACTCAAAACCCCAGTTTTGAGTTCATTGCCAAGATTGTACCTGCTTCTGCTTGGCAACTCTTTGGAATTCAAACTCAGTCACATCAATCTTCTTGGTCGAACGCATCCCAGCCTTGCTCTTGGGAATTCTAACTTGCCCAACAGCCCTGTCTTCGTACATGAACCTTGCATTGGTAGCATCAAACTTATAGCGACCAAAATTTGTGTTCTTTATCCTGACTTGGGTTGTGAAGGTCATGTCAAATGAAGGTGTTGAAGAGGAAGCGTTGAGAGTTTGGACGCTGATGGCGCCCAATCTGAGCTTGGGAGACTTCACACGCATCACAGTGAGTGCAAATGTGGTGATAACTATGATCTGAACCACAACAAAAGCAGAAATATAGATTGCCAATTTGATTCTCTTCTTGCGTTTGAGCTCCTGGGATGGCAAAGTGGCAGATTCTTCATCACTTGTGGGGTGCTGTCCATTAGTAGCTGCTGCTGATGGAGAGGCCTGATTGTTCTTCTCGGCCATTATCTTTTTCTTTTCTTTTCTTTTCTTTTCTGGGAAGATCAGAATGTTTTGTGGGTTGGTTTTGTTTCTTCTTGAAGATGAATTGGGAAGTGGATAGAATGAATATGATATTTTATTTATAATGTTTGGACATTCTGACTTCTAAGGTAGGTGTTAGAAGAAAGGAAGAAAATGTGACCTGTTCCTGCAGGAAAAGCCAAAACAAACAAGTGGGGGTGTCTTTGTCTGTTTAATTCAAGAAACGCGGTTAGCTGACGTTCTCGACTCTGCTCTCTGAATTGAATGGTCGCATAGACCTGACCTGACAACGCTTTTGATACAGTGCGAGATGAAAACTTTTACTCTTCTATTCCATAGCATCCAATTTGGACCTCGAGACTTTTTTCCTGTCAAGTTGACTGCCAGCCACTCCACATCTCCATGTTGTGAACCTATCCTCATTCTTCCAGTAGCATAAGCCCTTAGGCTCAAACCGACTTTTACTAAACCAAAATGAACGTAGTAGACTAGGCGCAAATGTGGATTAGGCCTGCTGGCAACCACCTTGCACCAAAGTTTGATCCTCCTCTCTCCGTACATTAGAGTAGCTAAAGTATCGCTTTGTGAAAAGAAAAAAAAAAAACCCGGTTTCACTGGGTCACACAACAGTTTTTGGGTAAAACTATGTCCATCCTTCATTTTGTTGGCCCAAGATTGATGATGGCCCAACCTGAGAAGCCTCCTATGGTTTGGGCTTAGATCTTTCTTACTTTAACTCAATAAAAAAGGTTGTTGCCGATGGGATAGTGCCATTAGATTAGGTTACATAGATGCTCGAGCCCAGCACTTCCCTCGGCTCATGAACAAGGTCATCTCCGTCAATCCTCAGAAAGGGCAAACCCCCTTTCAAACAGAAAAAAAAAGTTGGTGGGAGAGATTCCAAAATTAGAAATTCTTTCATTTTACTAAAACTTATTATCGAAATAAAAGGCAAAATTATTATTTTTTGTCATAATTAATATAGTATAATGTTTTTATTTATGTGAAATTGTGAATCGCCTCTAGGGCGCAAAATCTCCCAAATATTTTAATTTTTGTTTTTTTCCTATTGTCTTTGGTTCTGTCTGTGTCTTATCTAACTCATAGTCATCATCACATCTTCTTCCTCATCCTCACACCCCTTTCTTTTGTCGCGCTTCGTTTTCACCGAACGTATGATTTGCTGATTCAAGGACTCAGGGCTTCGGAGCTGTCCGGATTCTTGATTTTGTGTCATGCCCCTTTGATGGTCCGTCTTCTTCGACTTGGAAGCGCAGAGTAAAACAAATTCATTTCAAAATTTGTGTGTTCCAGGTAAACCTCCATTTCCTCCTTTCTCAGCTTATCCTACCAATTCTTAAGATTCCAATGAAATGCATATTTTTAGTGGAAAATGTTTCAGTCTTGTATTGTAATTACTTCAATTGCGAGAGCAAGGCTCTTGGCTCTAGAACTAGAAGCCTGAGCTATTGCTTAAGACGGGCTTCTTTTTTATTTTCCTCAATCTTTTCAATAATCAATTTGAATTTAAATTTTGTTTCTTTATGCGCCCGGCAGATTTATAGAAAGATGGAATGAATGTTGTTAGTGACATATATGATTTTCAGTTGGGAATATTTTGCAGGAAGGATGGGGAGTCTTAAAGATTGGATTTCTTCTCAGTTAGTATCCATGTCTTTGGTCTCATCTCGGCCATTGTCAGGCAGTGACAGTTTCTTTCGTGAGGAACCTTCCCATGAAGGGTTTGATGGCCAAGGTATTGCTCTCCCTCCAGTACTTTATGGCTATTATTCTTGAAGAGTGATTTAACAAACCCTTATGTCATTCTAAGGCAATGGGATTTTGTAAGGACTAAATACTTGAGATCCAGTTGCAAGAATTTCCAAGTTAAAAAGTGGAAACCAATTTTCGATCTGTGAGTTTCACCCTCATTTGGTAGTCAATGTTTTTTTATTTTCAGGTGCCGCTCACTCAAACACTTCGCTAACACCACCCATTCTTCCTGATACATCACCCTCAGTTGGTAGTGATCGGGAAAATCAGTCCAATCCCTCCCGCCAGCATGTTATAGTTGAAAATTCTGATCAATCACGTAATGGCTCTGGTAAGAAAAAGATGGATCCTTTGGTAAGAATTGATGATCTTCAAGTTAAGTTCTTGCGCCTCATCCTACGGCTTGGTCTGTCACAAAACAATCTTCTGGTGGCTAAGGTTCTTTATCGTATTCACCTCGCAACTTTGATACGAGCAGAGGAGTCAGATCTGAAAAGAGTTAATCTCAGAAGTGACAGAGCCAGAGCAGTGGCTGCAGAACAAGAGGCATCTGGCCTGCCTGAAATGGATTTCTCTCTTCGAATCCTTGTCCTGGGGAAAACAGGAGTTGGCAAGAGTGCCACAATAAATTCTATATTTGATCAAAAGAAAACTGTCACCAATGCATTTCGACCTGGCACAGATCACATTCGGGAGGTTGTCGGAACTATAAATGGGATTCGAGTAACTATCATTGATACCCCTGGATTTTTTCCGTCATCTACGGGTAATTTCCGCAGAAATAAGAAGATTATGCTGTCCGTGAAGAGATTCATTAGAAAATGTCCACCTGACATTGTTTTGTTCTTCGAACGCCTCGACCTCATCAATGCAAGCTATAATGACTTCTCCCTTTTGAAGCTAATAACTGAAGTATTTGGGCCTGCAATATGGTTTAACACCATTCTTGTCATGACTCATTCGTCCTCTGCTCTTCCGGAAGGACCTGATGGGTATCCTGTCAGCTATGAATCATATGTGAGGCAAAACACAGATATGGTGCAGCACTATATACACCAGGCAGTGTCTGACTCCAGACTTGAAAACCCAGTGCTTTTGGTTGAGAATCATCCTCAATGTAAGAAAAACATCATTGGGGAAAAGATACTTCCAAATGGACAGGTTTGGAAATCTCAGTTTCTGTTGCTATGCCTTTGTACAAAAGTTCTAGGTGATGTCAATACTCTCATGAAATTTGAAGACAGCATTCAACTAGGGGCCTCAAGTGCCACCCACGTGCCTTCTCTGCCCCATCTCCTCTCATCTCTTCTACGTCACCGGTCTGTCATTAGTCCAAGTGGAGTGGACATTGAAGTTGATGAGAGCTTGCTTTCAGACACACAGGAGGAAGATGAGTATGATCAATTACCTCCAATCCGAATCCTGACTAAATCCCAGTTTGAGAGATTGACAAAATCGCAGAAAAAAGACTATCTTGATGAATTGGATTATCGAGAGACCCTTTATCTAAAGAAACAGTTGAAAGAAGAGTACCGTAGGCAGATGGAGATTAAGCTTTCCAAAGAGAAAAATTGTGCGAGCAATGATAATTCTGATGGGCAGCAGGCCTCCCAAGAAGCGGCTGTTTTATTACCAGATATGGAGGTCCCTCCTAGTTTTGGATCTGATTGTACTGCACACAGATATCGTTGCCTTGTTATGGGTGATCAGTGGATTATGAGACCTGTTCTTGATCCCCATGGATGGGATAATGATGTGTGCTTTGATGGAATAAGCTTGGAAACAGCTATGCAAATAAATAGCAACATCTTTACCTCTGTCGCAGGGCAGATGAGCAAGGACAAGCAGGATTTTAGCATTCAATCCGAGTGTGCTGCAGCTTACTCGGATCCCAGTGGGATTACATACACTGTAGGTCTTGATGTTCAATCTGCTGGTAAAGATACAATCTATACATTTCACAGCAACACAAAGCTGAGGAAGCTGTGGCGCAACACTGCTGACTGTGGAGTGTCATTGACATCTTTTGGGAACAAGTGTTACATTGGTGCCAAGCTTGAAGACACCATATCAGTTGGGAAGAGATTGAAATTTGTAATGAATGCCGGCCAGATGGTGGGTCCTGAACAAGTGGCATACGGTGGTGGTGTTGAAGCTACGTTAAGGGGTAGAGACTACCCTGTGAACAATGACAATGTCAGCCTGACAATGACTCTCCTGTCTTTTAACAAAGAGATGGTGTTGGGTGGAAATTTACAGTCTGAGTCCCGGCTGGGCAGAAATTTGAGAGTGTCAGTTAATGCTAATCTAAATAGCCGAAAGATGGGTAAGATTTGCATTAAAACCAGTAGCACAGATCATTTGCAGTTTAGTATGGCTGCGGCTTTCACAATTTTCTGGGCCCTTTTACGAAAGAAGGATGTTAAAAGTACAAGTCATGAATGAAGGGAGGGTGGATAAGTTTTGTTGCTATTTTTGTTTAAAGAGGACACAAACCATCTTGATTTGGAACAAAGGTATGAGCCTGCTAATCAAAAAGTAGAAGAAAGGAGATATGGTAATTTCAGAAACTTTGTTCCAGAATTTCCCTCTCGCTTAAGATGTCGACATGGGAGCTGAGCTTTAGCAGAGAAGGCTAACAAGCTGCCTCCATTTTTGGCCCTAACTAGCAGTAATCTTTGAGTTCATCTGACCTGGTGGTATCCAGTGAAGCGGCCAGCTTCCAAGAATCAGTCAAGCAGTCAGCTTCTGGAAGAGGTTTTGTACTGAAGTAAATTGAGGCAGTAAGTGTACAGTAAAATCGTGGAGATGGTTTGTCTTTTTGTTGTTGTTGATTCACAAAATAATAAGTTCAAATAGAATTAGCAGGTAATCAATATGTTTATGTTCTATGTTGTTTATATTGTTATTGATTGACCAAAAAATAAATATTGTTTTTGTTTTTCCGGCAAAGATATTAACTTTTGGCCGTTGGCAAACTCAAACAGTTAACGTCTGTTTACACACTACCAAACCAATCATATTAACGTATTTTAAGATAGTCTCCTACGCTATAGATCATTAAAACATTATTACATTAATACCGACCAAAGCCTTCATTTCGTGTCGCTCCTTCGGTCTCTCCATCTCCTCACAATTCAAAACACGTGACGTGAACGCCAAACAAATCATATTCTCTAACCCAGCAGCATATGCCAACTTAAGATTCCCGGCATACAAATGGATTCCTGATTCCTTGAAGGCTTCATTCAACTATGCCGTAAAAACCCAGAAGCCCAAAACCACCAATCTCAGAGAAACTTAACAAGCAAATTGTGCTTGCTTACCATCTTCATCCCAAACTTGAAACAATAACAAATAATAATATAAGATTTACTTAACTCTAACATACCAACAAATTGAATTTCTTTGTACTCTTGTTCTTCCTTTTGAATTACATTCCAAGTTTATAAGTTTTAACAATTTCTTCACCTTAAGGCGAAGACCCCCACAAAACCTCAGCAATAATGGAGGCTGCCTCAGCATCAGAAATAGAGGCTTCTCTAACTCTCATTAGTATCTGCTGCTTAAATGCCCTCCTCTCTCTCTGCCTCAGCCCTTCACCCACCTCCAATTGCACAGCAAATCTCGCCACACAGCTAGAAAACGGGTGGTTCTCGAAGAACCTATTTTCCCTGTTCTCTCTTCTTGTCTTCTTCTCCTTAATCCCACCACCACCACCACCACCACCAGCAACCTCTCTGTTTTCCTTGTCATCCTCATCCAAAGCCATTTCCGTCAAATCCCCTCCAAGCTCTGATCTTTGCAATTCCACAAGCTTCTTTATCACCCCCTCCTCAAGCATAGCATCAATGGCCTCCTTGCGCCCAAAATACCCAATTTCAAGAATACAGACCATGGCCATCACTCTCATTTCCAGGTCTTCACGGTTCAAGAAGCTTATGATCTTGGGTATTTCCCCATTGAACTCAATCTCGTCAACAAGCGGAGACTTTATCAATCTGATCAGGCTACATAGCACTCTGATCGCATTCGGGGAAGCCATTGTTAGTAAAGCTTTGATCGTTCGACCCATTAGCACTTGACCCACAAACACGTCCTTGTTGAACTTAATCAGAGCTGCTATGGCGAAAGCCGAGTGTTCTCTAACTCGTTTGGAATAGTGAGAATCGCAGAGAACAGACTCGAGCAGAGTGAAAACTTTGGACTTCAAAATCAAATCTTGCAACTCGCGATTGAAACCCTGCAAAACTCGGTCCTCGAACTGATTCAGGAGCTTAACCAACTCGTCCTCATTGTGAAGTGGCTCTTTCAGAGCTCTCGTCAAGCTCTCTAAGCTCTCGCGGTCGATCCACGCTTGGATTTCTGACTCGATCGACCTGGCCAGCCGGGACAGGCAGTGAGTCGAGCAGCAGCGAGTTAAAAACGACCTGATGCTGTGGTGGCCTTCGGATTTCTTGAGGGTCTCGACGAGGTTCTTGAGGGTTGCGAGGTGTTGGGAGAGCGTAGAGAGATGTGGGTCTTTGGAGAGGATGTTGTCAGACTCGGTCTCGAGCTCGAGCAGAGCATTAATGGCGGACGAGTTTGACTCGGCCGACTCTGGACTCGGGTGGGTTTGGAGCTCATGGGCGGCTTGTTTTAGAGCTTCCAGGACCTGGAGAACTCGTGGGATGCCTTGCTTTGGTTGGTGGTCTTCCATGGCTATCCGGATCAGGCTGTCCTCCTGATTTCCTGAAGAAAGATTGCGTTTATAAAGATATAATTAGAATTTGATGAGAACGGATTCTTCTTGTCTGAACTCAACGACCAGTCTTCGTCTCTACATGCATATGACATGCCAAACATTCTTTCTTTTCTTGCAAAAGAGACGCTTTGAAATTTGGGCTCGTGGTGGTTTTTAGAAGCCAATCAATAACATCATCACGGGGATAAAATATTTAAATTAGTTTGCTTTTTAATTGAAAGAAATAGAGAGTTATCAGGAATTAGGTGATTGACACACAGAGACGTCATGTGTCTGCCATGGGAAGTAAATTTTTATTATTTGATATAGATATGTGGTAGAACTAAGAAGAAGAACTTAGAACAAGGCCATGTAGGACAGGACATATTAGTATAGTCAGTGGGTCTGGGTTTGGGTGGTTACGGTTGTAAAATCATGGTGGTTGTGTGGGGTGATGGAGGCATAATGGACGGATTGTTGTTTGTCAACGTGTCCATAATTTGGCATGAAGACAATGGCTGAGCCTGAGCACAGAGGAAAACTCTTGGCTAGTAGTAATTAACTTGTTTAGCAAGCAGTACAGTTGATCTTTTGTACTTTTTTTATTTTTTTTGGGGTCCTGAAGCTTTGAAAGTATATTTATTTGACAGGGTAAGAGTAAAACAAACTCTAGAGAGAGCAAATGATCATGGTATGTGTGCTGAATGCTGATAACATATTGAGTTCTTCTTGAAGCTGCCAGAGCTCATGAGGACAGACGCATCCTATTGATATTATTATGGAAACTTAGGAAGGAAGCAGAGATCTCTATTATTATGGGCTGCTGCTGCTGCGGTGTGGTGTATATTTATTTGAGTGGGTGGCCTCTACAGTGAATAAACGTGAGGCTCCAAATTTAATCCAATCCGCAGCTTTAAGTTAAGAAGCATAAAAGGACTTGACCACCCACCCAACCCAACCCGTACGCAGTCACTACAAAATCCAAACTTGAGTTTGAGTTCCTTTTTCCTTTTTAGGGGGTCAAGACTCAAGAGTCTGAGCATATTCGGAACCAAAGAGCATCAGGCAACTCTTGATTCTTGAATGAATATGTCACCAACACCCATTTCTGTACTCAAGTTGCCCTTCTTTTTGGTTGCTTGCTTAGTAGAATAATTGTAAACAAAAGAAAATTTGTCAAAATAATTGATGGGTCCCAGCCGGGTCGGATCGGGTCGGGTCATGATAATTTTGCCTTTTTTTTGGGGAGCACGAGTCAAGACTTCATCATTTTTATTGCATGTATGAGTATGAGAGCGCGAGTTTCCATGTGTTTCACATGTATGTATGTCTGAGCTACCTCTCCACCCAGGCAGGTGGCTAAGCCAGCCCCATCCCATCCCATGCATGAACTTTGAAGGCATCGAGATTCGAATCTCTTTGACTTCTTTCTTCCAAGTCTACCCAATGTGAGTTTTTGGTCCAAAAATCCAATGTGATGAATCAGTCCTTCAGTTTTTTTTTATATATAAACATGTGTTCAGCTTAGCTTAGACCTTTTAAATTTGAGTTGCTTCACATCACATCCCAAATCAAACTCCTTTTTATATTGGTAATCAAAATTCACCAAAATTGTCCAAATTCCACTCAACTTGTCACCCAAACTTTACTTTCTAATTTGTAGTGCCCTAAGCTTCCCAGTCTTCGGGGATTAACTACAATACACGTTGCCCCAACCAGGCAAGGCGCACAACTCTAGATGCTAACTTATGCTAAATTCTATAATAAGGGTGTCATATATGAACCACTCATGTGAGCATTTATATTATCTACATAATTATTTCATTAAACTTAAGTAGAGTTACTATTCAGATGATTCATGTGGCTAATATGGAAGTCTACATCTACTGTTCATATATGACACTCTCATTATATGAAAGTCGTTTCAAGCTCTGAAAGAGAAAGAAAAATATCCTTAAAAGAGTGCCAATCAAAACAATGGCCCAATAAATGGCAGCCATGGGCTAGAAATTTGAATGTGAAGCCCAAGAGGTAAGGTTTAGCCCAAAACTGATGTGGATGACCCAAACAGACCCACAAAAAAAAAGATTATGTGGAATTGCAATTCATTTGCCTGCCTGCCCCTGCCGTAGGAAATTAATCACTTGAACACGTTTTGCAATTTTTTAAACGAAAGACTGTGACATCAATTCACATCTTCAGTATATAGTACTACTCCCCTTGAAATTCTATAGTTTACCATGAATAAAAATTTATTTCCAAACATGGCATAAAATACTCTCATCTCATGGAAGAATATGCAGACCAAATAAAGAATCTAATCTTCTCGTAAGCCTAAGGTTCACACGGGAGTTAGTTTGAGACTTGAGTTAGAGAGCCCGTGTCGTCCGATGAGTGATGACGGATGTTTCGTCGGATTATCAATAATTTAAGGTTGTGTTTTCTTCTTCATCACCAGACAAAAACTCCTGACATCATTCTTTCATCAAATCAAGGAAACAAGATGATCTGACAGACGACATGATCGTGTGCTTATCAATCACGCACCAGAACAGACCACTCCAAATTCGCCAGCTGTGCCTAAACCAGAAGAATATCTCGAGGCAAACACAGCGCAGACGATAGTTTCCCTCTGTGCCTTAACCTACGCCACGTCACCTCATCGGGTGCTGCTAACTTACGCCTTCCCCTCCGTCCATTCCAACTAATTGTAAGTATATGTTTCTCTTCCCTGTCTTGTGCTCACCTAAATCTCACCAAGTTATGATTTTCGGGTACTCTCCCTCCCTCTCTTACTTTGAACTTTCTTTATTTTGTTTGATCTATTTAATTCTGATTCTCTGATTCATTCAGTGGTAAGTGATTCTTCTTCTTCTTCTTCTTCTTGTTTCCAGCTCAACTTGTTCTCTGTTTATGCGGCGTTTTCATTGTTTTAGCTGTTTTTGTTCTGTGTTAATGGTTGATTGGAATGTTGATTGAAGTGATTGTGTTCAGCTGTAATTAAATTCAAATCTTACTGGGATTGGTTGATTCTTGATTGATTAGCATTTGCAAAGTTTTACTTAAATCGGCTATTTTTATCTCTCTATCTCTACGTATTTTGTTTGAATAAAGTTTCATTCTTCATCTTCTTTGAACGATTTTATTATTGTTAGATTGCAAAATTTCAGAAATTTAATGCTCATCACTCTGGCTGAATTGCTGCCTCTTCTTTTTGATGCAGTTAGTTTTACTGTAATTGCTGAATGAACAATCATGGCAGCAGTGATTAGGATGCACCCCATGTTGCTTCAACTCACTCTTACTTCTTTCGTCTTCTTGAGCTGTTTGAGGAACGGGAATGCGGGGATCACAAGCACTTTCATCCGATCCGAGTATCCATCCGTGGATATCCCTCTTGATAATAAAGTATTTGCTGTTCCAAAGGGTCATAATGCTCCACAACAAGTAAGAATTCACTGCTATCTCAATAACTGTTTGGTATTACTGTAGAAAGTTAGGCACATCATATATTGTTTTCCAGAATTCAGGATGTGGAAACTATGATTCCTCATTTCTCTGGACAATTTCTTTCTTCTTGTTTTTTACTCACAAGTGGTATAATTTCCTTGCTCGATATTACTGTTTTGAGTTCTAATGTTCTTGTGTATTTACACTCATTCATTACAGGTGCATATCACCCAAGGTGACTATGATGGAAAGGCTGTTATCATCTCCTGGGTTACTCCTGATGAACCAGGGACGAGTAAAGTGCAATATGGTACATCAGAGAATGGATACGAGCTTTCTGCAGAGGGGATTGTGACAAACTACACATTCTACAAATACAAGTCTGGGTACATCCATCACTGTCTTGTTGATGGCCTAGAGGTAACTATGATTATTTTGTGAATGTACTGGCAGGTAGCATATGCGTTGTGGTTTTCGCTCATGATATATATTTTATTTAAAGAAACTTTATTTGTAGCTTAATCTTTCTTTGGTTACACATACATTATCATTCTATGCTTTCTTGTATTGAATAAATAGATTATTAACATTCTCTGGGTTCTCCTATCATGCAAAGCCTGTGAGATTGTCCTCTCAGTCAACTGTGTAGACTTGAAGTTTTTATCGACTTATTGTGTCTCCAAGTTTCCCAAGTGAATATGTCCCCAGTGTTGTAGATTCTAGATGCAATATTTGGACTTGTCTTTTCTCTTGCTTATAGTTTCCATAAAACATCAATTATTTCTTGTTTTCAGCATGACACGAAGTACTATTACAAGATTGGGAGTGGCGATTCTTCTCGAGAATTTTGGTTTACAACACCTCCAAAGATTGACCCAAATTCTCGTTACACATTTGGGATCATAGGTGAGTTGTTTTCTCTCTGCAAGGGGTCTTATTGATAAAGTTTTATTTCAATTTACTTATCCATTTTAATGCATTTCTTTCTTTGTTTTAAAACCAAACATCTAAGATGAGTTCTGCTCATGTTGTCCTTGGTTCCACCTTTGGCTCTGCAATTGCGTTCTTTCTCTTACTATCTTGTGCTTCTTTTTTTAATTTTATCAGTTACAACTACAACATTTGGGTAGGAGGAGTGGTGTGGGTACTAACTAGGCTATTCTGTGACTACAGCTTGATATACTTTGTATCCTACGATTCTTATTAATGTTTATATTAAATCATGTTGAATTTTGTTGTTTCCCTTAATAAATAGTTATTCTGTATGTTGCAGGTGATTTGGGTCAGACATTTAACTCTCTATCAACTCTTGAGCATTACATGCAGAGTAAGGGACAGGCTGTTTTATTCCTTGGAGATCTTTCCTATGCTGACAGATATCAGTATAATGAAGTGGGTTTACGGTGGGACACATGGGGTCGATTCGTTGAGCAAAGTACTGCATATCAGCCATGGATTTGGTCTGCTGGCAATCATGAAATTGAGTTCATGCCTTATCTGGTAAAGTATCAAAATCTTTCGGAACTGTCTGAGTTCCATCACGTACAAAAGTTGTAAAATTCCATTGATATGCATGATGTCTTGTGGTCCGAAACTCCTATCATGTTACTTGTCTAACTATTAATTAAATTTTTACATATTCTAGGGAGAAGTTACTCCTTTCAAATCCTATCTTCAGCGGTATGCTACTCCTTATTTGGCCTCCAAAAGTAGCAATCCTCTTTGGTATGCCATCAGACGTGCATCGGCTCATATAATCGTACTGTCCAGTTATTCTCCATTTGGTAACTATACATTTCTATACATGCCGCAAATATGTGAACAGAGTACTTACCTTTTTAATTATAATTCTATGTGGTGCGGTAATAGAATCTATAGAAAATATCATACTTCCCTTTTTGATTGTGTACTTCTGCTTTAGTAAAAGCAAGACTGAAATTCTTCTATCTTATACAATTTTCTCATTAAGGCTTGCTAGTATTCTATATCTCTTAGAAGGGAATGGACCCTTTTTCCTCTTTTGTGCCTGTATATCTTACAGCAGTGTTGATAACTTTGTCATCAGTGAAATACACACCTCAATGGAGGTGGCTAGAAGAAGAATTGAAAAGGGTTGACAGGGAAAAAACACCTTGGCTCATCGTCCTTATGCATGTTCCAATCTACAATAGTAATGACGCACATTACATGGAAGGTGAAAGCATGCGAGTAGTGTTTGAGAGTTGGTTCGTTCATTACAAAGTTGATGTAATCTTTGCTGGCCATGTCCATGCGTATGAGAGATCGGTATGGTTCTTTACCTTCTAGGTTTTTTCTGTTTGTCTCCTGTTATATAATAAGATGTAGTTGATTTGGCATTCAAAAAATTTCATTCATGGCTAGGGTGAGATTCATGTTTTTCTTTCCCCTTATTTTCAGTATAGAATCTCAAATATACACTACAACATAACAAGTGGTGACCAGAACCCCATACCAGACAATTCAGCTCCTGTATACATAACTGTTGGAGATGGAGGGAACCAAGAAGGACTTGCTGGAAGGTAGGAACCTTGTTCTAATATTGTTTATTATGATTTTTATTTTGTTAATAAGTTAAAAGGTCAGTCGAAATGCATGATTATAATTTCGGCGATGTTACTCCATTTCGTCTGTAAGGAAATCAAATACTTTTTGTGCAAGCAGTGATGACTAACAGTTGCTCCATGGTTTCTGTAGGTTTAGAGATCCACAACCAGATTATTCTGCGTTCAGAGAAGCCGCCTATGGACATTCTACGCTTGAGATTATAAACAGGACACATGCACTCTACCACTGGAACCGCAATGATGACGGGAAGAAAATTGCAACTGACGCATTTGTATTACACAATCAGTACTGGTGAGTGGTCATACCAATTATGTTTCTGGTGCCAAAGTAGCAAGGAATGCATGTATGCAACAGCCCAATTCACCTTGCTGATTTGGCACTGCACAGTTGTGAACTTGTGATACAAACTACGGCCAGATATGAAATTTAGGATAGTTTTAAAATAAAAAATTTATAATCAGCATAATGTGATTTGAGTTTTGGTGAATGCGCAGGGGTATGAATCGTAGGAGGCGAAAACTGAAGAAGCATTATGTTAGGAAAAGTTTGGAGCAGATCGCAATTTATTGATAAGCAGTTTGTTGGAATATTGGATTGGCTTGTCTTGAGACGCATATAAATAAGTAATGTGATCCTTATTTTGTCGGTTGCTTGCTTGCTTGTTCATTCATGATATTGGATGGAGCTGCCACTAATTCGGACGCAATACTTTCAAAGGAAAATCCTCCGGCTTTTGAATTTTTATAAAATTTCATTTACAACTGTTTGTTTTATGGTATAGCGTGAGCTTGGTGGTGGTGGGTGCTTACATTATACATATCAACTTCCCGCACATATTTCACGTTGAAGGAAGTCATTATCACAACGAACATGCTTGTTTCCGCTGAACATTAAAAATTCTTTATAAAGGAAGGATCACCACTATCCAACCTGATAGATGGTCCCACGAAGAAATTAGGAGAATATGGCAGACGACACTGACTGAAAAGCCCCGCACTCACTGAAGTATATGCAAATGCAGCAGAAACAATTTCATAATGCAATGGAATTTCTACTTACAGAAACTTGGATCCCCAAAAACATATGCAAGTAAATAAGGCAATCCAGTCGCCTGAATTCAATCAATCAATACGAAAACAAGAAAAAGAAAATAACCAAAGCTCATGATGTGGCATCCGATCCTATTAACTTGCATTTTCCACAACAGTGAGGTAGGGCAGGTCCTATCCTATCGATACATAAGAAGTTAAGAACCCCTCCCTCACCAAACAAACCACAATGCAACTGAAAAATATGGGAATGGTAAAGGGGGCCAAAGGTGAATCCTGCCAGCCACTAGATCGATAATCCAATGTGACTCTATGCCATGAATCTGATTGGTACACATTCTATAACTTGATTACATTATGACAGACAGGTGTTATGCTTATGAAACAACTATCTATGTACACCATCCGAGTGTTTTGCCAGGTTTCTGAAACAACAAACTTTTTGAGGGTGTCCTTTGTGTTCTTTGGATACATCATCTACGAGTGGGTGACACTGATACATCTCCAATTTACTATTAGCCATGCAACGGAGATCCATCAAGAATCACGGTAAATTGGTTGTGGCATCCACTTAAGCTGCACGTTCAATTTCCCAGATTTGGCCCCATCTAGCGGTAAAGAGTCTTTGTATTCCCCTTCTAATATAACCCTAGTGAGGGTCATGATGCATCTGCCTATGTAGTCCTGCACGATACAAAAACTTTAGACACACGTCGCTGCTTTCACATTCTCCAAACAAAAACTTAAATGATCTAGAATTACTGATATACTTCTTTATTGAATATACATACTTATTTGAGTATATACTTATTTGAGGGATCCCTCAACTAAAGCTCCCTATATACACACACACAGAGCTTCCACTGAGAGATCTCTCAAATAAGCTTATTTGAGGGACACCTTCGTAGGGCCCACTCTGCATTGTATTTCACTAATCCAAAACATGTATTTTTTAGATAATCATTCAAAGATCATCTCTACAAAAAATCACTTGATCCAATATCATTTCCCACTCAACTGAGTTATTAAAATTTTAGTACTTTCTTAAAGCACCATGTTCATTAATTTTGTAGGACACAATTGGATGTCGAAACGGTTTTCGATTTGTCTAATTTTTTGCAAGAATAATCTATGAATTTAGACTTTAAAAATAGATGGTTTGGATCGTTGAAAAAAATTTCGTAAGGAATCCCTCAATGAAAAGAAATTGATATATATATATATATATATATAATTCCACAGTTAGAAATTCAGTAAAAGAAAAACAAATGAAGAACTGAAAAAATAGTACCTTCCCAAAAGTATCATGGTCCCAGACTTCAAGAATGAGCATGTCATGCAATCCATCCTCAACAACAAAGTCAAAAGTTTGATTCCAAACGGGATTCAAGCTGTCATTAACCACCTGAGAGAAGAAAAGAATTTTAAGTATCAACAAAAACTATAATTTGTGCAAGCAGATAACCACACACAAGAATCTTGGAGCAAAATTAAACAAACCAGAAAAAGGACCTCTATTAAGTTAAAACATCCTGTGGAAGCAAAGGAAAAAACTAAAACAAGGCAGCAAACTTTACGAGAAATGGAAACTGCAAGCATTACTTCGTAGAAAAATAAGGTAGTTGCAGTCTTTGGGCATTCAAACTCTTACCCTAGTTTTGTTTTTTGTTTCTGATTTCTTCAAGGTCAGTACCACATAAGGATCAGCTTTTCCTATCAGATCAACTGGTGGCAAGTCTTCAGCAGATATTATAGTAACAGAAAGTACACCTCTAATTATGACCTCCTTTCTCTTCTGTGTGGCTTCCTTTTGATTTTCAGTAGCTTCTGTTCCATTCATCCCACTTTTAAGTACCTTTTCCAAAGAGGTCATTGAGAAGTCGGGAGTAAACGGGTTGACAAAGCCATTCTCCATGCCAAATGGACAATATAACAGCTCCAAATGTACCTAAAGCAGGAATATAAATGATAAAACTACTTAAACAATGAAATATCCTTTCAGAATATATCAGAAAAGAAAATACGGCGTGGGTGGGAGCAAATAACAATGTGATCCAATGTAATCTCAAAGCCTAAAAGCCATCCAAAGTAGGATTCATACATAATCTCTAACTTAATTGCTACTATTTATTGATCCAAAGGATGGAAATTGGTTTTCTGACCTGCCCGCGGTTTTTATTATCTCTTTGGACTTCCAAGCTTTTAACCAGCTTCAACCACACATCCTTCACTTTACCAGGCTGAAGTTCACTTAGTCGTACATGAGCACATCCAATGAGCTCAGATGACTGAACTCCCTCATCATCATAAACTTTAACCACCAGATATTGAGTGGATGCATCTTCAACAATAAATTCAAAGTGCTCATTCCAGATCGGATTCAAATCATTGTTCTGAAGAGGGAGAGAAAAACATATAATTCCCTCAAAACCAATTAAAACAAAAGGAAATATATTAAAATGCATGGACATATAAGAAGAGCAGAAAAATTACAATAGTTTTGCTTTTCTTCATTCTGTCCTGTAAAGGTCGTATGTATACTACAGCATAGGGATCTGACTTTCCAATAAGGTCTTTGTTTGTTAATTCCTTTGCCTGCACAAGTTTCACCTCTAGCATTCCGACTGGCTTTAACTCCAGATCACTAACCAACAAAGTTAATTAGAACAGGAAAAAAAATGTTGTAATTTTAGAGGGCATTCACATGCCTCTCTCTTCTCAAGGTAAGATTAACAAGATTGATACGTGAGAAATTGACAATCCTCTATATTCTACTTTACCTATAATCCCCAGGCAAAATGGGAACAACTTTGCGAACAGGCCATGCAATTGAATCCTCAATCGCATCCCGTATCATCCCCTGTATAAATATTACACATCTCAATTAAAGCATGTAGGATTAAACAAAACCTGTATCTATTTCATAAGACCTAGTAACTCTTATAGTGATGGAAAATTACTGTATTTTTTTTTGGAAACTATGTATGATAACCCAAATCCTGCATATATGAAATAATACCTATTAAGTCTCATAGGGTTGAAAGACTACTATATATATTATTTGCAAACCCGTCCACCATTCAGATTGTTTGAAGTAATTTAGAAGCAAGGATGCATGAAACCCGATGTCTGCACGTGAGTTGCCAGACATTAAGGGGAACTCTGTAACATCATTTTGCGCTGAGGGCACATTTGTACAAGTTGCACTCTGTAACTCTACATTCTAGTGTCCGTATGACCAGGTCAATCCTAAATCAAATTTTCACTACAAACCAGAACATTAAGTATGAAAACTCACATTCCCAAATCATCATATAAAGTACTCAAATAAAGATCATGCCACATGAGAAATTAGAAATCATAAATAAGTGAAAAAGAATTGTGGATTTTGCTCAAACCTCAATTGCATCATAGATCCCAGGTATTGTAGATATGTCGCCACCCACAACTTTAAGCCTAAACTCTAAATTTTTCTGCAAATAAAAAAAAACACAATCGCTAAATCAGAGTTATTGGTTATCTGCGGTGTAATGCATTTGGCAGGGAGGGGGAGGGGCCTGCCTATCTAATTGCTTTCAGATAGCTAATCATCAGAACATCTATAATCCTACAAATATGCTAATGTTAGTGTAGATCTTCATATCAACAGAACTCTTTTTTTGTGTGATATGTGTACCACTCCTCTCTTCCAAAATCTTTCAAAGATGGCTCTAGAAAGAGATAGTGCACCTTTTCTCTCAATGAATAGCAAACAGCTCCAAAGCACGGAAACTCATCAACCAAAGGCTTGAAAATCAGCCTGAATACCCCAGTGAATCCAATATCTTTCACCTGAAAAATCAAAGTATAGATTAATTCATAGATAATAAGAAAACATAATATAAACTATCATTCTACAAGAAGGAAACCAACTTCTGAACATTGAAAAAGGCCTCCAGTGAGTAGAAGCGAGAAGGCAATAATTTGTAGATTACCTGCACAGGTAGGCTTACACCAAATAAGGTCTTGATAGCAAGTATTATACTTGGATTTCCATCCCACTGCATTTCCAACTCCATTGTAACACTGTCACCTTCATCTTCAATTATAGAAACCCCTAACGAAAAACATCGGCTCATTAATGAATGCTTTACAAAAGGTTCATTTAAAGCTCTCCCTTAAATGATATTAAATACCATAACAAATTGGAAGATTACAATCTACAATCATTTGTACAGTACATAATGCATAAAAATAGCACGGGAAGCATACTATCATGCTCACAGCCATCAATGTGATTAAACTTAGGAAAGGTATGAATATATTTGAACGAATGAATTATAGATGAATGTAGGCATTAGCTTAGCTACATGATTAAGTTGGGCGTAACCAAAATAAGATGAAAAATCAAATATAAGCTAGCCTCTAATTAGCAAAAGAAATAGATAAAATCAAGTTATGGATCCATAACCTTAACCATGCAAATAAGGAATGTAACATATCTTGGCGAAAATTAAGGAAAATCCAGTTTCCAAACGAACACCGAGGACCTAAAAGATTCAACCACCTACCTTCGTGCGTTACATAAATTGAACTAACCTGTAAACTGCGGTGCCACGGTACCAAGAGTGAACTTGGAAAATTTGAGTGAGGACAATATGATTGGTCTATACTGCTCCAGAATTGGCTCCACTGAAGTCTTTATCAGCTCAGACGCTGCCTGCACCACCATATTTAGAAACCGAGCTTACAAAATTAACGAAACAAAAAGAAACATACTGGTAACAAATAAGCAAAACCCAAAAGGAGTTACCTCATTAACATAGGGCCAGATCTTTTCAAGATGAAGATTGAGCCATTTTAACTGAAAAACAAAAGAATCCAAATACACATGTTAGTCCCGCTGTGGCTACCGCAGATGAAAGTGAGAGAAAGTAGAGGAAGAAGAGGTTATATTGGGAGCTCAACTTCTGTCTGTGGGAGAAGACGACCCAAGAAGGGTAATACTCAGAAGGTAAGAGCTTTCTAGAATCCTCGACAGTCATTCGAGCAAATGCAGCTATAGTTGTGGCGAGCTCGGAACGGAGCTTGGATCGGTGGTTCTCCAAGCGGACAAACACCACGATAATTGCGAGTCCCACTAGAATTCCGAGCACTAATCCGAAAACGAAGCCCATTGGATTGGATTGGATTGGATTGGATTGAGAGCAGAGTCGAGATTTGGGGGTGCTTTGGTCGGTTGGTGCTTGGTTGGTCAGAGAGAGAGAAACTGAGAGACTGAGAGAGTTGGGTGAAAAATTGGATTAAATGCAATAATTAGATTAGAGAAGAAGATGGGTCTAAATTGTAATGGTGGATTTTATTTAAAAAGATTGATGTAATATATATTATCTTGTAACGCTGTTTTATTAATCTTTTTGCCTAATTTCTTTGTTGTTGTAATTGTAACTTCGTAATGAAGGTTTGGGCGGACAAATCGGTGGGGTCTTTTGGTGGAGAGAGAGAGACAGAGAGAGACAGAGAGAAATGTGGCTGTCTGTCTCCGGCTCAGATGGTGAAGGAAATGCTTTGCCTCGCCGACAAGTCATTAAAAAACAAAAAACAAAAGAAATAGCTAAGACTTATCGAAAAAAGAGGAAAGAAATAACTGGACCCTTGTGCCATTAATATTTTTTTTTTTTGGTTTGGTTTGTTTGTTTTTTTGCATGAGAAAAAAAATAGGGTACTGACATGTAGCATATTTGCGCCACCTGTTTGCTTCTCGCATGATCCCTGCAATATTTCAATTTAATAAACTTTGTATTCTTATTTAGAAAAATTAATACTTTTAAAAATGAAAACCATAAAAATATTTCACTTCCTTCCCCTCCCCCGGGCCGCACGTGCAACCATGAAATTTAAAAATGGAAAACTATATTACTAAAATTTTAATAAAATAAAAAGAAGCCCAATGGGCCTGTCAGCACGAACAGCCCATTAGTTTAGGAGGAAGGAAACGGGGGTGGAATTCTACAATGAGGGTCTTATCTAAGGTATTTAGATGAGGCCTTATCTCTTAACTGTTTGATCAAATTGGTTAGTCATTGAATCAAATTGGTTAGTTTGATCCAACGGTTAAAAAATAAGATATTATATATATGCCTTAAATAAGACCCTTACTATAAAATGACTCGGAAAAGGAGAACCCACTGAACGGGATCAAACTAAACCCAACATTTTGACCCAATTTGAAGGAGAAACCCATATAGTTGGTAACCCGTTGATTTATGGCTCAGAAGAAATTACTTGATGGTTCATTCATATCCTACAAAGCCCACCCATACAACACAACTGCAATATGGACCTTCAAAATAAAAATATATCCCACAATTTATTCACTACATGACATCACATTTCCAAGTCCAAAAAGAAATTGGCTGGTAGCTAGCTTTCGCGCTGAAAATTGGACTGGTAGCTTTTTAGGGTCTGAAGAGGATGCCTACATAGCCCAGCGCCAAGCAAATGTGCGCCCACTATGAAGAGACAGTTCATATGTGGTTGCATAGGGGTCCACAAGTCAGGAAACTTGGACCGGTAGCTTTCTTTTCTTCTTTTTTTAGTTTTTAGTTTTTTTTGTTTTTTGTGTTTTGGTGAACAAAAGTCTATGGAAAGATTGGTTACTCTTATCACTAGTGTCATAACTAATCTACAATTTCGAGTTAAAAGGACTTATGCGTAGTACCAAACTGCCACACACACTAACGAATAATCTAATTGTTTGAATTCAAACTCTGAGTTTGAATTGGAATTAAACGAGCAATTGGTACATTTTAAAAAGAAACGTAACCAAAGCATTATTATAGATTTGATTCAATTCAACTTACGTATCAAAGAACGATTTGGATTTGAGTTCCGAATTCTAATCCTTGGAAAATAACATTCTGCCTTTGTGCATGCGATTTGCGATGCGATCTGAGAAGGGCCCCACATATTCAAAATGGTAGCTGAACAAATGAAGAGGCTAAACGACATCGCAAAGGATCATGTCCATCATTTACTGCACTCGAAGGGCCCCACTCCGCATCGTGGAGGGCCCGGGGCCCACGCATACGAAGTTTCCACCTCCTACGCTCGCGGCTACATTTTTTGCCGTCCTCCGTGGCGTCACTCACACACACTCAGCCAAACCACGCGCTTTGCACGTGACATTCAAGTTCTAGCTTCCTTTGATTGATTGATTGTCTGATATTTGTTTCCTGGTCTGTTTTTAGTTTAGTGATGCTTCTTTTTCTGACCAAAGTGAGAATTAAGAAATAAAGAAATATTTTTTTAGACTGGGACATTTATTTTTGCTACCTGCCTCTCATCCTAGCCAGGTGTGGTATTTTGCCCTACTTTTTAGATAACGCTCAAGATAGAGAAGAAGGTAGGCCAGAATCCAGGCAGCATGGCAAGCTGGTAGATATACCTAAATAACTAGGGAAACATTTACGTGAACTACCATAATATGAGAGTAATCAGTGCACAGCCTGGACTAGTATAAGAGAAGCCTTTTGTTTTCATTGTTTTGCTCAGTTTTCAACTCTACTCATTGTTTGCAACTCCTCTTTTTTCGCATTGTACAAAATTATCTCAAATTCGGCTCGTATTTCTCACGGGTAAACGTAAGAAAAGAGAAGAAAATACTTATTTTGATAGGAGTTTATTAAGATAAAAAAGACATAAATGATTTTTTGGGTTAATAAGAAATCTTGATAATTGGTTTTTGGCAAATCTGGATAATTATTGATTCATTATATGGTAAGATTTTTTACTTTGAAAGTAATTTAGACAATATTTTATTATGTTGGAATGGAATCGGCAGCAGCGTAGCAGTACCAATAGCAGAGAGTCCTCCAACTCTAGCAAATTCTGCAAGCCAGATAATATAATTGACAGGGAGAGCTCACAATTTCACAAACACAATAAAACACAACAAAGCTAAACCCCTTACTCTCACATCACTCATCGACTTCACCAATTTATTTTCCAAACCCCCTCTGAGTTCCTAGTTCCGAGTTATGACTCGGAATTAATGCTCCGTCGGTAGCCGGCACTGAACCTCTGCAATCCCAAAACCATGTCAGTTAACGGCAACGGCAGCGGCAACGCCTGGCTCAATTCAGAGGACCCGGAATCCATCACCGCCCCATTAATCTCGGGTCAACGATCAGCCCCGAACTCCACTTCGCAGGTTGCTCTGGTCGGCGCCAATGTCTGCCCCGTCGAAAGCCTCGATTACGAGATTTTGGAGAACGAGTTCTTCAAGCAGGACTGGAGAAGCCGTGGGAAGATGCAAGTCTTTCAGTACATATTCATGAAGTGGATCTTATGTTTTCTTGTTGGTCTCATCGTCGGCCTCATCGGTTTTTGCAACAACCTCGCCGTCGAAAACATCGCCGGCATTAAGTTCGTCATCACCTCCAACATGATGTTGAAGCGCAGGTTCTCTAAATTTCACTTCAATTTTTAAAGTTAATTCGTTTTTCTTTCTTCGTTTTTTTTAATGAGCTGGGGGGATAAGAACCCCAAACAAACACCACAACTACTTAACATTTTCTTTCTTCGTTTTTAATTTGTCTTTATTATATTAAAACAGGTTTTTGCTGGCGTTTATTGTCTTCTTCTTCTCCAATTTGGCTCTCACTCTGTTTGCGTCTATGATCACTTCTTTTGTGGCGCCGGTTGCTGCGGGCTCCGGCATACCGGAGGTGAAGGCATACCTGAACGGCGTCGACGCGCCGGGAATATTTTCCATAAGAACTTTATTTGTTAAGGTGACTCACTGACTCTGATTTCAGTACTTTTGGATTGTGTATAAATTGCTTTAGTAAAGCTGCTCTTGCCATTTTCAATTGTGAATGGGGTTTGCTTAGGTTGTGTGAAATTTAGCAACTTGATAGTTGGTATAGCACCATTTTCTTTTTTGTTTGTTTTATGTGTGGATAAGATAACATTTCTGTGCTTTGGACATCATATACATTGAGATACTATATCAACAGAAATTTGGTTTTTTCATTTTCATTTTCCTCATTGTACAGATTGTCGGTAGTGTTTCTGCGGTGTCATCGTCTCTTCTTATTGGAAAGGCAGGGCCGATGGTGCATACTGGTGCCTGTGTTGCATCATTGTTGGGTCAGGGTGGATCAAATAAGTACGGTTTGACCTGGAAATGGTTACGGTATTTCAAGAATGATAGAGACCGTCGGGATCTCGTAACGTGTGGATCAGCTGCTGGGATTGCTGCCTCTTTCCGTTCCCCTGTTGGTGGTGTGCTGTTTGCTTTTGAAGAGATGGCATCTTGGTACGCCAATCGCTCTATCCAAACTTGTTTCTTTTTGTCTTTGCTTTTTGTTCATAATACTAATAAAAACTGATTCTTTTAAGACTCAACTATGAACACTTTTAACATCCTGTACAGTTATATGTCATATATATTTTGTCTCAATTTCCAGCACTCTCAGATGGAATTCAAGACCTAAGCATATGCACTGGTGGGGGAAAACCCCAAGAAAACAAACCAACTTAAACTATACTACTAGATGATAAAAATTGAATTGAGATTAGCACTTTGTTTGAATCCAACCAAGATTTTGTTTTCTGTAGGTGGAGAAGTGCCCTTCTGTGGAGAGCTTTCTTTACAACAGCTGTAATTGCAATTGTGCTCCGGGCTCTGATTGATGTTTGTTTAAGTGGCAAATGTGGGCTATTTGGTACAGGGGGGCTGATAATGTTTGATGTCTATTCAGAAAGTGTGTCATATCACATTGTGGATGTGCCTCCCGTGCTTCTCCTTGGGTTTGTAGGCGGCATATTGGGAAGCTTATATAATTCTCTATTAACAAAAGTTCTCCGAATATACAATCTCATCAATGAGTAAGCATTTTAGCGTAGTGATGTCTAAGCAGTATTAGTGTTTTCAAAGTGTTGTGAAAAACCATAATTTTCTGACTGTGATCACCTTGATGTTTTCCTTGGCCAGGAGAGGCATCATTTATAAAATACTCATAGCTTGCACAATCTCCATATTCACATCTTGTCTTCTCTTTGGATTACCGTGGCTTGCATCTTGTCGACCTTGCCCAGCTGATGCAGCAGAAGCCTGCCCTACAATTGGACGGTCTGGTAACTTCAAGAAGTTCCAATGTCCTCCTGATCACTATAATGACCTTGCCAGCCTCATATTTAACACGAACGATGATGCTATTAGAAACCTTTTCAGCAAGAACACAGATTCTGAGTTTCATTTTTCATCAATTATCATATTTTTCGTCACCTGTTTTTTCTTAAGTATCTTTAGCTACGGGGTTGTTGTTCCTGCTGGTCTTTTTGTACCTGTTATTGTGACTGGTGCATCTTATGGGCGTTTTGTTGGAATGTTAGTGGGTTCACACTCGAATCTCAATCATGGTCTCTATGCTGTGTTGGGTGCTGCTTCTCTTCTTGGTGGAACCATGAGGATGACTGTCTCTCTATGTGTAATTATTCTGGAATTAACCAATAATCTATTATTGCTCCCATTGATAATGGTGGTTCTTCTTGTTTCCAAGACCACTGCTGATGCGTTCAATGACAATATATATGATCTGATTATGAAAGCAAAGGGTCTTCCCTATCTGGAGGCTCATGTTGAACCATATATGAGGCAGCTGACAGTAGCTGACGTAGTAACAGGGCCACTACAACTATTTTATGGAATTGAGAAGGTTGGTAATATAGTACACGTTCTCAGAACTACAGGGCATAATGGGTTCCCTGTAATTGATGAGCTTTCTGAATCCCCTGTTTTGTTTGGTATTGTCCTCCGTGCCCATCTTATTGAATTGTTGAAGAAGAAAGCTTTCGTGTCCACCCCAGTGCCGACGAGCACCGATTCCTTTAAGCGGTTCTCATCAGAGGATTTTGCCAAGAGGGGTTCAGGCAATGGTGACAAGATAGAAGATATAAAATTGAATGAGGAGGAGATGGAAATGTTCATAGACTTACATCCATTTACTAATGCTTCACCTTATACCGTTGTGGAGACAATGTCACTAGCAAAGGCTCTCATACTTTTCCGAGAAGTTGGCTTAAGGCACCTTCTAGTAATACCAAAGATTTCCACAGTAAGTGATTTTGTCCTCTACATTTGCTTTTATTACAACTACAAAATATGGCATTCTGAAGTATCAGTTGTGCATTGCAGCGCACTTGCATGCCCAAAAATTTGTGTAGTTCACATCATTGGTTGTGCTATATATGAATCACCACTTCTTATGCTAATTATACATCAATCCATCTAGATTTAATTCTTTCTGGTGCCAAGTACTTCACTGCCTCCGTTACATGATTCACTGGTCTTGCTATTTCTGTTATTTCTGTTCAATGGGCTTCTACCTCGTATATCAAATTTTGGCTGATAAGAGTAAAGTACTTGTTCAGCAGTGCTTTCTGTATCGTATGTGTGTGCTGTTACGCCGTTATGTAGTTAGTGCTCAATATCTACAATAGCGTCTGTATTTGTTTACACGTTATTTTTAATACTTCTCACAGTTTTCTTACTGATCTCTTGTAATAACTATGCTGGTCAATTGCAGAGATCTCCTGTTGTGGGCATATTGACAAGGCACGACTTCATGCCAGAACATATATTGAGCTTGAACCCTATGCTGGTAAACAGCAGGTGGAAAAGATTAAGATTCCGGCTGGCTCCTCTGGCCAAACTCTTTTAGTGGATTTCAGCCTAGCTTTGTAGTTTCCCTTGAAGAAAAGATTTTGTATATGGTCTTATTCAACCTGCGACTCGCAGTATCTGCACCGCGGTATCAAATCATGACGAGTCCAGTATCATTATCTTTCAAATTATTCATGGAGTCCAGAGCTTAAGAACTAAGGGACAACTAGTTTAGGTATCAGAATATAAATATGAGGAATGCTAGCAACCTTCTCTCTAACCTTCTCCCTTCTCCTCATGACAAGTGTCATTTTCCTTACACTAAAAACAATGTCATTAATGCATCACACAAGTGAGTTTTTGTTTTCCAAGTTTACCCTTTTAAAATGTATTGGTTTAGGGTTGGAACTAGATTGGGAACTTAAAAATCATGCCAAAAACTCTGGTGAAAATGAAAAGGTTGGAACTAGATTGGGAACTTGCTTCTATTGCTATAGAGAGAGAGGAGCTAGATCATCGAACTTGCCAGGAAAATAATGGAAAAAGGTGACAACCAGCCAACACGCCGAACCTCAGAAAATCAGACGAAAGCATTTATAAGAAAGTTTGCATGGTCAAATAGGAAGGCTGGTAAAACTCAGTTGATTTATGATCACCGTTTTGGCACTCTTGGTCAAGACAAAAAAACAATGAGAAACTAAGTAACTAGGCTTTGTGTCGTAATTCCAGTCCGAATCCTGAATCCATTGTTGCTGAATTCTGAATCTCTTTTTCCGAGTGATATCAACATTCAAAAACTGCGAATGTGTTTGCCTTTATGCTCCTCAAGGCATGTCGTTGTTTTGCAATAACTAGTTTTTAAAAAGGTATATTAGACATCCACATGTATGCATGTTCAAGAGTGAAAAAAGATGTCGACAAAGAGGCCTACACGAAAAAGCAAACTTTTGTCTGTGACCAAATTCGTTCTTACAGGGCAAGTTTGAGGGAAGGAGGTGCCTCTCGTATTATACCACTAGCCTTTCTTGACACTTCTAAGATAGTCTGCTCTTATTGTCCACAACTGCTCTCCCACTGATTTCATGTCTGGCCGATCAGCTCGAATGGGGGCAGCACACTGGATAGCCAAATCAAAAATTTTCACCACTACCTCTGCATCTACAACTTCCCCCAATGCAGGATCAACCAATTCCACCATCCTTCCTTCATTCAGCTTCTTGAAGGCCTGCGGAATGTTACACCATACATAAAGTTATAAACAGCTATAGTTCAAATTTAATCTGGATGGAAGGGTTATCTAGCAACAGACATAACTGAAAGTATTAGGAGAGTTCTGCAGCATGCATGTTGTTCCATGTTCTAACTCCTAAAGATATGCTACAAAATCAATTACTTATCAAGGGAACAGAAGAAGATTGTTACCCATCTGAGTGTCACCCGCTCTTCAACAGATCTTTTCAACTCCACTGGACGACGGCCAGTTATGATTTCTATAAGTAATATCCCAAATGAGTAAACATCACTCTTGGGGGTGAGTTGATAGGTTTTCATATACTCGGGGTCGAGGTAACCGACAGTTCCTTTCACTTTGGTTGAAATGTGTGTTTGTTCCGAGTCCACCGGACCAAGCCTTGCAAATCCGAAATCAGCCACTTTGGCTCTCATGCTTTCTGTCAGAAGAATGTTGGACGACTTCACATCTCGATGAATGATTTGCTTTTCTGTTGTGATATGAATACCAGATTAAGCACCAATCAGATTGACCAAAGAAAATCAATTCTTCATCTCTAACCAGACAACTAAACAAATGAATAAAAGACCAGTGGGTCTTTAAAGTTCTAGCAATAGTATTTTAGTTACCTGCATATAGATGAAGATAGGTTAAGGCATGAGCAACATCAATAGCAATTTCAAGTCGCTGATTGAACTCTAGGATTTTCCCGTGCTGACCTGGCAGTATAGTAGCATAATTGTTTATGACAGCATAATTTATAGATTAAATTTTGGATATTTCGGTGCTTTAACTAAGCTTACCATCCAAATGTTCTCTAAGAGTACCATTTGGCACATACTCTGTAATGATAAGACGCTCATTTCCTTCATCAACATAACCTAGTAGCTTTACAAGATTCCGATGATCAATTTTGGCCAGAAGTTCAACTTCACTACTGAATTCAGTTTCCAAATTCTCAAAGTGTTCCTATGACAAAGTTTCCATGTTAACAAAATAGCATTCATTTATCGAATAACTGCCATGACAACAGAAAACTTCCTTATAAAGCCACTCAAATGTTCGATGGCAACATAGAAAACTAGTAAGTCCATAACAAATTATGCTATGCATAAATTCTACTACGAAGCCTACTTTGATGTTGAAATTTTGAACCATGTCACATACATTTAACTTTAGCATGCTACTTTCCTAATTGAACCCAGAATGCACAATTAATCCAATCACTATTTGGGCAACTGAAGAATCTAATTATGGAATACTTATTAATTATGATTTTTCTGATTGCCCCAGATTCCTCAAAAGTTAACATAAAAAAACTTTTTCATTTTCAAATATAACAGAACAACAAATTTTACTTGCAAAATTAATGAATGAGCTACCAATTACCAAGAGGCCACTGAATTGTATCAATTATAGCCAATTGCAAGAGCCTCAGTTCAGTAGTGGTACAAGTTTTTTACTACCTAGCATGTCACCAAGATAGTATTTCCTTTCATAAACTAACCGGAAATGACCAATCTTTCATTGAGTACCCACAAAAAAAGATTATGATCTATTATACCTTCTTAGCTCGTTTTATAGAAACCACTTGGCCATCGTCTAGCCTGGCTTTGTAGACAGTTCCAAAACCTCCTTCACCTACTTGTTGTGATTGAGAGAAGTTGCGGGTTGCTTTGGCAATCTGACTCAGACTGAGATGTACTGATCCAAGTCTACTGAGTTTTGGAGAAATTGAAAATCTAGGACTAGGTGGCACACGAAGCGGACTAGCCGGGATCTTTTCAGGAGCAGAATTCACTTCAAAAGAAGAAGCTGAATCCACTGCAAGAGTACAACCAGTTTTAGTTTAACCCAAAAAAAATTGAAAGAACAAAATCATAATGAGGAAACAACCAATATAGAATAGACTAGTCAGTGGCAACAAAAATTCAATTATTTGCAGAATTGCAAATAAAACAATTTGGACAAGTTTGAAAGAATTTTAGTCTAATATAGGATGAATGTATTTAAATGTTAAACTGGAATATAATTGGTGGTTCTCATCTCCAGCAACCTGAAAACCTATAATTATTGATTTCGGGTACACAGACAGGCAGATATGAGAGACTAACTTGAATTTGGGTCCTTAGCAAGAACTTTGTGAGCAGCTTCTCTCCTTTTCTTATAAATGCAGGGACACATGAAAACACAACATAACAAAGACATTGCACCTACTGCCATTCCAACTTTTTTGGTCATGGATACAGATGCAACGCCGTTCTTTTCTTCTCTATCGTAGGATGTGGATTTATCCCTTGACTCCTTTTGCAAAAGTTTCCTTCCTGTCCTCAAGCGAAAACCAACTGCAAAAGCTGCAACACTTAACAATGGTCCTAAAACTTTACCTAAATTCCAACTATGGACTACAATAGCATCATTTAAACAAGAAACACAAGCAACATATATATAATATCAATGCATACCTAGTGAACGGTCTGATACACAATGGTTAATGCCAAGGTAGCCCTCCAAAATGCAACCATTTGCATAGTATGTCTCAAGTGCCGTACAGAATAAAGCTTTCTCTACTGAATTCCCATTTATGTAATACAGTTCATGACCATAAGATTTTGTATAGGCAATGTGATCACTGCAAACCTTGGACTGTATAACAAACTCAGAGGAAGAGATTGCTGGCAATTTCACCAGAAGCAACAGACTCAACATAGTGATGGCCGTTCTTAACGGGATAATGTGCTCAATTTCCATTTTCTGAATGAAAAGATGATGAAACATCTCTGTACTCTTGTATTCGTCTCACCGCCCTCAAGTAGCTCACTAGTTTCAAGTTCAACCGTTCTGATCGCCCTGGATATGCAAATTAGTGTTCGACCGTCACTTTCAAATTCATCTACAGAACCCAGTTCACGAGATTGACAAAAGAGAGAATCCCGGACAAGAAAGGAGCTGAGCGGAGATAATGATACTTTCTTTTTGGCCAGTAATGTTACTTGTATATCACGACTTCAAATTGCTCCAAATATATAAGTTTATTGTGTAACAATCACTGAAAATGATCAATTTGAGCCTCAATTCATGACACACTAGTTGAAACCTTTAATAGACAAAGCCTCAAAGGGGTGATGATTGAGTTGGATGTCATAAAAAACGGTTGGTTCCATATACCATATAGCTTGATGGGTCCACAAAAATTCAATCAAAAGCCTTCAGTATCAGTACCCAGTTCACAATTGCGAAACAAATTAAAACCCAGGTGGTAAAGTTGCCCAAAAACCAATCCCACGATCTCCAAGCACCAAAATTTCCAAACTTTTACTGAATTGCCTGAGATCCAATTCACAAAATCACAAGCTCACAGTAAAAAAACCCAACATTTGGTAGCTCTACACAAACAGCAAGACAGCTTCAAAGAAAATCCAAACAAAATACTAAATTACACAAGTGGCTTAGCATCAGATATCAGGAAACAAGAAAAGCACCTGAATTTATAGTGAAAGAACCAAACCTGAACAGTGAGAGAGGCGGCTAAGGGAAATGTCAAAGACAAAACTGATGCGTTTGATTGCAAAGGAAAGGCCTTAAAAAGAAACAAAGACCGGCCTTACCTTTGGTTCAGAAGAAGATGGTGGATTTTGATGTAACCCACCTCGGCCGTCTGTACGCTTTCATTAATTTAAGTAATAAATATATCCTAGAATTGGACAACGTTGATTGTTGACCGTTGGGAAACTACGTAGTATGCATCATTGCTGCCGGAGAATACCGCCCTTCAAGGGCTTTTTGGTCATTTCAATGTCTGTTTTTTTTTGCTTTTATATTTTTGCTTTTATTTTCTTATATTAATCCAACCCAAGAATCTCTGCTGTAGAAGCGGGGTCCATCCCTTTCTCATTGCGTCAGATTCTTTCTTTTTTCATATATTTTATACGCATGAAAATAAAATTCCAACATAAATCCATCCTCTTTATTTATTTTTATCAATTTAGAGAGAGGACTTATGTAAATGAAAGCTTGAGCTTCTTCTCGTTGAAGTAACAAAGTGTGAACGGCTTTCTCGTGGTGTTGAATTTTCCCAGCTGCAATTTACAAGTTACAAGTTACTGGTATTTTGATAAATGAAGGGGCCACCACCACCACCCACCGTTGCTGAAGGCCGATAAAAGCTTCAAAGCGCCGAGTTATGTTTATATTATGCCTCACCAATCTTGTGTGCACATCCATGATATTGATGTGCACACAAATTTTGCACCTTTTTCCTTGGCTGTCATTGTTAACTTATTTTCTGCAGTTGTTTTTTTTCTTTTCATTTTTGTCATCTTTCTCCTTTTAGACCTATTTTCAATTGATTTTGAGGTTGATAACGAATAAATTAAAAAATTTATTCGGGTAATAATTGTAGACTTAAATTAGTCTTTAACTCATCTGTTCATACTTTAATAATGATATAAGATAAGAATAAGAATAATAATAATAATAATATTGAGTTGCGTATTTAAAGGGAGGATGACAAGGCGAGCACAAATCTAAATCCACATGTAATGGTCTCTCTGAAGCCCAAAACAAAAAAGAGAAAAGCTCGATTTGACAATACCCAAGAAACATGAGCGTGTCGGCTTCGGATTTGGCCGCTAAACGTGGGCTGAAGAATCCCCTTCGACATTAGTTGGGTTGTGCTTGCTTGGCATAGTCTAGAAATTAACCCAAAAATTGAGCCGAAAAATGAGGTTCCTACTTTCTTGGCAATGACCAATGAGGTTCAGTTAACGATAAGAAGACTGGAGAATAGATTGTTACAGCGGCGGCTGATCAACTTTCAACTGACTATTGTTATTGTTGCTGGAGGAGAATGCGGGGACACAGTCTATGATGATGATTGCTTGCTTGGTCGGCTGCACAAAAGTGTAATACTCAATGGAGTTGCTAGCAATGCAATCAGTCAACTCCATACCAACCGAAACTACCCTCTATCAGAATCAGATGTCCTGGCCCTTGACAGCCCCAACATTGTCCAGACTGGTGAAGTCTGTGGCAGGTGATGTTGGAAGTTTGAATGAAATTTACGGATATTTGTCCTACATTTGTAAAAATAAGAAAGAGTGAAGTTTTTATAAGTGTGGCACACTTAGCAAATGGAAAAAAGATGGGTCTTGGGGCACTTGGGCACTTCATATTTAAATTAATTTTTTAGTTTCGAATTTTTTATATTAATTCATATTAGTTTAATTAACTGTTTTCTAACAGTTGTGACTCTTCTGATAAGGTTTCAGAAGTTTATTTGAATAAAACAAAGCTTCAAAAAAAAAAAAAAAAAAAAAAAGAAAAAAAAAAAAAAAAAAAGTATATTCATCTTGTCTTGAGAGAGAAAACAAGTTCACCAAATTCTAAGTCCTAGTGTTAGGGCTTAGAATACAGATAGTTGAATCATGTGAGACAATCACCTATAGAACTTCAAGCATCGAGAATGAGTGAAATTACTGTCTTTAACATATTGCATCAAATCTGCAAGCCTCTATCTCGAATCCAGATCAGTTCATTTATTTATTATTTACTGTATTTCAAATTACAGTTTGTTGTAAATTCAATTTCATTGATATTGATATATTGTTGATATCCGAGTTTCGTTGGAGAAGCTCGGAGTTGTCAAGGCCCAGAAATGTTGCATTTTGTAAAGTATAACGGTCTCTTCTCCTATGCTATATTGAACCTTCGCCCTCAAAAAGTTTGTTTGTTTGTATTCATGTTTCTCATTTCTTCCGAAGTGAATATTTTGTCTGTGGCTGGCTATATTTACTAATTCATTTTGAAATTGTTGGAGCTGGTCAGCATCATATCCTATATTAATTCCCATGAACCTTCGTTTACTGGCTTTCCTTATCCAATTGCATAAAGCTCTTTGATGTATACAGGTATCTAGCTAGCTAGGTCTTATTATAGGGAGGAAGAAGCCAATTTATCATCCAAAACACCGACTAAATGATGCTTTCATTTCATACGACTAGGATACATGTTAAAAGACAAAACCCTTTTAACTCTTTTGAATTCTTCTGGGCTACACATCAATTTAAAGTTTTGAAAGGCACATGATATGTGATATATTTTTCCGAAAAAATCATCTTGCGAATATATTGAAACGAGGAAATAGAGTAATTATTAATTATAAATATGAATTTAAAAGATCGTCTAAACAACCTTATATAGGCAAAATTATGAGAAAATGTCAATAATATTAATCTTGACCCTCCCATATGTTATGTATACAAAATGTAAGTTTATATAACAGTTAAAATAAATCCATAGAAGTGACAATGCATGGTCCAGAAAACAAATAATGAGACTTTGTGGGCATTTTTAGGGTGGGCATTTTTAGGGTGGGCTTTTGATTAGACGTGTACCAGTTGTGCAATACCAACAAAATTCTATCTGATCTGAACTCAGTCAGTGTATGCTCGCTTGCCTAAGCCTTTACGATGAGATTCTAGTTCTATTTGGTCTGATTGGAGGAGGTGAAGTCGACATAAATCTAATCTGTGAAGGAAGAATCCTTTCAAGATATATATAATATTAAGAATACAAGCTAGATAGCAGGATCGAATATGATCGGGTTATGTGTTCCAGCCAATTGACATTTAACATGTTTTTGTTGGTGTGTCAAGGTTGGACGACGACGACAACAACAACAAAAGCATTATGCGATGGGATATAATAAGAATCTGCTTTCAGAATATAACATGCATGCATGAGCACTAACACTAAGCAAGCATTAATATCTGCTTGTTAATTTATGGCTTCCGGCTTTTACACAATCTTTGCATTGCCATCACAAAAGTAAAACATTTTCAAAACTGTCCCAATAATAATATTGCAACAAGCAAATTACACAGCCAAGACAAAAACCCTAAATCCTAAACAATGCCATTCACTCTAAGCAGTAAGTTACCAAATAAAGGAAAGCGCACACACCCCAGAGCAGGACAAATTATAGAATATTACAATAGCATAATTACGTGATATATATTGTACACGTATTATAATATGAGTAGATGACATAATTTATTTTCCCTCTTTTTAGACAATAAATACTTATATTATAACACGTGTACAAAATACATCACATGATCGTATAGTATCTCCCAAAACAGAGCAGCAGAGATTTTTAAAAGTGGACGTCTCTTGTTTTGTTGGTCAATCGTAATAAATCACGAGTTTGAAGCTGGAAAATGCAAAAAGAGAGAGAGGCAAAAAGGTCTAAACAAAATACCTAATAAATGTGTAGAATTTAGAAGGGGAGAGGGGGTGTAAATGTCAAACGAAAGAGAGGATATTACCCGAATGATTCCCTATTATTCTAATAATAATTAAAGTTTTTTCTCTTTTTTACTCAATCATTAAGTTGACGTGCACCTTAAACACTCGCAGGGGTACGTGGAAAGGTCTCCTACCCTTCACGATCCTCGGACACTTGTCCGGTCAATAATTATTTTTGCAAATTAATAATACTAATTATAATATTGCTAAACTTTGGACATCTAGTCCTTAGTTTTGACCAAATTAAAAAATAAAAATTTAGTCCTTAGTTGGTTTATGTTTTTTTTTCTTTTTCAAATTAGTTGGTTTATACATTGGGTCTCTATTATGAACCATTGAATTGGGCACGAACCTACATATTCCAACAAATAAAATAATGTCAGCTTATCAATCTTTTTGTTTTCTTTGGTCTTTTAGAATTTTTGTAAACTCCGAATTTGGAGTTTACCTTAAGACTTTTATGAATTAGGTGGTAGATCATAAAGGTTTTTATTTTGAGTGTTATTAAATGAATCTTAAAATTGATTGAGTGCACCTTATAATTTAAGTATATTTTTATATTCAAATTAAAATATAAAATTAACTAAGTACACCCAATTTAACTACTAAAAATACCTCTAATACACTCTAATATGTTCTATCACACAACACCAAACTTACTTGAAAATTGGGGTTATAACAAGTTTGATAGATAGTGAGTTTGCAAGCTATAGTATTCAAAAGGACTTCAAGTTCATGATCATGGTAATTCCTGGTAATGGGCATGATGTGCTGTGCTAGATATCATATATAGATAGGTGTTGCAAACTTGTCGGCATTTATGTGGTCTGGAGAACATGGTTCTAAAAGTCATAAATTCTATAGGCCGTTATTTTGTTATATAAATTTAACTTTGTAAATTGCTAATTTATCAGGGATAGATTTGATTATGATTGAATATGGTGTACTTATTAAAATTATATTTGTTTCACAATTTAATATATATTTTCTGGTCATTTTATATTAGGGTAAATTAGTAATTCAATAAATAGTTTCGTAGTATGGTGTACTCAGTTAATTTTAGGATTCGTTTAACAGCATTCTTTTATTTATGTTGCCAATTAATTTATAAAATTGTTTATGTGAGTTAAACCATCTAGCCAAGGTTGTGTGCCCACTCTATTACACCCGAGTTTGAACATTCTTCTCCCTGTACATTAGAGTCATTTAGAATATCGTTATCATAAAAAATAAAAAAAATAAAAAAAATTACTTATAAAATTAATGTATTTAAAGCATCTTTTGACTTGAAAGTAATTTGTTGTATTTCAAGGTCCTCAAATGGTCAAGCCCTATATTGTCGACGGAGGGCTATTTAAAAATCCCAAATATAATGTTTTTCATTTTAACCGTTTTAAGGCACAACAACTGAAGAAGGAAGAGCACAAACAGTCAACAAGAAGGCCACCATCACCACCCCACAATCACAATCACAAATCACAATCACAATCGACCACATGCATATAAGACTCTCCCCTCTCCTCTGCTCCTCTCCGTTTCCCACACTCCAGACTCACAGAGTCTGAACATAGCTCTTTCTCTCTCTGTCCCAATTCTCATCCGATCGGCAAAACCAGCACACTCACTGCAACTCAGATTTGCTTTCTCAGTTTGTTTTTTATCTGCTAATTTAGCAGGCTGGGCCTGACAGAGTCTCAGAGTCCGAGAGAGACGGATAGGAGGGATTAAATGGCGAGCAACGATTGGATAAACAGTTACCTGGAGGCGATTCTGGACGTGGGTCCAGGCCTCGTCGACGATGCCAAATCGTCCTTGCTGCTTAGAGAGAGAGGCCACTTCAGTCCCACCCGTTACTTTGTGGAGGAGGTCATCACCGGCTTCGATGAGACCGATCTCCACCGCTCTTGGGTTCGCGTAAGTCTCACTCTCACTCTCTCTCTCTCTCTGTATTAATTCTCTTTCTGTTGTATTCTCAGTTTGATTGATTGTTCATGCTGTATGTATGGGATTCAATGATAGGCTGCGGCGACGAGGAGCCCCCAGGAGAGGAACACCAGATTGGAGAATTTGTGCTGGCGGATTTGGAACTTAGCTCGCCAGAAGAAGCAGGTTACTTCCTTTTGCCATATTTTCTGTTTTTATTTTAGAAATGAATTCTTCTTTCAGTGATTTGTGTCTTTTTTTTTATTCATCTGCTTTCAATCGTAGCTAGCTACTGTATGTTTTGGCACTCGTAATTTGCAAGCTAAGATGATGGATGTGTTTCGTGCTTTACTCTGTAGTAATTTTCTGAGTGTCTATTTAAACGAATGTTTGATGTGAAAATTGCCGCTTTTTTCTGAGTGTCTAGATATGCGTTAATTTCTGCTACTGATCACTAATTTGTTAATTTGCAGTGTCTTTTCTATTTCGGATTTTAGAAAATGCTGTCACATGAATACACACTAATAAACAAAGGACACTGTAATTTTAGTTGGGAGAAAAAGGAAATAAAAGCATATGACCATTTTTCTTAAATCCTGGTTTTTCTTCATACTGTCTATTCTTCTGCAGCTTGAGGGAGAGGAAGCTCAAAGGATGGCTAAACGTCGTGTTGAACGTGAAAGAGGTCGCAGAGAAGCTACAGCTGATATGTCTGAAGACTTATCCGAGGGAGAGAAGGGAGATGTAGTGAGCGACATATCAGCTCATGGTGATAATAGCAGAGCCAGACTGCCTAGAATTAACTCCG